ATAGAATGGTATGCATGGTGGTTGGCATAAGCTTCTTCATGATTTCTGAGTCTTATGATTGACACATGAGTGCAATCGAAAGCACCAATAGTGCTGCCGAAAGAAGATGAGGGTAGTGAACCGAAAATATCAATTACAGTAATCTAACACCTGCAAAAAACATCGAACGTTTGTTTGCTTAAGCACGACTGGCTCGTAGATATTCCCCTTTGTTTTCAAAGGGGACGTCGATAGCAACCTGTTGCGGCGAAACGCAAGGCTGTTAGAACCGTTAAATCTGAGAAACAGTTGAACAGTTCACTCGTCTGTATACATATATCGCTATTATTCCTCTTGGTTTGTTATCGAGTTGAGAAACGATGTTTTCTATTAAATCTGGATCAAACGATATAGATTTCGAAACTCAGTTCGTTCTGAGTTGCTTTCAAGCAGAATGGGTCTTCCACTTCTTGAAGCAAACTATTCATCTTGGGCATAAATCTGCGCATCGTGAAATGGCAAGCCAAACGGGGGATAAATCAAGTAACAGCTGCCAAAAAGGCCAACTCCGAAAAAACTATTGCCTCATTGAAAGACACCCTTTACATATACTCTGTTGTGTTAGAAGAGATATTACTTTCATGTACTAATACTACTCTGATAAATAAATAAAAAAAGTTTTCGTGAATTAACTATTCCCAAAAAAATATATTTATATAATTTACTCCAGCTTAAAATATTTTTATCCACATTAAAGACGAACATGTAGTTTAAAAATTACGATGAAGTTGCGTTAAAAGCTCGTATGCACGAAGTAAAAAACTTGCAAGCATACATTTCTCAACCAGCAGTAAATCCCATACTTATGCACACTTAATTAGCTTTTGTGCAATTAAAACTGCGCATGCGTAACATACAAATCGAAAAGCTGCACGCATTGCATTGTATACAGCAGTGAATTTACATCGTTATGGCTTAAAAGCTTATGAAATTACAAACAAATAATAAAAAAAATAGCACAAACTTACTGAACTAAATTTTCGGTTTATTGATTTTTAATTGCAACGCCTTTATGAAAATTTGACAAAGATCTTGCGAAAAAATATGAAAGGCTACAATATCGATGGCCGCATGCCTGCAGAGCATAGGTAGAAAAAAAGCAGAAGAAAAAATCGATAATTACTCAACTGATTGTTTGTTAGGTTAGATTACACTGGCTGTCATGCCATATATAGACCTCCTCTAGTCCTGGTAATCTCGATGGAGTTTCAGTTTTGTTTCAGGTTAAAATATTCGTATATAGGACGTCCACCTTTTGCGAAGGTTAAGAGAACTTTGATATCTTATTTTAATAATTCACCTAGTATTTGGAATAGCAAAGCTCATAGATATCTAAGGAAAGTTTTAGATAAAACCGGACAGATGTAAATAGGAGCTCTATCGTCTCACTCATACCACCTTTCCTACACTTTCTGCATGCTGCATGCATCGTTACTGTTCTCCATTCGCCTGGCTGTTATGCCAGCAGGTTGCGACCTATCATTAGGCTTGAACCACACAGAAAGAAATACTTTCGAGTCATCGTGAGCTTGTTTTTTTTTGAGATTTTACTTGCAGAAGTCAACCACAACAAAACATAAGGTCAACATCACTGGTGTTCCACATTTAGTTTCCACATCAGTTTGATGTCCAAGACTACTCCCGGGTACTTGGTATGAGCTTTAATTGGTAGCTCAAACGCTTTGAATTCCGAAATCTTCTACCTAGACCTTCTATAAAGAATACCAGTTCTGTTTCGCCGGTGTTTGTTTCTAAATAAGCGGATGTCGCACTTCGATGTATGACCCTTAGAGCGTTATTTATCACGTTACTACTAACAGTGTCTAGGAACTTACCAGTCACTAGTATAAGTATATCGTCCAGCTATAAGTGGTCACAAGAGCGGTGACAATAAACTCCTGAAATCGTGCTAATCTGGGCAGCCTAGCTTCATAGAGTGGCTTTAGGACTTTCATCCATGAAAAGACGGCCGGCTCCATCCGTACTGCTACCAGACTATTAACTACTAAAGTCACTGCAGAGATTGTTGAATACCCCACTTGTGTCCAAAAAGACATCTAGGCCTCTTGAGTTCCTCTATATTTAGTGTTAATGACTGAAGTGAAGTATCAGCGAATCTATTCTTCGTATTGACGTGCTGTGCTTGTAATATGTTTGCCGTTGAAAGCTTCATTGTAATGTAATCGTCAAGGGTTAGTTCTATTGGTCTGTATTCTTCCAAATAATTAGGGGAAGACCCCTCTCCAGAGTATAGATACGTAGTTAAACCTTAAGCGAACTCCATATATTTTCATCAGATAAGGTACTACCACTGTACATTCTGCATCATCGCCGGAAAGATACCGTCCTTAACAGGCGATTGAATGAGATCAATATTTTGCGTTTTATTACGATATGGATTGAAGCGTACTCTACGCTATTGTAGCATTCGTACACCCTATAAATTGCATGTTCACCAGATCTTCAAGTGATTCCTCATCCTCGAAACGATTTTGACGAATTTAAAAATTAAAAAGAATTTTCAAAGTATCTTTAATTAATTTCACAAAAAAATTCTTATCTGATATAAACATATAAATAAGCTGATGGTGAATTTCAGGTAAAATTAATGCAAAAATGGTTTGCAAAATTATTTTACCGCAAACTGGATTTTAGTAGACAAGCAACAGTGTTTAGTCATACATGCATATTTTGTCTCTTATTTCTTTAGATTATTTTTGCTTTCGGCTAAAATTACTTCGAAAGGGAAAACTTGTTGGGAGGAAAAAAATATGTATATTAAAAAATCAGTTTATGCAAGAATTTAGCTCAAAACGGGTTTAATCTGTTGTTTCTATGGAAAGCTATTCCCTACAAATATATACATACATAAATACATACATTTGCACTTAAATCGAAATTTTTATAGAACTGCCTTTTACATGACATACATATGTATATGTTTTTAAAGAATAGTGACAGCAGCTGCAGCTGCTTTTCATCTCATTCTTATTTACCTATCTTAATTGTATTACTTCCATTACCTTTGCACTCCATTCTCTTTTCGATAGCAAAAGCTACAATGACCTTTGCAGATTTATTCTTGGTAGCCAAGGTCGACCGGTATTAAAATAGTCCACAATCCAGCTGCAAGACTATTTGTCAAATGGTATCAACCATGGGTAATCAATTTTAAGGCAACATAAAGTTTAATGCATTTGCGCATGTGTAATTACATACATACATACACATATAAAGGTGCATTACTGGGATGAAGTTTTCCTATTTATTTAGTTTATTTTTACCCTCATAAAAAAGTGTTTTCTCTTTATCTACGATATAAGCCGAAACTACCTCTTTGACTCATCATCGGTGATCAGTTCTTTATCACGCAGCTCTTTTTTTTGGTAACAGGTAATAATCGCTTAGGGTCAGGTCTAGGCTATAGACCTTTGTCTTTATCATCGGTGAATAAAATTATTCCGAGTTTCAAAAATACTTTTCCATGAGTTTCCCACCTGACTGTAGCACCTTAAAATTCGTTGGAGATACAGCGCTCAGTAACAATTCAACAAAATCCCCGAGAAACCCTTCTTTGCATTTTAGAGGTCCAAAAAGGTTTCACTGCCGATTATGTTGTGACGATATCGCAAAGAGTAATTGTGTAACAGCAATGAAACCTCGTGGTATGAGTCACTGAACCCATTACGATCTTATTGAACCCAACTAGACACCTACAACACTCTCACCCAACGAAGATATAAATACTCGATCGTAATACCAAATTTCGTGCTCAATAAGGCATGACAGATCGGTTTGTGGGAGCTATACATATGTTATAGTCATCCGATGGGCTCGAAGCTTGAAAGCCTATTTGGCGAAGGTTGGGTATCTTCTGTTGAAACCCCTTTATGGTACTCTACCACCGGTTATATTAATGGCGCTGGGAACCATATCTATGGTGATACCTAATATCATATATAACATCTTAAGTCGAGTTAAGTCACAATTGAGTTAAGGTCATATTCAGGCTTGTCTTCTTGCAATGCACATTTTAATCCAATTCGTTTTCAAATTCTATGCCTTTAGAAAAAATTCTCACGGTTTTGAGAAGTTGGCCCCGATTGCTAGTTTACGTTGTGTGTGTGTCGTGCTATAAGGAGAAGGTACCTATATTTCTGAATAGCCTGCTTTAAGCATCGCAAGTCAAGTAACGTTCAACTATTACAGTCAACATAATAAAGAGCCTAAGATTCTAACATCAGCATCAACTCTTCCTATAGCGTAGGTAGCTTTAAGCCCCCTAATTACCAAGGAGTCCAAAGGTAGTTTAGCGATCTGATCGATATTTGTTTCGATGGAAACTAGCAATCCAAACAACCGCATCAATTAGCCCCTTCTTATATTATGTAATGTATAATATGTATATTCACTGTATTTAGTTAATCGAGTTATTAGCAGTGCGCACTAAGAGGGAGAAATTTTATGCTCGCGGAATGAGAGAGTTAAAATTTAAAAAAAAAAATAGTTGAAGAAATTATCCTCGACGATGCTAGACTAAAGAAGAAACAACTCGCAGAAATGCTTGGAGTGTCAAGTCTTCGCGAAAACAAGAGCGCGTAGATTGGATTGGACTTCTCTGATGAAGAAATGGATTGAGTCAAAGTATTACTGAAGAGAAAACTTGGCTCATTAAAATGAGTCTGAGTCGAAACAAAACTCCATGAAGTGACATAAAAAGGCATAGCATCTCCCAAAAAGTTTGAGGTGTCATTGTCAGCTGGAAAACTCATGGTAACGGTCACATTTCGTAGGTGGCAATATATTCATAAGGGTGTTAACCATATTCCGATCATCAATCATTTTGCTGTATATTTTTTGCTTATAAAAAAGCATCTGTATGATTTATTATTGAATTCATTTCAATTTCCATTATATATTTTTCTAAATTATTTTCTATTATTTCTTTTCAACAATTTCAGCGCTCACAACTCATATCGAAAGCACAACAAAAGCAAATTAAAGGTACATTGATAAAGGAATATAATTATAAACACAACAGCATAGACCACAACAACAATACTTTTGTATCCCATTTGTGCAGCCGTGGGAGATGTCTGCCGTAAGACATCGGCCCCTGGGACCGCCAGGCAATGGCGGCGATAGCGATGACAATTTTACTGACGATGAGAGCACACCATTAACGCAAGATATTTATGGCGGAAGGTAAGCTACAACCACATGCATATGTACATATATAAAATAAGTGCATTATCCACCGCAGCATATACATATATATCACATATTCGCAAAGAGCCTATATCAGCGTATGGATATTTCTTTCAAATAAACGTGCATATTCGCGTGGTTCGGCAATTGTTGAAAGTGCATGACGGTCTGCGGCGCTCAACAGTCAACCTCACATACGTGTACACCTACGAGTATGCGGTTTTTTTTTGTTTTGGCTTTGTTGATTTGTAAATGTGAAATGTAAATTACTTTGTAAGTGCACTGATAGAGTGACAAGTGGATCGAAATGAATAATGAGTATAACTATGACTTGGGCAGATTAGGGTGAATCGATTCATAAGATATATATACATAAAATTGGCGCTTTGTAATCGCTGAAGCGATTTTTCGGTCGAGCTCCTTCTCCAATTTGTAGTTTAGCGTCTTGCTGTTTTTCCAACAAATGGAGGCACCTACAGTTTATACTAAGCCGCCTGCGAACGGCTGATAGTTTTTGCACGAGGAGCATTTATTTTATGTTCGAAATACACTCGGATGGGTGGACATTTCATGCTGAGGGGCGACCGCATTTGAAAAATGAAAATGAACTTAATTTTTTATTTAAATTAATTTACTATAACTTTTGGATTTTGGTGACACCAGGATATGAACCCGAGCCTTCCAAATGTCAGTACGCAAAAAATGATTATTGGCGTTGGCACCGCCTACGCGATTATAGCACAACTATTTATAGCGCGCCACTCATCCCTTTTTCGCGCTATTTGGCGCCGGAAATACCAAGTGAGGCCAGGTCACTCTCCATCCGATCCTTCCAAAGTATGTTTTTCATACAGAACTCTAGCCTTAAGCTTGAAGCTGACTTTGTGTTTGGAGCAGTTGTAGAAGAAGCCTGCTCATTGTGCCCTACTTATATTTAGATCCATCAATATGTGCATATCTATTTATATCTTCACTATTTCCAATGGTTTTTCGTTCCCTGTAAAGACGGGAGTAAATGGGTTGCGTTACAGAGGGCAGGAGGTTTAGTTTTACAAGCTCACTAAGTTAATCAGTCTTATTGTCATTATGATTGTCAACGATTTCTCTCTCTGCCTTCAATATGTGTTTGGTTCCCGCAGGTCAAAACGATTGTCAGCCCATCAAAAGTTTTGGTTCCGAGTTTGCATCGCAACCAAGAATTGCTCTGGCTTTCTCTCGTCATGAGGGAATTCAGCCGCCTATTTTGACACAAAAGTCTAACCTGCCGGCTACGACGTCTTCATTACGATGCTCACACCATGTGAAAGCATGTGTATCCGCATTAACAGCGCATTAACACTGTCAATCGTTGTGTACTACGCCGCCAACGCAGTAGGAAGACCGTAAGCACAGGACAGTTTAATGTGATGACTTCTTTCACCGCCCGGTAAAGATGGAGAGGCTCGGCGTTTAACGACCGGAGAATAACGACATAACAGGAGAAGATCCAACAGCACTTTTTATTTCATTGGTCATAGAGATCTGAAACTTTGAAGTTGACTTTTACGTATGACATAGGCATAAGATAAGAAAGGAATTTCGGCAACCTGGAACCGATCTATTCTCAAATAATCGAATTTATTTTTAAGTCCTTCGATTTGCAAGAATTTTCGTAGATAAGTAAATAAGTAGTAGTTCTTTGCTCAAATTTTTCTTCCGGCAAGGGGACCTGGATCATACACCACATTCGGTACAGAGATAGCTTTTAGCCTTTATTAACAAGAGAAATGCTTTTTCTTATGGGAAGTGTGCCTGATATCGATTTAACGGTTCGGTTTTCCTTAATATATGGATAATATGTAATGGAGAAATTTTCTGTATGGAAATGAATCCGTAACCGATCTACTCGAAGAATTTGTATTTATAGTTCGAGTTGATAGATATCTGGAAGATAAGTATATATCTCTTTCCCTTGATGAACACATAAATAGCTTATATTTCCGGGACCGATGTATTCAAAAAAATAGTATTCTTCTTTCGATTTGCTTGAAATTTGTAACATAGAAAGCTTCTTGTCTGGACTAATATGTCCAGATGTATGTATATGTTTTAAAATAATAGTTAATTAGTTATAAAAGTATATCCATAAAAATGTAATAAAAAATAGTTTTTTAAATCTTAAATTCCATGTGGAAAAATCTGCGAGCAAACTCTAGTTGATTTATAAATAATTTCTGCAACACAGATGTGCTCAGAAATCATTCAGTCAAAGCCTTATTGTCCTAACTCTTAAGAGTCCTTGATGGCATATTTTAAGGCCTAAGGTGCGGTATGAAGAGGCCTTCAGTGGCCGGTTTTGAACTATTTAAAATGCTCAAACTCACCAAGCTATTAAAAAACAGAGGAATATTCGAGCAAATTGAGTTGAGTTAAAACATTTGAGGTTTGCCTTACGGCACTAGTATTTAAATACAAGTTAAAGAAAACTCAAACTACTTGACCTTATGAAGTGTGTGTAGATATTTAATCAAATATAAGTATGTATATACAATTTATATATGCACAATAAAAAATGGTTCCCATAACGAAGGTGTGGCTTGGCCGTCACAATTAATCACTTTTACTTTCATAACTATTTATAACAAAGAATAACATGCTGTTTGTAGGTAGGTTTATATGTAAAACAACCAAACCTATTGAAATGCCGGAACTAGTTTTATACACTGTTCTTACCACGTAATAATTAACCTTTTTCCAACCAATTAAGAGCAAAAAAAATAAACCAAATAGGAAGAAAAAAATTCTCAATATATATTTTCTCTCTCATTACAGCCAACGCACAATACAAGAAACAAAAGGCTGGGATGTGTTCCGTGATCCGCCGATCAAGGTAGAAACCGGTTCGACAGCAAATCAGGAATGCCTGGAACTCACAGTGAAGATATTGAAAATCTTCGCATACATATTCACATTCATAATAGTCTTAACGGGTGGGGTCATGGCGAAGGGCTGTGTACTATTTATGACATCACAAATACGTAGAGATAAGAAAATAGAGTACTGCAATAAAGATTTGGTGAGTACTAGAGAACATATGTATATACATATATACTCGTATATATTACATATGCTTATAATTTAATTATTATTATTTTTATTTGCCAGGGTCGCGATAAAACCTTCGTCGTCAAATTGCCCGAAGAGGAGCGTATAGCATGGATTTGGGCCTTGTTAATTGCATATGCGATACCCGAGTTTGGTTCTTTCATACGCTCCGCACGTATCTGTTTCTTCAAAACGTTTCGTGTACCAAAAACTGGGCACTTTCTTTTTGTCACGCTCATGGAGAGTCTCAGCTGTTTTGGCACTGCTTTACTTATGTTCGTGGTGCTGCCACAAATTGATGCCATACAAGGCGCCATGTTGACCAATTGCTTGTGCGTAATACCCGGCATACTTGGTCTACTGTCACGCAATGCGAAAGAAGGTAAACGCGCCGTGAAAGTAATCATCGATTTGGCTGCAATTGCGGCACAAGTAACAGGATTCGTTATATGGCCGCTACTTGAGAATCGTCCAGAATTGTGGGTCATACCAATCGCTTGTGTGATGATCTCTTGTGGTTGGTGGGAAAATTATGTCTCACCACAATCGCCGATCGGTTTGGTACGTTCGATGGGGCGTGTAAAGGAGGAAATGAGAACGACACGTTATTTCAATCACATGTTCATTTCCTTGTGGAAGATTGTATTGTTTCTCTGTTTGACCTTGCTAATCATTTGGTCACAAGGCGATGAGCCAGTTAACTTATTCAGCATGTTTGGTGACGGCTTGGGGCCGCATAAGATATCAGTAGACGAATTGGCTACAAGTTTGACTGGAAATTTGCCGGATACATTAGATGCAGCCAACATAGACAGCGTAGAGATTGATGCGGCATACAACACGGTTATTTATGTGCTGCTGATACAGATTTTCGGCGCTTACCTCTGCTATATTTTCGGAAAATTTGCTTGTAAAATTCTCATACAAGGCTTCAGTTATGCCTTCCCTGTCAGTTTGACAATACCAATAACTGTATCTTTGCTAATCGCCGCATGTGGTTTGCGCATAGACGATCCTTGTTTCTTCCACGACACCATACCGGACTATTTGTTTTTCTCGAGTCCACGCAACTTTCGGTTTAACGACTTTGTTACACAACAAATGGCTTGGGCGTGGATATTGTGGTTGCTTAGTCAAACTTGGATTGCATTACACATTTGGACACCGAAGTGTGAACGTCTGGCGACAACAGAAAAATTATTCGTTCGTCCGATGTATTCGGCACTATTAATTGACCAATCTATGGCCATGAATAGGCGTCGCGATGACCAGGCTGACGTAAAGACAGAGGTAAACTATGGGTGTTGATTCTGCTGTAGAAATTTCGTAATTAACAATTTCTCTTTCTCTTGCAGGATTTATCGGAAATCGAGAAGGAAAAAGGCGACGAATACTACGAAACCATTTCCGTGCACACCGATGGCTCAGCCATGCAAAATAAGCCGAGTATAAAGTCTTCAGATCACATTACGCGCATCTATGCTTGCGCTACTATGTGGCATGAAACTAAAGACGAAATGATGGAGTTCTTGAAGAGTATTATGCGCATGGATGAGGATCAATGTGCGCGTCGAGTCGCTCAAAAATATCTACGTATCGTCGATCCGGACTACTATGAGTTTGAAAGTGAGTAATATGGTTTTAGAAGTTAGAACTGTAAACCACTAGTCTGTCTGCTGTCCGACCGTACGTACAACTATTATTTAAATTTTTTCGGCCAAGTTCTTAACCTATTGACACCGGTATATCCGAGAGATAGTTACGAGTACATAGAGATCGGACAACAAACACGTCTTTAGTGCGTTTGGAGGACATTTAATCCGTAACTATTAAATCCACATATACTGTAAACTGTTACTTAATAGTCGGTGCAATCTGACATTTGTTTGTTGCTGTTTTCAATAATATCTATCTTAATGTATTTCAATGGTCTAACAGAAAATCTTCTTCCTCATTAACAGCACACACTTTCTTCGATGACGCATTCGAAATTTCCGATCACAGTGACGACGACATACAGGTCAATCGGTTTGTGAAACTACTGGTGGCTACAATGGATGATGCTGCATCCGAAATTCATCAGACCACCATACGTTTGCGACCACCCAAAAAATACCCAACACCCTATGGTGGTCGTTTGGTATGGACTTTGCCTGGTAAGACCAAGTTCATAACGCATCTCAAGGACAAGGATCGTATTCGTCATCGTAAACGTTGGTCACAAGTCATGTACATGTACTATTTACTGGGTCATCGTCTCATAGAATTGCCCATATCGGCTGATCGTAAAGATGAGATTGCACAGAACACTTATTTGCTGACATTGGATGGCGATATCGATTTCAAACCAAACGCTGTAACATTACTTATCGATTTGATGAAGAAGAATCGTAACTTAGGTGCCGCATGTGGCCGTATTCATCCAGTAGGCTCGGGTCCCATGGTATGGTATCAACTATTCGAATATGCCATTGGTCATTGGCTACAAAAGGCCACCGAACATATGATCGGCTGTGTGCTTTGTAGTCCCGGTTGTTTCTCCCTCTTCCGTGGTAAAGCGCTCATGGATGACAATGTTATGAAAAAGTATACCACACGTTCGGATCAAGCACGTCATTACGTGCAATACGATCAGGGTGAAGATCGTTGGCTTTGTACCCTATTGCTTCAACGTGGTTATCGTGTCGAATACTCAGCTGCTTCTGATGCTTACACTCACTGTCCGGAAGGTTTTAATGAGTTCTACAATCAACGTCGTCGCTGGGTGCCATCAACCATTGCCAACATTATGGATCTGTTAGGTGATGCTAAACGTACTATAAAGATTAATGACAACATTTCACTGCTGTATATCTTCTATCAAATGATGTTGATCGGTGGTACTATACTCGGTCCCGGAACGATCTTTCTTATGTTGGTGGGTGCTTTTGTGGCCGCTTTTCGTATCGACAATTGGACTTCCTTCCATTACAATATCGTGCCGATTCTATTATTCATGTTAGTCTGTTTCACATGCAAATCAAATATACAGTTATTCGTGGCGCAAGTGTTTTCTACGGCGTATGCACTGATTATGATGGCAGTAATTGTGGGAACCGCTTTGCAATTAGGCGAGGACGGCATCGGCTCGCCATCGGCTATATTCTTAATGGCAATGACGACCTCATTTTGGATAGCGGCCTGTTTGCATCCGCAGGAGTTTTGGTGCATTACGGCCGGTCTCATCTATTTACTCTCTATACCGTCTATGTACCTTTTGCTTATTCTCTATTCGATCATCAATCTGAATGTGGTCTCATGGGGTACACGTGAAGTGGTCGCTAAGAAAACGAAAAAGGAAATGGAGGCCGAAAAGAAAGCAGCTGAAGAGGCAGCAAAACGTGTGAAACAAAAGAGCATGTTGAGTTTCCTGCAAAGTGGCGTTGGTGACAATGGTGATGAGGAAGGCTCCATAGAATTCTCTTTAGCCGGTTTATTCCGTTGCATATTATGTACGCATGGCAAAACGACAGAGGAGAAGGCACAGCTCACTGCTATTGCAGAATCTTTAAATACCATTAAGACCAGATTGGAGGCGTTAGAGCATACCTTAGATCCACATGGACACTCGCGACACGCACGTAGACGTACAACATCTAGCGGTTCGAAAGATCATCATTTACTCTCTTCGGTTGCCGAAAAATCTGGCGGCGAATCGGAAGAATCCGACTCGGATACCTCAGCAGAACCACGACAAGAGCGCGATTTCTTAACTAATCCTTTCTGGATTGAGGATGCCGACTTGCGTAAGGGTGAAGTTGACTTTTTGTCAAGCACCGAAATACAATTTTGGAAAGATATGATTGACAAATATCTATTTCCTATTGATAACGATCCAGTTGAACAGGTAACTTTGTGGTTTCTTATAAATTGCGATTATCGTCGGGTGATCGCAAATGTTATTAGATGGAAGGTGGATTATTGCAAAAATCGTACACCAAATTTTCAAAAAGTTATTCATTTTATACCTTTCATGAAGTGAAAATCGTCCTGCGACCCTGCCATGGGGATTAAGGAGGAGAAGTAAAACCAAAAAATTAATATATCGATATGATGAGAATTTCCGCTTATCTGTCTATCTGCTTGAACACAAAGTGGCATATATATTCTTGAATTATTCTAATGAAATCAGTTCAGAAGACTTTAGGTAATAACACTAGCAGTTATTATTTGACGTAGCCGCCGCTTTGCGATTATAGCTGAGTCAACAATATTACGGGGGCGGGGTAATAGTATGCTGTTCTTGGAATAAAAGGAAACAGAACGCTCAGAAAAGATATGTTAGATCAAAACTGTTCGGTTACCGAATACGTAGCTTTCTATGCTATTATGCATGGGTGCAAACACTGGTCTGATAAGCATCCAAAGTTATAGGAAAAGCTTTTTTCGAAATCCCTCGTCGGAAATGATCTACGAGTGGTTTTCTGAACTGAAATAAAAATCTTCTTATAAAAATCTTCTAATAAAAATCTTCTTATAAAAATCTTCTTATAAAAATCTTCTTATAAAAATCTTCTTATAAAAATCTTCTTATAAAAATCTTCTTATAAAAATCTATCAGTCATTCGAAGACGGCTTGGAGCTTGGTGAGCAAACATACAAATTCATAACACGAATTTGTGAAAAACTGCGACCGAAACTTATACGCCACACGAACTATACATATTATAGATAAAAGGTGGCAGCGAAAATTAGAAAAGTTGGACCACTTTAACATGAAATGGGTTTTCCATTATTATTAACACTGCCGCATACGGAGCTCGAAAAACTCAATATTTATTGTCCCAACCATCCAGCGGAGTCATTGGACCTTATTTTTCCGAAAATGAATGCATTGCGCTATCAAGAGATGATTCGCGATTTTTTATGGCTGGGATTGGATGGTATTGAAATGGACAATGCTACTTTCAATAACAACTTGCCACACCAGCAACGAAACGATCGATCTTTTAAAAGAAAAGTTGCTTTGAATATCGGGAAAACGCAGTTTGCTGATCTGATATATGCATTGATTTCAATTTTAATTTAGCTTCCGCTCATGAGAGGTATAATGCCTTCGGTTTCGCCGAAGACAATTTTTTTTATTTATTTTTTTAATTTCTTTTGTTTAAAGTAAAAACAACAGTGTTTTACGCAAGCGGGTGTGCTTGACCTTATAGTTTAGTGTTGACTACATGATTTTTTTTTTGTAATTTATTAATGAAAATGAATTTTCTAGGCAAGAATAGCTAAAGATCTTAAAGAGCTGCGCGACTCTTCGGTGTTCGCATTCTTCATGTGTAATGCTCTATTCGTTTTAATTGTGTTCTTGTTGCAATTGAACAAGGACAACATACACGTTAAATGGCCATTTGGTGTACGCACAAACATAACCTACGATGAATCCACACAAGAGGTAAATTTTGGCAAGGGGATTTCATGCGCGTAGCGTCAAATGAGCGAGAGAGATAGAGAGAGAGAAAAATAAACCCAATTCCGTACACGGAACTCCAATGGAATTTGACGTTAACGTTAAGGAAATCCCCATTTGATAAACATACTAACATATTTCTTTTTTCTTTTCTTCTTTTCTCATATATTTTATACAAAAACAAAAAATACAACTATCTTTTCAAAAATGGAAAATTTAAATTTCATAAAAATCAAAAAAACCAAAAAAATTATAAACAAAATTAATGTAATGCTATGTGCGATGATGTGATAAACGAAAAAAAAAAAATAAAAACGAAACATCAAACTTACGTTAATCATGCGAAATAACGGCAAAAAAATCTTTGTAACGAAATATCATAACGAAACCAACAAACAGGCACGGATCGCAGCCGATCTCATAGAGTTGAGAAACAAATCAGTCTTTGCGTTTTTCATGGCCAACGCCTTATTCGTCTTGATTGTGTTCTTGCTTCAGCTGAACAAGGATAAATTGCACATTGTCTGGCCACTTGGTGTCAAGACTAACATTACGTATATAGAAGAGACATCAGAGGTTCTTATCTGTTGCATTTTCTTACAACGTTCAATGCAAATGTGTTTTTGTTTTGTTAATTTCACACTCTTTCTAACTGTTGTCATGGTTCTGTTGTAAATTTTTCCGTTTTAACTTTTAACTTATTTTACATACATAATTGTCCATTTACATACATACATATGTACGTACATATATATATTTATATATATATATATATATATATCGTTTCGTTTCGTTTGTAATTTAATTTTCAAAATTCTACTCACATTTGTGCTAAAAATTAAATAAAAAATTACTAAAATTATGAACATATCAAAATATGTACATATATACATAACCTCACTTCCTTCCCGCCTAACTCTTCTACGTCCCTTATAATTTCAACTTTTCACTTTTTCAGTTGTTTTTACATGTTTAACGATGTTAATTCTCACTTTCGCATTCAAAATTTTACTCACAACCCCACGAACATTTTTACAAATGTTACAATTGGCGAATTGATTTTTTATATCCAATGTAAAATGTGTTCGATTACTACCTGCATCTCCTTCCAAGGCCGGTTAATACTTGTATGATAATAATACCGTGAATTTATGTAATTTTTAATTTTCCATTATTTTAAAAACAGGCTTATCCATTTTGCGGTTTCGAAAAAACAACAACATAAATATATATTTTACATGAAGTTCTTTTTTTATTGTAAATTTTGAAACTTTGTCATATATTTTCGCTAACTTCGATCCGCTTGTGGTAATTTTCGATAATCTTTTCTTAAGGGGGAACCTGGTTTAGAGGGTAAAAAAATCGTTTTTTTGAAACTTATCTCATTCATTTAGAAATTTATTCTGAAATTTTTCCACAAAATTTCAGAGTCAAACTCCTAATCGTTCCGCAGAAATGGCCTCTGAGAGACAATACGCTCAGGAGACTGATAAGCGGGCGCGAGAACTTTGAACGCGATTTTCTCAAAACAGTGTTTTTCTGTTTTGTGCACACGATTAAAAAAGTTGTAATTGTCGCATTTTCATAAGTGATACCTTTTTTTACAGCTAATAGTGTAGGCTTCTATGTGAACCTAAAAAATCACAATAAAAAACTTTTTTATTAACTTTTTTCAATAAATTATCTTAAAATTTCTTCAGAAAAACGCAAAATTTTCTATAAACAGTCATAAAATAAATAATTTTATACATTTCTTCGAATATCCTAGGTTCACATAGAAGAGCAACTCCTAAGCTACAAAAAAAGTATTCGTTTTTATGTTTCAGATGAAAACTACGATCGCTATCGAGTTCACAAAATAGACTCTTCGGGCGAGAAGTGCCACAAACAAATACGAATTGTTATTGCTTAACAGTATCAAATAAAGTGAAAGTAAATTTTTTTTGCAAGATTTGTGTATCTATAACATCTTTCAAAAGTACTTGAAGGCAACCTAAAGCACTGTGCCGAATATCATGCAATTTTCAGCGTTCTAAACCAGGTTTCCCCCTAAAAGCTCGAATTACCATTTTTATCGTGTTTTCAAAATTTTGACGCATCGTGCGATGTTGAGCGATCCACTTTCATAAATGCCTTTTTTTAACTACAAAAAAATATGTTTAGTTTGACAGTTAAATTTTACAATTGTCAAAATACATATCTATACTTTTGAAACCACGAAATAGATAACCCTGCATATTTACATATCGGCTATCAATTTATTAAACACTCAGAATTAAACTTCGTAAATAAAAACTGGTGTTGGCTTATGTAATAAATATATATGAATGTATGAATTTATTTACCTTAAATAAATTGAATTTTTTAAATTAATTTAGCGGTAAGGGTTACTTAAATATTTATAAATATTATTGTTGTAATAGTAAATATAATATTTCAAACAAAATTAGAGCAATCAGAAATTATTTACAAATGTCAACGTATAAGAGAATACTTATTTTGGTTGAATAAAAGTACTTTTTTTTATTATTTTAAAGATACTTTGATTGAAAAATATCCTATTTTGGATCGAAGTCTTATTATTTTTCAAGAAAAAAACCCCAAAATATCTTTTTCATATCTGAAAACCGAGACCTGACTTTAACAAAAACTTCCCGCCTTTAAACTCACACTTCAGTCCGAGGAAATCGATCTTTGACTCATTTTTATTCAAGGAAGTAATTTTTTGCTTAATCAGCTTAAATCAACTTATGTCTAACAATAAGTATACAAATCTAATAACTAAATTAAGAAGGTTTTAACTCGAGTTATTATTATGTGGCGGAAACATTTCTTCGCTGCTGTCGCGAATTTCTGGATGAGTTGCACAAAGCGTAAGCTAACCAGTAAGTTACTAAGGTCTTTAGGTATGTTTACACAACGAACGTACCAAGGTTCGACCGTTCTTACCCTTAGAATTTTGGACTGGAACCTACGTTTTTTCCCAATATCGATTACACAGCTCATACCCCCAATTTGTATACTAAACACCCAAAGTGGTTTTATAATTGCTTTGTAAATGAGTATGATATCGGCTCAAGAACGCTACAACAACATCAGCTTCAATTGGGATTTTCCAATAGGCTAGGCAAAGTCTTATAAGTTTTGTGCACTTTTTAAACAATTTTTGAATCATAACCCGATGCACTTGAGATGAATGCATTACGGAGGCTTAACAAAACGTGTGATCAGGCGATACGAACACAACTTGAGAAGGGTGTTATATGTACATTGGTAAAGCCAGAAAGAGAAAATTACGGTTTTATATTTGGAACACAGTCCTAGTCAACAATTTCCTTTTCGGCGGATATTCGTGTGCACCAACTCTTACATTGAGTGAGGCGACTAGAGTTAAGAAAATACCTATAGATTCGCTGTAGGAGCAAGCGAGGCCACATATTTTCTTTCTCTCTCAAATTTCGTCCGACGTAGTAGCGGAAAAGTATTAGCGCTTTCGTTAAAGGATAAAGGAATGAAGTGAGAGAAATAGAGAGAGAGGAAATTAAGTGCAATAGCATATTTTCTATCCCTTTTTCGCTCATTGGCCGTTTATAAAATACAAACAGCGCCAATAATTTAGCAAAAATCGGCGATTCTGATTAATATGTGAAAACCTTTATGTAAAAACCATGGTTTGATGAAAAAATGATCCTGCATTATGTGAATCCATTCAAATCCATAAATGTAAATTTGTCTGATTTTTGGATCCCTTGAAATAGCGATAAGATATGTCCCTGATTTTCGTATACCATATCTGACTGAAGTAGGAGTTTTAATTGCTAAAACGTGTTCGGGTTAGGTTTCAATAAAAAAAATAGTAAAAAAGTTGAAAATCGTTTTCCTTTTATTCTAAAATGTCTTTGAATTCTGGTTCGATCCAACCAAAAAGCAAAAACACCAGCACTTAGTTGGACCAAAATAAGTTGAAATATCTTGGCATTTAGGTATTTTTTTATATACGTTTAGTTTAATATGTGTATACAATGTAATTTATAAAATTTTTGAGCTTTCGCTGCACTTTTTCTAAAGCTCATATTTCGATTCACTTTGTGCTCGCTTTGTATGTTTATGAAAAGTACTAAATTTTTGGTTAAAATAATATTAAATTGGTTTTTATAAACTGATATTAGCATTATGTAGATTAAATGGGCATGAATAATTATTCACTAATAAAAATGAAGTTCTTGAAACTACTTCCTCCGAATTTACATTTAAAGATTGTAGTTTTATATCCTTTATTTGGTAGCAATACGAAACTCGTCGTTGAAATAACTTCTATTCAACGAGGCTCACCAGAGGACACTTCAAGCTCATCGCATGTTGTCATTAGAAAATTACTCAGATTGTGTTGCAACTCTCACAGACGGCTTTGATGCCGTAGTACGATCAATACTTAAAGATGTGTTTTAAGTGGGCACACATCGCTAGAATCGCGCTGAGAACGTCAACGGTTGAGCAGAGGTATTTCACGTACTGGGAAATCTAGACTTTAGAAAGTGTTCAGTGATTGTCAGCAATAGTAGTTGGTTTTAGTCATTTTTAGGCGGATGCTGTTAGATCTTTAATTTCATTTTATGTAATATAGGTATGCAACATTAGTTTAAAGCATATTCAGAGTGTTAATGTTCTGAGGCTATCACGGCGGGAGGTATTTTGCCTTCGTCATGTTGGTATATCCAGACTTCTCCTTTTTACAAAGAGACTTGTTCGAGGTCAGCACGTTGAGAACTGTCAATTTCGTTTCGTAAACAATATCAATCCAGGCTGCAGTCAAGTGAGAAAAACACGGTATCATACGCTATTTCGTTAAGTTTGCGAGAAGAAAGCATTATAAAATTCCTAACCCCACTTTCATAGAGAGCAATAGCTTACATTATGTACTAGAGCACCAAGTAATTTTTTTTTTTTGTAAAGATTAAAGATGTTAAAATCTGCAAAAATTCAGTAGACTTACTTCCTGCATATGCCTCGTCGTTTCTGGAACCGTTAAATTGAATGACAGCGATCTGTTGAGAGAACAAAAGGATTCGTCTACAGACTCCCATTCTGACTGCCATTTTAAAATTAATTAATTTTCAATATTAAAATTATTCGTTCAAATAGTTGTCAGAGATGTGTGACTAATCGATTAATCGAATAATTTTATTAATAATTTCTTTTGATTTATTTACTAAGCATTAGTTCGTAGAGTTTCAAATTCCTGTCGAGGATTTTATAATGAAATAAAAATAATTATATTTTGTTGACTATTTCTAGTTTAAAATATTTTTGTTGATTTAAAAAATATTTAGAGTAATTAAATTTGAAAAACTATCAGGTGTACAACTTTGCTTCCGCCGTTTTATTTCCAAAATTAAAAGCTTTATTGCGAAAAAGTGCTTACAGATATATTATTCAAAGTATTGTTCTTCACTAGCGACAACTTTCTCACATCTTTCCGGCAATTTTCGGATCCCGGCTCGAAAAAAGAGTCCTCTTTTGACGCTACCCATGAAGCAATCCATTTTTCCAATTTTTCGAAGGATTGAAAATGTTGATCTACCAGGCCGTGTGCCATCGAACGGAATAGGTGAAAGTCAGAAGGGGCGGCATCTGGGGAACACTTCGGGTGGGGCAAGACTTCCATGTCGCTCTTGATATTGTGGCCGCTTTTCTTTCAGCGCGCGACTAAGGCGCATCAGTTGCGTTCGGTAGCGATCTCCTGATGGTTTTAACCGGTTTTAAGAGCTCGTAGTAAATCACACCGAGCTGATCCCACCAAATACAAATCATAACCACCATGTTTGCCTTCGACATCGAAATCACCATTTTTAAAACGTTGAAACCACTCCCGACACGATCTTTCACTCAGAGCAGCATTACCGTAAGTTTCTGAGAGCATTCGATGCGCTTCAGCTGATTTTTTTTTCGAATTGTAACAGAAAAATAAAACTGTCACTGGAACGCCGAGGACAATTCGTTAGGCACTGTCCGCACTCACTTTAAAGGCATTATCATCTATGTATTTCAACCAGCCTCAGCCGGTACAGCTACCTATCGGAAAACGGCGGCAGAAAAGTTGTACACCTAATATTAAATTTTTAGTAAATTGTGAAACTTGGAACTTGATTATCCAAAATTATTTAATAAAAATTAATTGCACACACATATAAATATATAGAATGTGCCAATTGACAGTATTTCACTATGTTACACCGCTAATAATTCGCTTCAGCAAAATGTCCAAACACACATTTAAAATTATATTCTGCACTTGCCTGCTTGACGAACTAAATTGCTATAGCTTTGCATAATAATTTGCTCTTTATATTATAATTATTAAGTAGTGTTATTTTTTTTTATTAATTTAGCGCAACATTAAGCATTTTTAAGTTTAGTTTTTTATAATAAAAAGTTCAAACAAAGCCAGCACAATGTTGGATCCTCGCGAAAAATAATAACATATTTACATATACCGTTTTACGAACACTAATTCCATCATTGCCACAACAGCCATGTCCAGTCAATACAACAAAGTCCACAAACGTCAGTAACTTTTAACTGTAACTTGTGCTCATGCCATACGAACTTCAAAACAATGTTATACCCACATACAAAAGCATACTTCATAAACCGTTATCAAACATTGGTGTATCGGCCACGTTCTTCTGTATGCAAGCCACTCTTGTCAATAATTCCTAACACTTGCATAACTCAAAACGTACATTTTCAAACCCATACCCGACAGCCAATCACTCAATCACCCGAGTTGAGTGAACAAATTTACTTTAACATCAATATTAAAACCACACACACATTGCACATACATACAAATGGTATTCAGCAGAATTTTTGTAATAATTATAAACTTTATTCCCTTGTTGAAATATTTTATTTTAAATTTTGTAACTAACCAACAATCAACTCGTATTACGATTGCGCCCTTAAAATGTGTACTAATCACAATTTTCCTGTTGCGTCCTGCTTCTCTTTCTTTACATTTTAGGTACACATTTCAAAGGAATATCTACAATTGGAGCCGATCGGTTTGGTGTTCGTGTTCTTCTTTGCGCTCATTTTGACTATACAGTTTACGGCTATGTTGTTCCATCGTTTCGGCACCATTTCGCATATACTCGCCTCAACTGAGTTGAATTTCTGTAAGAAAAAGTCCGAGGATACCTCACAGGATGCACTCATAGATAAGGTAGTAATTTACAATATTAGCCACGCCACTACATTCCTCACATTCGGTCTTTTTATATAGCATGCAGTGGAGATCGTAAAAAATTTACAACGTCTTCAAGGCATAGATGGCGATTACGATAATGACTCTGGCAGTGGGCCCGATCGCATAGCGCGCCGTAGAACCATACAGAATTTGGAGAAAGCACGACAACCGCGCCGGCAAATCGGCACTTTGGATGTAGCGTTTAAGAAGCGTTTCCTCAAACTTACTGCGGACGAAAATAATCCAGGTAAATTTTCAAATTTTTTTTCTAAATATTTTATTGTATGAATTAATGAATGATGAATTTTTAAATTGCAGCAACTCCAATATTGACGCGTCGCTTGACAATGCGTGCGGAAACAATACGTGCGCTGGAAGTGCGCAAGAACTCGGTTATGGCGGAAAGACGAAAATCAGCTATGCAAACATTGGGCGCTAAAAATGAATATGGAATTGCAACAACAGCAGCAGTGGTAAGTTAAAAACTTTCAAGTTTTTTTTTTAGTTTTTTGCCGAACCACACATAGCCTGCTGGCATTTTATTCTTCTACTTCATAATTGGCATTATCAGCGCTTACAGTATTAGCGTAGCAGGCCCATGGTTTCTTCTTTTTGCCATTCAACGCCATCACCAAGCGAAGCCAAGACATGGTTCACCTAATCTCTATTTTTCCTCTAAGTCCACTGGCGCATAAAGTATCGAAAACGTTTAAAGCTGAAGTGTTTTCTAACAGCCGACAATATCGCGGCGTATCTCGTACAACTCATCGTTCCATCGGCGTCCTAGATATGTACTTTCGCAAAACCTTTTTCTTTAAATCTTATAACTCCTACTCAACGGATGTCGTTATCGTCCATACTTCGTAACTTTTAAAGTTTAATCTATGTTGTTTGAAAGGGAACTTTTATTTTCAGCTGCAAACTCAGTTCAAAGTAACACCTTTTGACAACAGTGAGGTCGGAGCCTAAGCACGACAATGCTTTTGATGTTACTCAACGCCAGCTAACACAACCGCTTAAGTTTTGCGTAAATTCCAAATTCTAACAAAAGAAGCGGTGATCTGAACCTTTTCTCTCACGTCTTTGTCAAGATTCAGTGTATGGGAGGTGAATACCTATATTTATGAGTATATCTATTGTGGACCTAACAGGTCTGAGGTCACACTATTAGGGTTCAATCAGAACGATGGGTTTTAGTTAATTGCCTAATTTTGTCCGATATAAACTTGCATGCCATATTGACGATATTTATCCCTCGAAAATGGGCGGTCTCCCGTCTTTGGCCTCTTGCCGAGCAGCAAGGCTGGTGAATGCGGGAAATACTTTTGGTAGCGCTGATATAGCAAAGTGAAACCAAACCAAGCCTAGACGAGTTGAAAGCTAAACGAAACGGGAAGACCAGTTTCGAGATGATTTTCAGTGCTGACTCAGGCTGTAGTTGAATTGTTCGGTCGTTTATCATAACTAGCTATTAGCCATGATCCTGGGGAGAGAGAGTTAGGTCCGATTTCTTTTACTTCAATTTCAATTACAATTTCATCAGTATCTACGAATGTGGGATTCAATGATACAATACTTCTTTCGGATTTTTTGCATAGTGAATAGACTTACTCGGAGTAATTCGTGCAAAATTAATACCAAAATAATGATGCGGTTCGCTGTGCGTCTAATATTCGGCCGAAATAATCGCCTAGCAGAGTCGGTAATTCGTGAAACCATGATTCGGCTTACTTTAGTGCACACGGAATACACATTTGCTGCTGTGTAGCAGAGTATCGAAGTAGACCCGAATGGGTCCAACAATAAATGGAATTGTGTTCTTGGCAGTCCACTTTATAGAAGATTTTGCGGAAGAATCTTGAGTTTGCAGACTTATAAATTACTCAATCCAACTCGTGCAAGAATTAAAGCCGAACGACCATCAAACGCGTCGCACTTTTGGTGACTGAGCCAAAAATAAGTTTGTTGCATTTGGAGTGATGATAATCTGCAAACCATTCTTGAGACATCGTTACACCCTTAAAAAAGTCACTGTTTAGTGTGCTCTGAGGGCAATTGGGATCATGAGTATATACACAGCCGGGCAAAATTTTGATGTGGCGAACCTTTGGTTCCAACAAGATGAATATGCATACATACGAAACTATCAATTTATTGAAGGAAATTGTTGTTGAACTCATTATCTCTCGTGAGCCTGTGTCTTGGCCTCTAAGATCGCGGGATATAACACGACTGAGCTATTTTTTGTGAGGTTATGTGAAGTGGTTTGTCTATGCAGATAAGCCCAAGACGATTCACGCCTTGGAAGAGAAAACTGGTCAAGAGTTGGGCGCTGGTCACTTAACTGAAATCTTTCTTTCTTAACCATCTTTTAAACATAATAGCAAACCCTTATCTTTATAATAAAGTTAAATTCTTGGTCATTAAATTATTAACGTTTGATTTCATCTCAAAACCACATGTCTAAAAAAAACACTCTTTATATACTTAATCTCAGCCAATAGCATATACATATATTAACAACTATTCTAACCTCTTCACTATATTCCAGTTGAACAATAATGGCGTAATACCCAATCAACGTAGCGGACGCATATCCAATGCCGGCATTAGCATCAAGGACGTGTTCAATGCAAATGGTGGACCAGGCGAGGTAAACTCTTAATTCCCTTAATTAATTTATAGTTCATTGGAATACTATTTTTTATTGCATTTTATTGCTATTTCAAGCAAATCTACGGTTCAAATGGTGGCGGCACCATCAATCAAGGCTACGAGCATGTGCTTGAAGATGACGACCGCAATTCACTGCGACTGACCGCGCGTAATCCCAATCAACAAGTATCATGGGGACAGAATAGCAGCAATACAGGACGTTTGTAAAAGAGTTTACTGATGCCCAGCGCCGGAAATGATGATATTATTTTTTATTTACTATATTTTTTTGTTTTTATTTGGAATACATACGTTCGTTAAACAAAGGACTTTGTTAGTTAATACGCATACACGTACATACTATTAGAATGTAAGCTCTTCTTTGCTGTTGTCCTTCCGCAAAAGTCCTACGTCCTACTACAATACAACTTTTAATTTTAGAAATTAAAACAAAAAAATCTTAAATAAGCAACCAATCAGTGTCACAAAGTCGAATAGTAAGTCGTGCTCTCTCGATGAAGGTTATCTATGTATAAGGAAAACTACCATTTCGTAAGAGAATGAGAACCAAACACTATTTTCGATGAATATTGCATATATGATTTATAATATTACATTATGTAATGTAAATTTCCTTATATTTTTTCTTTCGAATAATTTTTTCCTTTTTTTGTTTGAGCCTAAAAGACATACATGAAAAGCGAGACGCCACTGTAGCTGCTCATATCTTCACTAAAATAAAATAATTATTAAATTTTTTTTTGGATTTTATTTGTTTTTGTAAATTTCATATTTACTGCCAAAAATATGATTTAACATTTTTTTCCTATTGCTTTCGTCGCCAAGAACCTTTTTGACTAGTTTTGTAGGTTAAATAATATACATATGTATGAATATGTAGTAATGAATGTCCAGTTCATATGCACTTTTGAGCATAATTATTGTAAATATTACAACGAATATATTTAGCTAATCACACTGCCCGCTTACGTGAGAGACTTGTTGGTGAATATACTCGTATGTATGTACTTACGTACAGATACACAAAATATTTCACCTGATTTACTTGGTAAATGGTTGATTCGTATCTGATAATTCAGTTACTTCAGTGCCAGCCTTTCGTAAATCAGTAGTTTACTAGCGTATAACGAATAATTTAGTCTACATACTCGTATACATACATATATATAGATTTGATTTTAGTGATTATTATAATTTTTTTTATACTTATTTGATTTTTTTACATTATATACATATGTGTGTACATATGTATTAATTTTTATTCAATGTTAAATTGTTGTTATTGACCTTTACTTTACATATATACGAGTATATATGTATTATATATAAAAGTATGTATTATATTTTACATTTACCGATTTCGTATCAAATTGCATATGCATGTACATATGTACGTAGAGGTCAAGGAACAGCAATACCTGTACCAGTGTATGAATCATGGATAATACTCATCTGATAATTTGTATAAAATTACAATACACAAACTTTTAAATACACATACAAACATAATTGCAATTTTTTGGCATATATTATAAATAAATGTATGTATGTGCTTAGTTATTTTAATAATATGAAATGTGTAGTGATAGGAATAAATAAATAAATAAATAAATAAATATGTAAATTATGCGAAATTAGAATAAAAACAATTTGTTAAATACATAAACATAAATTAAAAAAATTATTAAAAAAATATTTTATAATAGATTTATGATGTTTTTTGACGGAGCTTTGACCAAAAACCTCGGTTTTACTGCTGGTGTTGCTATCGGCCCCGGTTTTCGAGAATTTTCGGCGACAATGTTTATTTGCAGATGCAAATCTATGGTAACAAATTTCATACTTTTCATTTTTACATTTTTACGGTGTTTTGACTAAATGTTACAGTGTGCCGATTTCGATAATTTACAGCACTACATACTGGGGCATCGTAGATGCTTCGTTGACAAATTTATCACCCAAAATCTATAATCTGAAAAATCGCTAGTACATGCTGTAGTGCATTTCACAATGCAATGTGCACCAGTGACCTTCAACTTCTAGAGATAGCATAGTACTCTCTTCTACTGGGCAATAAGTTATTGCCACCGCTACCTCTATTTACCTTCCTTCTTTTTGAGTGAAATTTTGAATTTCTACCAGATCTTTGCTTACAAATTCCGACCATAATGAGCAGTAGGTTCTGCTGGCTCCTCTAATTCTTTTGTTGAGGCGATCTCTTCTCCCTTGCAATGAGACTCTTATGCTGGTATTGCTTTTTCATCTGCTGTTTGTTAAACTCGCATAGGTATTGCTCAGCGGCATCTTCTTGTATGTTCGAGTTTCACGGATATGAAATTTAATCTAAATCTGTTTGTTAAAAATCTATTAAAAGAATCATCGTTTACGTTTGAAGTACGTGCCATATTCGTTGCTTTTCAACATGTTCCAAAGTGCAGCTTTCAGGCCTGGGCTTTGTGCTTTTAACCTTGAGCATACCTTTACTCTTTATATACGGTCCTTGGAATGGATATGGCGGTATTGTGTGTAGGGGGTATATCATCTCCAGTTCTCGTAGTCAGTGCAACTGCTGACAATGCACTTAACTTCGATATTATTGGATGAGTGCATAAGTTCGTGCCCAATTCCGCTGGATGCCGTTCGAATCGTTTGAGAGTGGCACTCGTGAAAGAAATATATACATATTATATATCGTTGGAAAGGTGACAGTCCGAACTGTAAATCAAGCATAAAATAACTTCATTTTGATTTGAGTTGCTTAGTGAAAAGACGCATGGAAGATGGACAACGAAAAAGATCATATGCGTCATATTATGTTATACGAATTCCGCAAAGGAAAAACAGTAGGCGCTGCAACTAAAGATATTCGCGAAGTTTATTTGGACCGTGCTCCAGCACTCCGCACAGTAAAGAAATGGTTCGCGAAATTTCGTTCTGGAGATTTTAACCTCGAAGATCAACCTCGCAGTGGACGGCCTTCTGAGCTTGATGACGATGTTCTAAGGACTTTAGTTGCGAATAACTCACGTATTTCGACGGAAGAGGTTGCCAGTGAATTGAACGTCAACAAATCAACTGCGTTTCGTCGTTTAAAAAAGGTTGGGTACACTTTGAAGCTCGATACATGGGTGCCACATCAGTTGAGTGAAAAAAACAAAGTGGACCGTATGTCAACAGCAATTTCTTTGCTTCGACGGATCAAAAACGAACCTTTTTTGGATCGGCTCGTGACTGGTGATGAAAAATGGATCCTGTACAACAATGTTCAACGCAAAAGAACATGGAAACAGGCACACGAAGGGGCGGAACCGATGTCGAAAGGTGGATTGCATCCGATGAAGGTACTGCTGTGCATTTGGTGGGATATCCGAGGCGTGATCTATTTTGAGCTCTTGCCAGCTGGAGAAACGATCACTGCCAACAAGTATTGTCAGCAATTGGTCGAATTGAAGAAAGCAATTGATGAAAAACGTCCGATTTTGGCCAATCGCAAAGGAGTTCTTTTCCATCATGACAACGCCAGACGTCAAAAACCACCTTGACACCTTTTCCAACGAGAAACCGCGCGATTTCTATAAATCAGGCATCCGTAAATTGGTTGAACGTTGGGAATGGATTGCCGAACATGATGGCGAATACATAATTGATTAATAAAAGCGCTTTCTTCAAAAAATTTCAATTTTAGTTTGCACTTGAAATCGGGCACGAACTTTTGCACTCATCCAATACTTTCGTCAGCCACTCCACCGAGTAGGTAATATAATAGGTATAAGTAAAGTCCCCTCTTGGCGAACAAAAACCAAGCTCTACAAATCGCTCATTATTGCCGTCCTACCATATGGTGCAGAAAATGTCAACATCCGATGAGACGGTCTTCGAAGTCTTGGAGAGAAAAGTTTTGCAAACGATTTATGGTCATTTGTGCATTGGCAATGGCGAATTCCACAGTTTATAGAACGATAAGCGCTGGCTGGGTTAGGTAAAGTGACCTGGTTTAATTTGGTATTTCCATCTGTTCTTGATTCGGCTATAATCGGAGTGGTATAAGCGGTGTCTATACCAATAAGAAACCATGACAAACAAGTGGCACAGTTTATTTAAGCACAGAAAGCAATCCCTTGAAGGCGAGCAAAGTCGGAGCAGAAGCAATGATGTGACCGCTCCAGAACTTGTATAAAAAGTTAGAAAAATTATTTTTGAATTATCTTACAGAAATAGCTGAAGTATCCGATGCAGATTAGCGCAAGAAGGGTGCCGTGAGCATTTAGCACCTTGCAAGAAGTTTAAGGTGGCACAGTCAGCTGGGAAATTCATTACAACGGTCTTTTGGAACTCAGCAGCAATGTTATTGATCGATTGCTAAGATAAAGGTGGATGCAACCATTCACCTCAAAGTTGGAAATAAAATGCAGAAAGATCTTAAATAAGCTCTCGACTACATGGAAATCATCTCTGGTTTTGGTCATAGGGATTCAACGGGGAACTGTGTAGCCGACGTATTGGTCAGTTAACCATGGTAAAATCTGCACATGACGTGAGCATACTGCTTTCTTCGTTGAAGTAACTGCTAAAACTAAGGCCAACAGCAGATGGCAGAGCGATACCATATGCAATGTGACAAAACAAATCTGGTCAATAAACGAGATAAACAGAATTTAGTATCTACTTCTTCTGAGTCAGACCTCCATAACCATAACAACCCCCGTAATAATCGGACACGGTCATGATAGAAGGATGGGCCACTTTTCAAAAAAACTTCTGCCGTAGCTGCAGGGACATAAATGAGGAAGAATCGATGAAATACTACCTCTGACACTGCTCAGCTCTCAGTGCTATTGTTTTTTTTTCGGAACCTTCTTCTTCAATTGTCTTGCAGAGCTTGCATCATTAATGTCTCGAGTTTCATAACACATGCCAATTGATTTGAGCATTTGGAAAGGTGAAAAAAGTACTCTTCTACAGCCTAGACCTGATCATTTCCTGCTTCCAAAAATGAAAAAGGAGCTGAGGGATAAAAAATGCTTCACCAATGATGAAGTAAAGGAAACAGGTTCAATCTTCTGGCAGGGGTTTTAGCTTATACTCTTCTTAGCTTAAAATAAATGTTAATTTTGTTAATACATATTTATTTATTATACTCATATTTCACAATTAGATTCACAAAAAATATTTTAGTCAAATACTTGTAACGAATTCCCCTTTAGATGTCCTGGATTATCAACTCAAAGGAAGTTACAACAAATAAATTCTTTTATATTTCACTAAACTCTTGAGGGCAGCGAGCTTATATTCCACTATGCTTATGTTTTGTTGTTTGAACATTCAAATACGAGATGCCTAAATATGTTTTTGTACAGTTGTATTTCTATAATGTATATATATGTAGATATGAGTATGTATTGAACAATGTTTGAATATACATATATGTTTGTAACTCCTTTCATATGAGCGCTCACAAGCGAAGACTGCTCTTGTTTGGAACCAGCCGCGCCTATATGTTAGCTAACCCAACGGTATATACTCGTAATAGATTTTTGAATTTTGCCAAATGGATTAATTTAGTATATTTGTTTTGTATTTGCAAATAAAGTGTATTTGGTTAAATAGACTGTATACATTTAGATAGGTCAAATAATAATATGTAAATATGTATACCACAATGTTTTTTCTTCTGCATGTAGGTAAAATGAATGTGTGCAAATACCAATATTTTATGTTCTTTCGCTTGGCATTAAATTTATAAGTGCATAGCTAAACACTTTCACACTTTATGTATGTATGTCAACATTTATGAACAACAATTAACCGTTATCATACTCAAGCCTAACCACTTATATTATCACCCTTCTTAGCGGCTATGGGAAGTCGCTCACCTTCCAAAAACGGATTATCAGCACCGCCATGTCCAGTGGCAAAGCCGTAGAACTTCTTCACAATAGCATTCGGGTTATCAATGCCATTTTCATTTTGAAATTGATGCATCAAGAATTTCTCCATTGTCGAAGTCATTTCATTGGCACTACCATTGCTATCCTGTGCACCGCAATCAAACATATGCTCACTGTCACAGGTGCACTCTTGGGCGGCTTGAAATTCGCGACTAAATATGGCCGTATTCTCAAAATCCGATATACAACCTTGACTCTCCTCATAGCCGTACGGACAGGGATTCGGTGGATTGCAATATGCTGGTAATGTAGCGTCCGTCTTGATCGATGGGAAACGATTTGGCATTTCACCCATACCGCCATTTATATATTGATGACCCCACAACGAACTGTGTTGCATGTATTCCTGATCGCGTATCGATGGATGCGAACCAAATATAGCACGATATTCATACTCATCGGGACCAGTGTTGATATTCTTTGAGGAGCGCGACAGCAAGTCAACATTTTTTGGTACATCACCCATCAAATCGAAATAGTTTTGTACCGGATCGATGTCTTTATCCATGCGATTAAGAAGTTCGGTAAGTAGAACATCGGCAAAAATATTTTCCTTAGACATTGAATTGAAAGCGTCAGCATTTTGTTGTTGTTGGCCAAAAAGTAATATCACCAACAGTAGAAAACGGACTGAGCCTAAAAGTAGACGAGGAAATTTTCGCATTGAAATTACTAAAATTAATTTTCACTATTTATTTTTATTGAAAAATAATCTTACCGTTCCGTTGAGAAGACATATTGTTAATGATGAGTCGCCACAGGTTTTTCCGTTTTCGATAACTCAAACGGTTTTAGTATGTAAGCATACCAATGACGTTAGTCGAATTATTGATTTTTTACACTTCGACAGCGCTGCTGCTCTGCTGTGCAGCATAGCTGGTGGTTAGTTTAACCCAGCGCACAAATCCGCGTGAGGTCTTGTAGCCTGCTTCCAGACACAGCAATTTGCCGAAAATCGCTTCGACACAATTAGCATATAAACGAGGGCAATTGCAGTCAGTCGTGTCGATTTTCAAGCCATTTCAAGGTGTGCCCACCCTGAAACTAGTTTCTGCTCCTACTGCACTAGCAACTGCTATTTCTCTTGAAATCGATGTAAATGAGTTGAGTTTTGTCGGAATATTTTTGATAAATTACTGTAAAATAAGCAAATGTTCATGAAATTGTTTATGCTATGCGGCTCTGCTCTTGAAATTAAATTTCGAAATTTGTAGTTTTGACAGGCACTTTAAAATTTGTTAAATGCTGTGTGTAGAAGCCTTATTTTGTCCCGCTCAAAGGAACATTGAGAAAAATAGTTCTCTACCCGAATTTCTAAAATGGAATTAAGGTTTAGACATTATTATTTTTAAAGCTTAACAATAAATTTGCAGACAACGAAAAAAAAAGCAAGTCGCATTTTAAGAATTTTATATTCTCACCAACATTCACTGGGTATAACCAAATGTTTCATTGCGCCCTAACTTATGCTTCCCAATTTATTTACATGTCTATATATATTTTATCACAATTGGTTGTGAACGAAAGTGTGTATGTATACATGTACGTATGTATGTATGTGTTTCGTCAGTTTGAACGGCAACAGTTATGCAACGTGGTTGTTTTACTGATAGCTATGATAATTGTATGTATATATGTGTGTACTAACTGCAACGGAATTTCATTTGATACGTCATTCATAGAACATTTTGGCGCATTCAATGCGCAGACGTGAACAAAAATAAATTGACAATTCGAGTTAATTCGTATAACATGGCGGCTATGCTGCGCGCCCGAAAGTATGTGAAAAAAATTCAAATGTAACAAACTTAATCCACTATCCTCCTCTTCCTTTGAATACTTTAAGGGCCTTTTTCGTGGTTGCTACTATGCTATTAAATATTATATACATAGGTACATATTTAAATATTTATTTAACAGTGACAAAATTAACGTACGTGGATTAATCCTCTCGATGCGATTGTTTCAAATCCTTACCAGCTCTAAGATGCTCACCTTCCGATTGCGTTTCAAAACTATAGGTCAGCCAGTTATTAAAAAAGGTAGTTATTTTGTTATTAACAATAATATAAAAGAGTACATTTAAAGGTTCTGGTTATAATTAAAAATTGATTCAAAAGCCTGCGCAAGTGAAGCATGAGTTGAAAAAGGATGCGGAATGTTTACGTCAGTTTTGTTTAACAAACTATAATAAACATTTTCTAACATGCGATGACTTATTCGTTATTATTAACCATTTAAGGCGATTATGGTTCATTTTAATTCTTGGATGGTTTTTCAAACGAAATGAAGCTTCCATTGACGACTTTAAGTGCTCAAAACAGTTCTGAAGATGTTGGAATGATTTTGATAAAATATTGTTACGATTTTACTGAATCAACCTCGATTATTTTCTAGATCCTTCGGGTACGATCTCTGGATTGTTAAATAAAAACTCGCCAACTTAGTTTGCAGTTTCTTTCGTTATAAAGATTCTATCTAATGTCCTTTATTCTCTCAGTAATTCACAATTCAATTATACTGCACTTTACTATTTATAATCACTAACATCAACTTTCACAATTTCCTCTACTTAAATGTAATTCCCTACGCGTTCACTTTACGTCTTCACTGATGTTAACGCCAACCAATTTGCTTTGTCACTGCCTGACTTGCAGCTGAGTGTCGCCTTTATATAGCAGTCGGCTGCTCGCAGACGAAAGCGTAGAAGCATCGAATTGTTCGCTATGGAAGGTTCTTGTGTTATCGGCTTCTCTCTTTCATCTGACATTCGCCTCGCATTTTCGCAACAATATTAGCATCCAAGCCTTTTTTCCATTAATTGGCAACATGAAACCTAAACACAGCTGACCTCTCTAAAAAATACAACATAATTTTTGTGCAAAAATTAGGCGCCCAATGCCTAATTCTACTTATTGAAATTTTTATTGGAATATTAGTAGCAGTTGCAGAAATAAATTTACAAACATTTCGCATTATGTCAACTACTAAAGACTGCAGCCAGCAAAACTGGAAACACCCAGATGAGGTAAGGTTATTATGCAGAAAAATGAAGGAAAAAAACGATTACGCATTTGTCTTTTTTAGCTCATTAAGCTGCACAGATTGAAACAGAAGAAAAAGCAGCTAGCTGCGCGTTTAAATCAAAACAAAGTCACAACATGCCTGGAAAAGTGTGAACTAGACAAAAAAGAATTATTGGAGGCGAAAATTGCACAAAAACGAAAAAACCCATTTGCAATGTAGTGTATTATACAAAATGCATTGAAGATCAATCATAGTTTAATCAATTAAACCATTCTTTCTAATACTTAGCAAGGCAACAGATGCAAAACGAAACCGTACTGATGGCACTCCGCTTATTGAAGATGATTCCCTACTATCTTTTATCGACACTCCACCACCGAAGAAAGAATCATTTGTACGTGAAACGCCCACACGTCCACCGCCAGCAAAATTGACATTGCAGCCCTTCGATCCGAAATCATTTGCTGCTATGCTACATGGTCAATCGACGACAGAAAATGATGAAGATGGCGTTTTAGAGGAGCAAAAAATTACTAAACATTTACCAATGGACTGGAGTATAAAAACGCGTGTGCGAATATTTTGTAAAAGTGAATTGCCCACAACTACACTAAAAACGAGTCAGTTCGCAAGTGGATTGACCAGTTTTGTGCGATGTATTGACCCACAAAATATCCATTGCGGTTTAGATATATCGCCTGCAACTCGCTTCAATCAGTCCAGTTACTATTGGCAATATCCTTACCTACCTTGGATGACACTATTCCCACGTAATGCGAAATGCAACAATGGTATTGTTCTTGGTGAACGAGAGCGCAAGGCCCTGGCTGATGACTGGGATTATAGTTTTAGAGGTTTATTTCAATTGCTGCGTGCACGTCAATGTCCATACTTTTATCTTTGCGCAAACACATTTACCGTATTATTTCGTGCCGCAGGCACAGGTGGTTGCGTAGAAACACATGCACTCATGTCGCCAAGTACTCGAGGCGTGCGTAGTGCGTTGCGTCAGGAGGGCATCGAGTACACGATGCCGTTAAAAAATGATGGCGCTTTAAATAAGTCTGATGATGGTAACTTTACAGAGGAAAGCAACAGTGCTGATGCAGTGACTGAAGGTAATAATGATATGTATACTTTTATATGCAGAGATTTTAACATAACACAAATAATGAGCAGTTAGTGGTGGCAGCAGCGGTGACGGCTCCAATCAACTACTAGTCGACGATGATGAGGAAGATACCGACAACTTTTTGGAAAATTTAGAAGTAAACGATAAAGATATGCGCAGGATTCAAACCGAGCATACCCGCAGAATGAATGTTAAGGAAATGGCCGATGATTTCAGTGATAACTCACTTTTGCTAATAGAGGGTGTAGAATGTCAAGGATTTTTTAGCTTTTTGCTAAATGCCAAAAGTACCATTTCAAATGTTGGCAGGCTTGCAGGTATACCCCCTACACTGTTGGCACCCGTAGCATTCCCAAAAGCTACAATGCAACATTTGACTACGCGTTCCAGTAAAGTACGTATGGATGGTGTAGATTATAATAGCATCGAAGTTAAAGGTGTGATATTGCCCTCTTTCTTGCCGTACGCTTGCCACTTACTTGGAGAAACAAAAGACACATTTAGCGCAACACTTGCCAGCAATACCAACACACTGGCTTTCAGCAAGGCCACACAACGTATGTCGGAACGGGCAAGTACCTCATCAAATGAACTAGAGCGAGATAAAGTTTCCAATGGCGATACTGCTGGGCAGGTATTTGGACAAGAGAACTTGTCGGACTGCGGGCTACTTCCCAGTGTTGTAGAGTGCATGTGCCGCACAGGTGAAAATTCCATCGCACTTTTGGAACGTGTATGCTATGATAAAGAATGTGGCTTTGCATGGAGCTGACATGCCTATCAAAGCTGAAATGATATATTCCTACACGGCATGTTGCGCAAATCTCACAAGCAAATACTCTTACGACAGCTAGTAATACGCAATTATATAGTTAACTTTTTTTTAAATATATATATTCAAACAAAATAATAATTTTACTTTAATATCAAATCTTAATGGTCTACTATAATTAATTCATCTATACTCCAATCTTCATATGAGTGATCTGGCAGAAACCGTCGTATTATAATTGGTATCTTTTTCTGTTTTAATTCTTTCATAGCAATCTGAAGAGGATCGGTTTCGCCCTCTAATTCCACCATTATTGGGGCACACATAGCTATCTGTAAAGCTCGCGTACCCAACACTCGCGCACGTTCGTATTTCGTCATATACTTTGTTGTAATACGTTTTGACTTAGGTACTCCACCACCTGCGCTGCCTTGTGCTATAATTTCGATATTATCAGCTTCCTCCTCTTGGTTAATATCATCAATGTTGTCCTCCTCGTCAACATCATCGAAGTCATCACCTCCGACACTAAAATCAAGCAAAAGCATTATCAAATTAATCACGTTTTAGTACCAATGTAGAAAAAAATAGAAGAAATACTTACTCATCATTATCATAATCTCCATCATCCATTTTTAAGGGAAAAAAATTAAAGCTCCGGGAAATGAAAACAAATGAAAGAATAAATTATTTAACAGCGTGCATAAAAAGTTGATACAAAATCGGAAAATGCTTTTTCTTCCAGAGATATCGCTTTGTAGACCTGTTTGATTTATGTGTACAAATTGAATTCAGTGTTGGAAAATGTAAAAAAAAAGATTGCCAACACACCCAGATAAGTACTGTGACCATTTTCATTATATTTAGAGACGGCCGTTTGCTAAATCATTCGAACTCAATAGAATTTTTCTGCGATATAAAACACCTCAAAAATCAAAACATTAATTTAAATTTCAAATATAAAACAATAATGAAACGAGTTTCACTAAATAAATCTCTATGATTTTCCAAATTCGATCACCGAATTGCCCAATAAAAGTCAACAAGTTTTTTCAAGTCATTGTTCTGTTGAATTGTTTTTGGGTTATTAGTTTCATGGATCTGTCTCAGACCATAAAGTTTTTAGAAATAGCGAAAAAAGTTTGTTGTACAATTTCTTAATTGTAATGAAGTTAATCAACGTATACTTCACTTTATTATACACCGTAAATAGCCATACAACTTTCAAAGAATTATATTCTAACTATTCCGATGTTGTTCTCATACGCCTACCGCATGCGTTCCTAGATTGTTCTTCTGTAATTGTTCTCGATAAGGAACATTCTCCTTCATCACGTATATCGTTTGATGTAGATGTCCTTCATTCCACAGAGAAACCTTTGTATTTTCATCCTTTCAAGGTACTCTTTCTCAATATACCATATGATTGCAGCCCACCAGTTCTATTTGATAAATTTTTATCTGATGCTCGTTACCATAACGTTTTTCTGGATATTACCCTTGTCATTGTAAAAAATTTAAACGAATTGTGTTTATTACTCAATAAATGACAATTTGCCTTATTATTTACAATACAATTTTCATAGTCTAATATTTTCACTTTACCTATGGTGTCACAAACGAGTTCACTTTGTAGCCAATAAGCCACTGCGCTGCTCGCTCTCTCTTATAACTAACCGATGGCTCGTATTCAGCTCTGCAAAATTCTTATATGGTCTTACGATATACATTCTGTAGTTATCATTATCTCATTTTCTTCTGCCAGTCATATTATGGTATTTTCACTACAATAACTTAAGGAGTCATTGAATTAACTGATTATTTTTCGATATTGGCATGGATATGGCACACCTTTAAGGCTATGAATTATTTCCTCCTGCTTTGTTTCCAGAATTTCTACTACTGGGTTATATAATAATTTTATTCAGTTTATAAATTAAAAGTTATATATTTTTTTCCAAAAGCGCCAATAAAACTGCTAAACTTGCATCGTTTCCGTTAGTAATTAATGCTAAAATGAGAGGGGTGTGTTTATTGGTATTCAACTAACTAGATTTGCATTTAATTTACACATGTAAGAGTGGAAAAGCCATAACTATACCACAAATTATTGCACATACAAAGTCGAGTTGATAAGACCGCGCATCTCTCAACTAGCTAAGAACTTTATTGAAAGGTGCTAGCAGATGTAAAAATCAACTTTACTACACGTATTCAAGAAAAGTGGATTCATATGCTCTACGCAGCAATTCGAAGTGGTGGCACTTATTTGCGGCGTGACTTGTGCAATTTCAATTACTCGGTACCTTTTTCCGTCTGCCGACAACATAAAGCGCTACAGTATCATCAGTTTTTGGACAAATCAATTTTACGTTCATTAATTAATAAAGTGGTTACATATAGCTCCAGTACTAAATCAAATAAACTCATCATGCCGGAAGAAAAGAAACCTCAAATTGTTTTCGTTTTGGGTGGCCCTGGCGCTGGAAAAGGTACCCAATGTTCCAAAATTGTGGAACGTTATCACTTTGTGCACCTCTCGGCCGGTGATTTACTGAGGGAGGAACGTGCACGTGAAGGTTCAGAGTATGGTACGTTAATAGAAGACTATATTCGTAATGGTAAAATTGTGCCTGTTGAGGTGACATGTTCACTGCTGGAAAAAGCGATGCAAAATTCGGGTAAAAATAGATTCCTTATCGATGGTTTTCCACGCAACCAAGATAACCTTGACGGCTGGACACGTCAAATGGCTGACAAAGTAAATTTCCAATTCGTATTGTTTTTTAACTGTAATGAAGATACATGTGTAGAACGTTGCTTGGCACGGGGTCAAGGTGGATCTGGACGTAGTGACGATAACTTGGAGAGTTTAAAAAAACGTATACAAACATACAATAATGATTCGTTACCTATTATCAAACATTACGAGCAGTTGGGTCAAGTAAAACAAGTCGATGCTAATCCAAGTGCTGAAGAAGTATTTAAGAAGGTAGAGGAAATATTTTCCGAGGCTGGTTTTTAAAACAAGAAGGCTACCAGAAATTCTATGCATTATGGTGAAAATGGTATTAATGTTAGTGTGGAACTCATTAAAATGGATAATTAATTGTTTTTAAATGGATATTAGAAAATACTTAATGTACTTAGGTACGAATATTTCAATGTAATGTACGAAATTAAAGTTATCGAATGTATATATGCATGTCTTCAAGCCTAATTTAATTTATGCATTCTCTATTTGTTTAGTAATGAAATCAATATATTATTTCAAGGAGGGACAGTTGTGAACACTGCAATTTAGTCAGTAAGACTTATAAATATTATACTAAATAAAAAGTTAAACAATTCGTTATTGGTTTGATGTTTCCAAAAACTACAAATGTACTCTTCTAATTTTAGCGAGATGGCATACAAAAGAAAAGTATGAATAGGTAGACCTCACAAAATTGAGAGTGGTCTAAATGACTGTAAAATATAAATAACGTAGAAAAATGTCAGTAAGCTAATTAGCCAATAACGAAATGTCAAAATCTCTCTCCGCAAAGAACTAATGTCGAGTATAATCTATACTATATATATTTTCCAAATTTTTTTTAAATCCAATACCTATTACTTTCCTAAAAAAAAAACTACATACGTTGATACAAAATTATATAAATAAGTTTTGGGAAAATCAAATAATTTTGAATATAATGATTGGAAGCTATTCCAATATGAATAGGTCATATGCAATAACGGTTAATTAAGTTTTAAAACAGTAACGGACCTTTAAAGTAAACAATCTTGACAAGCATTTCGCCATTTTAATAAGGTGTTTTATACAAATCTATTTATATAAAAAATAATACCTCAAACCGATTAAAACTGTTACAAGACTTAAAATGATGTATTTTCGTATAAAGAAAATATACTAAATTTAAAATTGTGTAGCGAAATGCAAGCGGTTACTGTTAAGATATTTAAATCACATGTTTACATCAAACAGCTCTTAATCGCGGCGCAATTTATCCAAACGCGCTTGCAAATCTGCATCAGCATCAGACACGGGTGACGATGCACCACTACCGCCAGCTGCTGCAGTATTACCTCCATTTCCTCCGTTACTAGAACCACCACCGCCTGTACCTATACCACCTGCAGCTACAGCAGCTGGTGTATTCTTAATACCACCCGCTATAGACAAAGAGCCCGAAGCTGTGGGTAAATCTCCCAATTGTTCTCCAAGTTGCAAGCCTAATTCATCCAATACTTGCGAAACTACGGCATCAGTTTCCTCCTCATCACCTTCATCTTCCATAGCATCGTCAATGGCATCATTAATCATTTCTTCCTTCATATCCATGATTTCGGACTGCTTTTCAAATTCATGTAATATTTTCTGTATTTGTGGGAGATTCAATTGGCGATTCATATTTTGCATTGCCTTAGTAACGCCTATTGCAGCATAACAAATAAAGTTTAATAGTGTGTCATTTCTATTTTACTTAGGAACTACTTACCGCGCATCGCTTGCGCCATTGTATTCTGTGATTTGAGTGTTTGTATTTTTAGTGAGACGGCTTGTATGTTTGCTTTCATCAACATGAATTTCTTTACATATCGTCGTGTCCGTACCAAATCTTTTGCCATGATTTTCACGGCGTCCATTTGCCCTTCCTTGGCCATTTTCTTAATATCAGCAATAATTTTTTTCTCTTGCTGCTCCATTTTCAACCGCTCCCTGTCTAGGTCCCTCATAGCTCTATTCAGAGCTCGTTGATTCTTGCGCAGCATCTCATCTGGCGATATTTTTTTGCCAAACAACCAATCCATAGTGAGTTAATTAATATGTTAATAACCAACAAGTGTAAATTTGAGAATATCCTTAAGCTTTATCAGGTTTTGTACTTTTTCGTATTTCACTGAAATGATGACCAAATCTAAATAAAAAAACTCACACAAAAACAAAAATTACTCATCAACAAATGTCAATTCGATTCTGTCATCGCGACTGAATAGTGTGACCAAATTTCTAAATTGCTCGACCGATTTATTACTTAATTTTCTATCAGAAATTGTTTTTAATTTACAATTTTGAAGTAACTATAATTTATATCTAAATCTTCTGACAACAAATTTTGAATAACAATTTTATTTAACCTATACCTAGGCAAATTAATAATGTTAAATTCGACTCTCTAATCTTTTAATCCGATTATTTTAGTTTTACTGTGCACCAACACACCTACTGTCAAAATTGGATATCAGCTGTTGATGTTTTTTGTATAATTTCTTTATTTGAGGGAGTGCCGAAGCTTCAAATATCTTTTTGTTAGGAATTTAACAAGTATATTCGGAAGTCTTATTTTTTATTAAATTTATGCAAAATGACGGAGGTAATGAAAGATTTCGATAAGCCTGACTTCAGTGTGGATAAATGTGAGTATTCATTGCTTTACAGTTCCATTTTTTTCCTATTTTTTTTGAAAAGCGTTATCCCCATCCTGATATATGGTTCATATTGTAATATTGGAAAACTATATAGAGGGGATCGCGTGATCAATTCTATTATTTCAAGATTTGAATATTAAAATGTGAAATTTAGGCTTTGACTAACTTTTGCGTATAAATATTTTTATAGACACAAAGCAATTGGTAAAAGAATGTGTTGGTGGTGCAGATCTCCAGCAGCGCAAGAAAGAAATTCAAGTTTACAGCGATCAAACATCAGCGACGCTAAAAAAGTCTGTGTATGCCAACTATATGCAATTTATTGAAACTGCAAAAGAAATTTCACGTAATTTTTCGTATATAATACTTAAAAACTGTACTAATACATTAATCTGTAATTGTAGATCTTGAGTCAGAAATGTATCAACTATCTCATATCCTCATTGAGCAACGCAATATACTCGCATCACTTATCGATGAAAAATCTCCAGGTAATGATCAAAATAGTGATGAAGGAGTTGAACAACCCACGCAAGAAGAAGTCGAGAGCAGCCATGCTACGCGTGCTGTTAAGGAAATGGTACAAGGATTCAACGGCAATTTAGAAGGGAAAACTTTTCTCAATGAGGGTGCACTCATCGAATTGGACACAAATGACTATAGACCTATACAACGTGTGTTTTTCTTTCTGTTTAACGATGTACTAATTGTGTGTAAAGTAAAGCATGACAAGTAAGTAAAATGAATCAAAAATCTTTATCTCCACACTGTATAAAAAATATATATTTTTTTTAGACGATTAGAGTTTCTCACCGAATATGACCCAAAAAAGATTGCAGTAATCAATATTAAGGATTTGGATGGGGTACGAAATGCAATAAATATAATAACACCTGATGGTTCGAAAATTTTTCAGAGTGTTACAGCCGCAGGCAAGGTATTTATTTCATAATTCCATTAACAAATATTCACACAGTCATATTTGCAGACGGAGTGGATAGAAAAATTAGAGGTAGCTTTTCGTTTTGACCAACAAAAGAAAGCCAACAAGAAAGGACCCGCACCACAGCCACCCAAAGCCAAACAGTCATCAATGCAACAAAAGGATTCACCAACTGACGGTAAATCATTAATCTCTGATCTCAGTCCTACCGAATCAAATGCTCCGCAGACTGTAGAAAACTATGGACCAGAGTGGATAGCCACTGCTGGTGAAGAAATACAAACCCTTGTTGCCCAAAGGTACTTCGAAGATGCACAAGCCCTAATAAAACGTACCCAAGACTATTTATCCAAAGACTCGAGTTTTGTTAATGCAAAGACAATTGCTGAGAAAGTTAAACTATTAGAAACACAGCTTACAGATGTACTGCTACAGGAGCTGTCCAATTGTCATTGTCGAAATTTGCAAGTGACACTACGTGCTTCACGACGTTCGCTAAAGATACTCGTTGATATAGGACGAGCTCGACAAGCTTGTGGTACCCTTCTCAAAGTTGCCACAATGGCTTTACGTACAGCACAACGTGAAGCTCGTCGCAATAATACAGAGATATCGGAATTATTCTTCTGTGACTTGACGCAGGTGGCATGTGAATTTCTCACTGCCTTCGGGACACAACCGGCTTGTGTCAGCGGTATGTAGATTACGTACAAATGTTGTCATACAAAAAATTCACATATACATATCTTCTGTAGCGCTCGTGGTATGGTGCAATGCAGAGTTGCAATATTTTGCCAGCCAACTTATAAAGCATTATCTTAATAAAGGCACGCACTTAGATGCTGTAGCAAAGTGTATTGAAGGCATACGAAAACCATGTGCAAAGGTATGAAAAACACGCAAATAAAATATATGAGTTCCAACACTAGTTTAAATCATTATTTTCATTTACAGCTTACAGAAATAGGATTAGACCTATCCTACCATCTTGAAGGCCTTTTGCGCAGCACACTGGAATCTTTAATCGAAGAATCACGCGTACGTTTACTAGAGACAGTTGGCCGGAGTGAAGATACTTGGCAACCATATAATTTGCAAACCAAAAGCAATCTAAAACGTTTGCTATTGGAATTGGACGCACTTGGCATTGATATGCGTCCACATACTACAGGCGATACTTGGATTAATCTCACACAATCCACAGTAATGTTCACCAGACATTATCTGCAATTGACAGCTCAATGCGCTACCCTAGCCAAGAGCGAGGTGTTGTGGCCCAGCTTGGAAGTATTGTTGCGTGATCTAATGATGGCACAACAAGCCATTAAGCCAATAGCTGGCTTAAGCGTAGATGTATGTGAAACTGTGGATAATTGTATTGTATTCCATCTAATTTTTGCGTTTACCTTACAGCCAAATTTCGTATTGAAAAACAAATTATTTCTTTTGGAAGAACTACTGACAATAGCGATTGAAAATTTCCGTTGCATTAGCGGTAGTGAAAAGAAATGCGACACTCTCTTGGATTTGCAACGTAATTTACGTAAACAGATCGCACCTGTGCCGAAACAACGAAGTGTATATCAAACCGAACTGTTTTGAAATAAATCACTTAATTAATTAAACATCATTTGTTATGAAGAAATCTAGAGCATTAATGCGCATATGAAATAAAAGATGAAAAACCTTTCCGCGGAAAAAGTAAACTCGGCAATATACTTATTTTCATATTACTTTGATTACACATATATTTTTTCCATTTTATTTTTATTTTATTATAATATATTATTATCATTATTTTAAATTTATATTATAATTAGTATGTACATAAATAACCACAATAATAAATTGTAATCAAATATATGCTGCTATTTTTTGTTACTAAAAGTCGAAATCGCCATATTAAGTGCAGTGCTGCTTGGCATAGAACCCTAATATTTTGCCGTGTTTCAACGTAACTTGATGCATCTTTCAAAATGTAATGCGTATTTCATACTTAAAATATCCCTTTACAAAAAAGTTAACGAATGGTTATTTAAAATTGAGCCCACAAATAAAAAAAAATTGTTTAAATTAAACGATGTTATTTATAACTTGGGCTTAAGCATTTCCTACGCTTTTTTTTTAACTAAATTACAATTAAATATGTTTTGTTAAAGCAGTTTTGGTTGAGGGTGTTAATGCATTTGTTTTTTTTTTTTTACATTTCTAACTGCTTTTATACTTACAACTTTGAAATTTTGCTTTATGTATACTTCGTAAAAGTACAGTGCTTATGTATGTATTTAACCTAGATATACTTATTTTGTATAAATTATAAATATATAAACTAAACCTAGATTCAATTTAGTTGTTTATGCGTTTAGTTGTGATTTTTTTTTTTAATTTTGCTGTTCCCAACTTAATCGTTGTGTGAGTGCATTGCCTGTTTCCGCACAGTTGCGCATACATACAAACAAGTATACTCTTCCAAAGTGTTACACCATTTTTATGCTTTTTCTTGTCCAGAAACTGAATTGAAATATTTTACATTCAGACATTTGTTCGAAAAATTCATTACGATTTAGGATTTTGCTTCGAAATCAATTTAATATAATTTTTTTTTTTTGGAAAATATATCAAACACAACTTTAATTAACCAACAAAATCGTTTCGAAAATTCGAAACTACGCCCAAAGGTTACAGTATTCCTAAATATTGGATTTGAAGATGCCTAGGAATAAGTCTCAACTAAAAATACTTAAAATCTTTTGGAAAAAAAATTCTTATAGTAGAATTCAATCTTTTTTACACACAAAAGTTGTTATTTGTTTGGGAGAGCTTTTTCTAGGCATTGAAATGGTATAAATTTATAATTAATAAGTTATGATTTACTGTCAGCTTCTTGATAAAAAGAAAAATCAATTCGATTGTAAAATGTAAGTAAATTGCTGGGTTACTAAATGGTATTAAAAGACAGTTGAAAAATCAAGAATAGCGTCGATGAATTTTGGAGCCGCCTTTAAACGTTTGAAAAATCAATGCAATTGGTTTTTTTTTCTTGAAATATGAAGTTAGTTTAGGAAACTAGTTTACAAATACGAAATGCATGTTATGATAAAATATATATGAAATATATATGAATAACTTTTGATATTATAGGAATTACATAGTTCCAAACCAAATTGAAGAAAGAACTTCGTTCGAGTCCGTACAAATATTTCCACAACCGGCAGTAATATTGAGTGAAACTTGTTTTTAAAAATTGGTTTTACAAAATGTCTATTTAAATTTCTGTGCCGGATTTTTCATTTAAATATTTATTTGATTTTTTTTATTTAAGAAACTTTAAACCATTGAAACGTATCTAAAAGTTTGGTTAGTTTTAGCAATTTTGCGCTCGAACGAATGATGTGTAGCGTTCACTATCTCGTTGTTAAAAGCCCAGTCAACCAACAAAAAAACATGAGTATGGAGTTTTATGACTTTAAATTATATGTATGTATGTATTACTTTTTTTTATTGTTTTATTTATATTTTAATTATATTTACCCTTCGCACTTGCTTCTTTTACATTTTTTCTTTTAACTTTTCAAATTAATTTTACTTAATTACATATATGTATATTATGCATGATCCTTTGTTTGTTTAAATTAATTACTATTTAGAAATATTTATATTTATATTTATATATATAAATATGTATATATATTACATACTTTTATACTTAAATGTGCACGCGGATGCTCGTTTATGCGTTTAAGCAAGTTGTATTTCTTCACGTTAGGTCACACAAGAGCTGTTTGGGACATTTACAAAGCTTAAAAAAACAGAGATGAGAGAAAAAAGAAATGTGTTTTGATTAGAAAATCATTATTATTTCTTAAATGGTGTGGACGGGGTGGAATTCAAACCGAAACAAATTTAATTGAGTGTAATAATAATAATAATTTGAAACTGTAAAATACACTTTGTTGCGCAAGACGTAAATATACCGCAAGCAATAAGTAGTTGACGAAATCGTTCAGGGTGTCAGTCTTTCCGCTTTAATTTATTGATCGATACAGAAATCTTAAGAATTCTCTGCACGCCACTTGCAATAAGTTTGAATGTTTAAAGAATTGACAACATTAAGCCCATAACAAACAAAGCTATAGCCGTAATATTTTAACTACATTTATGTATGAATTAAAGTTTTCACTTTTTTTAAATTAAGTTATTATAATTTAATAAATTTGAAATGTCAGGTTTTCAATATTTTGTTTACTTTGCATAAATGTATGCGAAGCAAGAAATGTTTATACGAATTCAATTGGCAAACTTAAACGTATAATAAAATATCAATGCGCTTGAAGTGTATAAAAAAAAAGTAATTAACATAAGCGTTTTTTATGTATACATTTATGAAAATATGATTTAAACTTATAAGCTATACATATATACATATGCATATAGTTTCGTAATATAAAACAAGAAAAAAGCAAATATTTGAACATAGGCAACATACAAATGTATTTGGAAAGGTAAGTAATTTTCAAACCATGACCTGCTGGCCGCGCATGAAACTACGGTAAATAGAATTTATATTTTGCTATTGTAAGAAATTCAGATTTTTTTTTTTTATAAAATTTCAATTAAGTCCCTGAAAATAAAAATGGGTAATATATAAAATATATTTTATGTTACACACATTTTTTTTTTAAATTTAGTTCTACTTTTCTATAGTTGTATATATGTAATAGAATAAAATATTTCAAGCTGTTCGTTATTGAATTACTGTGCTTTTTTGACACAGACATCAGAGAAATGGCAGAACACATTCGTATTGTAAATTAAGCAAGTACATAAGAAAGGTCAATTGCCAACATGCAATAAAAATCTTAATTTATATACGCCTAATTGTATGTGTGTGTATATCTCAAATTTAGTCCAGCTCTATACGAATAAGTAAATAATCACTCTGCTATTTTATGTGTTGCACATATTTTGCAGACACTCATTTATTTTATACATTTTCCGTTGATTATATTTTAATAAATTTTTATTTTGCTCCTGTTGCGCGCGCTTACTTATTATGCTTACTTTTTCGTTATTTTTATATTTTGTTTCTTGTCTCTTTAACTTTACTTAATATTACTTTATAAGCTACAATTTGTTTATATTATTTATATTTATATTATATTTTCAAATATAATTTTTATTTCGTCTCCTTTTACTTTGCCACAGGTTGTTTGTTTTATATCCTTTACTCATTTTATCATGTTTGTCCCTCCGTTTGCTTGCGTGAATATCTATTAACATTCATTTTCAACCTATTTGTGTTTCTATTATCTTCGTTTTTTTTCATAAATTTACTTTTGACTTTTTCCTGGTTTTTCATGGGTGTGATTAAAGCCAAGAAACAAAGCATCCTATATATATATATATATTATGTATATATGTATATATTCTTCGCCTCCTCAACAAGACATTCGGATTTGTGTACTTCCCACACATTTTACATATTTTTTGCAACTATGATTTTCGCTTAATATATATGTTTGCAAATGTTTGTATGAGTGTATGATTGCAGCTTTTATATGGGTATATAAATTTTTTGCACATAAGAAAAGGTTATATCTTTCTACTTCCTCTGGTTTTAGCAAATTTAGACAGAAGTAAATTTATTTAGTAAATAACTTCGTAAACCGTTGCTTTTTTGTCACCGGAACCCGTAACAATGTATTTGTCGTCAGTTGATATGTCGCAACTAAGTACAGATGAAGTTTCTTTCGACTACAAAAGAAAAGGAGTAACAAATTTAGAACATTGAAATAAAGTAAAAAAAAAAAAAATTAAGCAACTTACTTGGAATATGCTAGCACCGTAAGGTGTTCTCCAAGCATTCAATAGATTATCTTTGCCAGTAGAAACGAACCATTTGCCGCAGGTGGCAAAACGTAACGAGAGCACGCAGCTTTCGTGTAGATGGAGTTGATATTTATCTGGCTTGGATGCGTGCAATACTTCAACATGCGAGTTCTCCATGCCCACAGCGAGCCATTCACCTATTTATGAGAAAAAAAAAAAACAGTTTTGATAGAAGTATATATACATTTCAATATTTAAGTATTACCTGTCGGACAATAGCCCAGTGAGAATATTTGAGAACTAAAATCATGTTGCTGCAATTGGCGGCCTTCACGTAAATCCCATGAACGGACTGTATTATCCAAACCGCCTGTCCAAAGTCGCGAGCCATCCGGACTGATGTCGATGCATGAGGCGCCGTCAGTATGCCCTTGGAATTGGCGCACCAATATCTCATTATGCAGATCCCACACAGCGATATTACCATCGCTACAACAGGAGAAGCATACTTTCGAATCAGGACTAATAGCAAGCGCATAGCAAGCCGGCGCTGCCGATGTCAGTTCGGCTTTAATCCGTGGCGTCGGACTGGCTAAATCCCATATGGAGAGATTAGACGCCTCGCCACCAACAATTAACGTGCGACCGTCTGGCAGTAATTTTACGGAGCGAATATAGTTGTCACGTTGCAGACAGTCCAATTGACTGACTGGATTTTTATTGTTCGGCTGTGAGATATCCCATACTTTGACACAACCCTTGCCGCCAGTATAGACATATTTCGTAGGATTCGAAATGGTAACAGCACAAACAACTTCACCATGTGATAGTGTGTTAATTTGTCGGGCATGCCGTGGTATACCGACGCCAATGAGTGCATCTGCAGGGAACGGCACCGGTTGTAAGCTACCTTCGCCGTTCATGTGGAACGAATAAGCGCTACAATGGAACATTAAACAAACGCAATTTTAACATTCGTTACATTATTGTTTTATAAGAAAATTCTTTTAATTTTTAACTTACGGCTTTCCACCAGTTAACGCTTGGGGATGTGGAATGCCATTTGTTCGTACATGCGCGTGCGGATCGTAGGGTAGTGGTGGGGGTCTACCATATGCCGGATCGGATGGTGGCCTCTGATAGGGGTCAGCCGGTCGTTGATACGCTGAGGCTGGGTAACCGGCTGGCGGTGGGCCACCTTGTGGCATCAGTTGTTTGGGATTCACACCTGGTGCTGGTGCGGCAGCATTTGGGGTGGGAGTGCGTGCCTTGGCGCCCGGTGTGCCTGGCTTGTCCATCTGTAAAGTAAATAATAGAGAAGTGAGAAATTTTATATTGAAAAACAAAAAAAATATTAATAATAATAAATATATAAATAATTTAGATGCCATAAAAAAAAACATAAGATACTAGTTAAAAAAATGAATTAGCAAACAATTTTTTAAAATAATCTAACATTTGTTTTTTAATCCTGATTACAAAACTAATGCTTAATAGTTAAAGCTCTACATTTAACTCACATCTTTAGTTTTTAGGCTGGGAGTTGAACGCGATGAACTGGACCCGGAACGCGATGGTGGTCGTTCAGATGGTGGTTTAACACCGCTGCTGCCAGGTTTATCGAGACGTTCACCGTTCAGACTCTCACGATCACGCCCTTCCATCGACATGTGTTCACCATTCGGGCGTGGTGAATGTGATTCCTGTGATGAGAAAGAGAAGCATTTAAATAAAATGTGGCAATGAAAACAATGTTATTGTATACACAGTTTTAGACGTATTGGGCAGGTGTGATGTAAGCGTTTTAAATGAAGCAAATGGAGAAGTAGTAAATGATTTTTGTTTTGTATAAATATGCTTTAATTTTCCTTTTTATTCACCTAATTACAGGCGTAAATCATTATTCTCCCCCTTTCGTTACTCAAAACTCAACTCACCATTTCATTTGCAACATCTACGACTAAATCTTGATCGCTTTTATCTCCTTCATCGTCCTGCAAAAATTTTGAAAAATAAAAAATGTTATCAACGCACGAAAACATTAGTATCGTTAATTATCCTTTGCATTTAAATTAAACCATATTAAACACAATTAATTACTAGAAAACAAAACAACAAAAATTAAGCGAAATCAATGTAAAACCAACAAAATTCTGTGAAAGCGTTAGAAAATTTTAAAGTAGTAGTAGGAAAAGTAGTCCCACAAAGAAAACTCAGTGCCTAATTACAAAAACTCCTTTTTTGAGTAATTATGTATAGGAATGCTGGTTTTAAGTCAACAAAGGAAGTAAAACTGAGTAAATATATAATATAACACTAAAGCTAAAATATGTTGAAACCCAACAAATTATTACACAAATAAAAACCGTGTAGAACAAAAGTGAAAAAAGAAAATACAATAAATAAACTAAGGACAGACAATGCATTACAAGCACAATATGATAAATACAAAACATAAACAAACAACTACTGCTACCACTACGAAACCATCCACGTACATACATAATAACAAAATTAAATTAAAAGACACAAGCGAAAACTAAAGTATTCAGCTACAGTTTTTAGGTTAAGAAAGCAAATGAAATCCAAATTAAAAAGTTACTAATAACAGACGTGCACGTAAACAGCGCCATCCTGCTTTTACAATTATTATTATTATTTTTTGTTTTTAATCGTACTTTTATTATTTCATTTCACTGTTCGGCGAAACAAAATATTCTATGGTGAGTTGAGTTTTACAAATTTACTACAATCAAATTTCGCAACAACTTCTTATGGCGATTAAATTTTTTCTAATATATTTAACAATATTTAATAGTGGTTTGAAATGATTTTTCATAGGTATTTCTCTTTTTATATGTAGTATGCTATAAATCGTAAATCGTTTGCTTATTTTATAATTTTTGACAATGTTAAAATAGTAAACGTTGAGGCATGTATTTAAATAATGACCGATTACCAACAATAAATTAATAATACAACGTTTTCATCGATAAAGTGTTATAGTTGAAAGTGATACAATTTGAAGTTATATAATAACCAAAGAAAATTAATGCTTCTAGAATTTACATTTTTAATTGGCGCCTCGCAATTACATAAATACATTCATTTACTCTTTATGAACGAGCAGGATAGTAGTGTTGATGATTATGATTATGGGAAGAAGTAAATAAAATGAGTGAAATGGGCAAGCTTCGATTTTGTTATTATACTTTGCATTTGAGATTACTACAGGATAATTGTTTTTCTAATATGCCTTTTACAATCAAATAAATCTTTAAATATTACTATTATTGCGTTTTTTTTAACAGTATTATATGTGTGACATATACGTAAATACATAACGTGTATACGTACATATATACTTACTAGTTTCTCATCTTTTCGACGCTTCACATCGTTTTCGATGTCCAATGGTGAACGTGTGCGATATTTTTCCCGATCAGCTGGGGAAACGGAGTTGCGCTTCGGAAAAAAGTGGAAATGGGAAAAGTTAGTACAATTCAGGCTTTTCTACATAAAAGCTGCACAACTTACCAAACGCTCTTCAGCGCCAGCTGGCCCGTCTAGTCCAGTTGGTTTTATATCGGGCCGATGATGATCAGTAGGCGCTTTTAGCAGTTGTGGCGCATGTGGTAAGCCCATTGAAGCGCCCAAAGCACCGAACGGGCCAGCAAGTGGCGCTAAACCAGCCATCGGTTGTGGTGGTCCCCCGGGTACTTGTTGTGCGTGTATTTGCTGCTGCATATACAAGAAAAAAAGTATTACGTAATGTTTTTATTTTTAAGAAACAATACTATTTTTATAAAATTGAATTCAATTTATTTGTATATATGCAATAAAGACAAAAGGATTAATATTTCATATTAAAGAAACTCAGTAAACAAGGAAAACACACATTCAAAAGAGTAACGCAAATGATCAAAGACTTTTGGGTCAACAAACAATAACAAATATAAAATAATTCATAACTCCGCCCCTGCCTAAAGAACAATTTTACTAATAAAATCGCGTTAAAAAAAATAAATTGTTTGGGAAAAAAAAATTATTTTTAAAGTAAAAATATGTAAGTTGTTACACCCAAATATTTTAATTGGTTGTTTATTTATTATTATTACACACACATTTATAATACTAGGCAAATATAATAGAAAAATGAGTTTAACAATTTGAAACGGCGAAAAAATCGTATGTTTAAGGGCACCCAACTTGCTTACAATCCAAAATTTTAAATAGAACATAAGAAGCCATTATTATTAATATTATTATTATTATTATTTTTATTGTAGCCAAATTAACTTTCGGTTAATGAGTTGTAACAATCCATAATTTTTATATTTCAATGGAAAATAAACTTACAAACCAAAATAAAAGATTTTCCTGATTTTAACGTGATGCATGTGTATGCATTATTATTAATGATTTCAATTTCAGTAACTTTCACAAATTTAAATTAAAAAAAATTGATTTGACAGCAGACTATTTAAAATGAATAGCATTGAAAATTATTATGAAGGCAGAGCTTCAATTTAAATTAAGAGCAATTAGAACAAAGCCATGCATATCAGTGCAATTATGATGCAGCAAGAAAAGCCAAAAATTACCAAAAAAAAAAAAAAATTAATAAAGCTGTACTAAAATAAACCAAAAAAATATTACATGTTTTAATCTAACATGTTGAAAAGGAAACTTGTTACTGTAAAAGCAAATGAATTTAACGTAAAACAATTAAAAAAAATATCTTTGCTATTTATTCAGAGTTATTTATGTTGAAAAAAAATTATGATCCAGCAAATCGCATCCACGAAATAATAGTTTAAGCCAAAACTTCATTGTAGGGATATTTGTGTATTTCTTGGTTGGTTATGGTTCTCAAAATATCAGTAAAACTTTAAAGAAAGCCATCAAAAAATCGTTAACATATAATATTAATTAAATTGCTTATTTAACAATAAATCTAGCGGAACAAACACAAAATTAGATTTTTTTATGAAATGAATGGTATTGAAAGCAAACTTTAATTAAACTAATTAAAGAGCGATTTTTTTTTAAAGTAAACCAATGTTTAGGATGGCAACCAACGAAAGCCAACGGGCTTGAACCCTCACTAAAGACAGTGAAAAAATTATGAGCTTGTCTGAAATGTGTCTAGCTTTTTAAATTGTTAGTGAAAATTATATTAATAAAGCCAAACAAGTACAAAACAGCGTAAGGAGAAACTAGTAGTAAGAAAAATATCGATAATAAACATATTTGAGAAAGTGGAAAAGGAACTTACTAGAAGCTGTTGAATTCCCTGATGCTGATGCTGCGTGTTGCAACATAAGAAATTTGATGTGTATAAAGATATTTTATTATATTTTTTTTTTTTGGCATTTTTGGTTTGGTTTTAATTCAAGTAAGCATATAAGAAAATAAAATAATAATAAAAATCAAATTATTAGAATTACTGTTTATTAAATAAAGTTTAAAACATAACACGAGAAGTGGACAACAAATACACCATACACCATACCATTTGGTGGCAACAAAAAAATTGTATAATTTGATAAAAAAAAACTCTTTGAAAACTAAAAATAAATTTAATTATTTACTTCATAAATAACACGAATTCAATTCAATAAGGGAATATAAAATTTCAATATTTTAGAATTTAAAAATACGTTTTATTTTATGTGTGTATGTTATTTTATGTGCTTTTAGTAATTCACCATATTTGAAATTAAAATTTTCAAAAAAGAATATGAAATTTACAACAACAAAAAATTAAGCTGTCAAACCAATTTTTATTTTTAAATATGCAGACATAAATGAAACAGAATTGGAATTTATTACATAAGCACTTTTTCAACTTTTTTGAAAAGTGAAATATTGGCTTGCCTAAGCCTAACTACATACTTATGTACGAGTATGTATGTGCTATCAATTGTGTGTATTATATATATATTTTTTTTTTAATTTCCTATTGTTGCTAACTTGGAAAACTATTTACATTCCGTAAAGTATTTTAAGATAAAGAAATTAGATTTCGATAGCGTTAATACAAGTGACCGCAATTTTATTCTTTGAAAAGATTTTTAATTTAATATTAAAAAAACTTGAACAGAAGTTTAGAAAATAAACAACAAAAAAGCCATGTTCTTTTTTGTTAAAAAAAAATATGGAAAATGCATTCAGTTCGGAAAAAGTCTAATTTAATAATAAAAAAAAGCTTGAACAGAAGTTTTGAAAATAAGTATAATTATTGGAAATAAACAACGAAAAAGCAATATTCTTTTTTATTAAAAAACAAATGTGAAAAATTCACTCAGTCCCGAAAAAGTTTCATTTCAAAAATAAAATATTTATCAAGAACAAATTTAATGTTGGCAGTCAATATTTTTATACCGAAAACACAATATTCATTTAAAAAAATTCACTTATCTAGAGTGTTGAAGAATACGGAAAAATATGAGCACGTGCAGGATTTTTTAGCGATTTGTAAACCGATTATTGATTATTTAGTGGTTGTTATGGCCAAACGTTCATCAGCCTTAATACATTAGTACTCAGATCCGCGCCTCATGTCACATTGTTATACATACACATGTTGAACACAAAAAATTAATATGAGTGCATTCACATATATCTCTGTCTTTCTAAACAATCCAAGTACAAGAATTTTTAGAACTTTACTGGCTCATATTAATTGCAGGAGCTACATATGTATGTGACAAGTAGATATCAAAAATTTAAATAAAATAATAATAATAATAATAATAATAATAATAATAATAATAATAATAATAATAATAATAATAATAATAATAATAATAATGTTGTATAGCAAAACTTACCCCGATGATCAGATTTAATTCTTGCATTGTAACTTGTTTCGCGCGCTCCACAGCGTTTAAGACCTGCTGCTGGTGATCGGCTTGAAGAAATGGTAGCAGCTGATTTATTAAAGTATTCAAACGCTTGGCGATTTCCGTCTACTCATACGAACGCAAACATGTAGGTAACAGACGATAGTTAAACACAAAGAATCATATTGTAGGTGATTTTTTTTTTTTCGTTTCACGTTTGGTACAAGCGGAAGCATACAAAAGAAAGGTAAAAGAAAAAGAATTAGAAAATAATATAATACAAAAATGGTTTATATATGTACATATGTATAAGCGAAATTTGTGTGTGCCTGTGAAGGAGCGTTTGTGACAAACAATATTTGTGTAGTTGTATACTAAAATCATGCGAAACGAATTCGCTAGCAGGAGTATGCCACTTAAACACACTCGACGTCTTTGACGCTGTGCGCCTTTTTACCGCCCTTATTTCTTTTTGTTTGTTGCCACTTAACAGTGAGGCATTGAATGAGTGAAATTTTTGTTTTTTTTGTTTTTTTGTTTTTTTGTTTTTTTGTTTTTAGTTTTCAATGAAGAAATTACCTGTTTGTGCATTTCCACGTTGAGTCCATACGACATCTCGTAGTACTGGAAAAATCCAATGAAATATTTATTTAAAAATCTTAAATTGATAAATATATGTGTAAAATTACCATAACATAGTGCCGTTGCATTTCCGTTTTTTCATTGGCAAGCTTTTCGCACTCCAGCTTAAGTCTGTAATGAAATATTAATTAAATAAATAAGGACATTAAAAGAAAAATCGGTATTTCATACGCCATTAATAAGGTTTGAAGCATAATAAATTCAAATTAAATTTAATTTGTTTCAGCTAAAGAGAAACCAGTCTAGAAACACGGAGCGATTAAGGCAATTAGTCCCTACCAAAGAATACAACATATATGTATATGTATGCATATGTACACTAATACCTTAAATACGATTCTAAGGAGTAAAGATATTCATATACTTTCACAAAAAAAAACCGTTTAGACCTTCGTGGAACTGGACAATACGCTGAAATAGCGTGAAGAAATTACAAATATTTCAGCCTTAGCTGATTAACAGCTGAGTTCCACAAATTTTATGCATAAAATAAATTGTTAATATCTAAAGTTAGTCCCATTTGTAGGAAAACTTTGTCGATTCAAGAAGAATTGTAATTTGAAGTTGGATCTGATCGATACTTCAACTCCGCATACGTGGATGAATGTATGGTACACATGCTCCTCTCATGGACGCTCTTTTTCAATTTTGCATAGTTCTCAAAGCTTCACTTCCTCTTTACATACATGCACAAACACACATATATAAATATGCACTGCATTATCAAAAAAAAATAACAAAAATAAAGAGCGACAGTGCAGCGGTAATCCTAAAGTCTTGGTCGGTTACCTTGAGAGAAGATCACATCAAGTAGGGTAGATTTTATCCTACTCACAAATATATTTATGTACATTTAAATACATATGAACATACATTCATACGTGCAAACTTATCCTACAACAAGCAATCGAACTCACCATCCAGCTTGCTAGTCAGTCACTTGGCCAAACCAATTCATAAGTTTGTAAGTTTGTATGTTTGTATGTATCTATGTATGTATGTATTCATCCATAGCCATCCAAATATTTGTACGTCCATTTGTTGTATTTAACAACAAGAGCAAAATATCTAGTGTGAACAACTACAGAAAAAAATAAGCGGTAAGGAGAAGACGAGGGGAACCGGTTTTAAGATGCTGACTCTGCTTCTGTCTACGAGTCAGGTCTGGCAAACCTTCGTCGTACTTGTCTGCCTGCCCGCCTCTGAGTTCGTTTATGTTTGCCTATACTTCGCGTGAAGCGGCCGCACACAAAAACCAAGACATGAAAAGAAAATAAACACAGAACACAAAATGCACATACCTATATATATGTAAATACATATCTACATATGTATGTATGTACAAATATAACCACTTACAAACAAATATACAAACAATAAATGAATGCAACAACAATAACAAAAGCTGACACGAGTGTCGAATATGGAGTGAGTGTTGTTGTTGGTGTTGTCACTGCTACTGCCGTATTTATTTTGGAGGAGCAACGTGCGCAAGAGCGTGAAGTGAACGTTTTTCGGTGCTTGCCATAGCGATTAAGCAAGAGTGATTTGGATGAAGAGTGTAGCAGAGGGCGTGTATGAGTGCATAGTGGGACAAATAGCCGAATTAAAATTATAAAATTAATTCGTTAAGAGTTTCGGAAAATGAAAAATTCCTACAGCCTTTTTTGTTAAATTTTGTACAACAGTAATAATATTTACTATATTATACATCCTAACAACTTGATTTTTAAAAGGAGATTTTTATTTCAAGACAGAAAAACACCCGGAAGATATGAAGTTCCCTGTCCAAGAGCAAAAACATTTAACAAAATAATTCTGAAAGTTACTATGAACCAATGACCCACATCAGCACTCGTCAAAATGTATCACTCTTATATTGGTCAGAACCTGCCCAATCGGTTGCTTTATAGTATACAATGTACATGGGTAGCACTGATAAACACATAGCTCTGGTAAACACTAATTCTCGTAATATTTAATAAATTCTATAAGTACATCGTTGAAGTATTATTTAGCAGCGATCCCTTTATTTCAAATATTTCAACAAGATTTGTCCCAAAGTGCTGTTTTAGCTACTCACTGTAAGCAATCGTCATCAAAAACATGTATGAAGGCGTGAGCATTTATCCAAGCTGAATGTATTTTCTTTCACAAATCTTTTATGGCTGATCCTTCATGTTGAATACTCATCAAATAAAAAAAGAAGTAAAACAAATCATATAAAATTTAAATATGCATACTGCTTCCCCAAATATCTATTTTAAACTTCCACAATAAACTTAGGCGGCAGAACGTTATACTCAACCTTTAAACAAAGAGGAGAAAAAGATGATAGAGTCAAAGGGTAAACGAACATTTAAGACAACACTTCTGAATAGAAAGAGGCAGCTTATCAACATTATAGGAAACTAATTAAGCTTGATTAGATGTAAATGAAAAAAGTTCTCTTTCTAACACAAAAAAAAAAAAAAAAAAAAAACGGTAAACTATGTGTTCGGCTTTACCAATGAATTTATACCTTTCATAAAAAAATATTTTCTTTTAAATTTAAATCTTCAAATACATGTTATTGGTGAATCTAACACATCTTCCGTCGTTACTTTCATACTTAAGATGATAGTCTATAAGAAAAACAAAAACCACTAACAGTCGTCACATACATAACATCTCTGTCACGTTATATATGCGCCAGCATCACTTCACTATTTGCATATAATAAGAAAAAATTATCACAAATCTTCAGAAATGTCTCAGTTTAAAGATATATTCTCTTCTACGGTGTATTGCTGCATACTAATTCGATACAACTAAATAAATTAAGTTTATATTAATATACAGTCAATGAACTGAAAATGAATAAGTAGTTTTTACAAATGTTCAATAAATCTCATTATGAAATGTGATATAAATATAATGAAGAAATTGCACATACCATCATACAAATATGTATGTTTGAAAACTTTACTGAGACGCTAATCATGATTAAATACCAGAAGCATTTACACGTATGTAGAAAAGAATATTTCAAAACCTGGCATCAAGAGTAATATTTCCAACTTCGCTCAGTTTAAAATTTAAAATTTATATGCACATACACGTATATACATGTATATCAATTTAGAATGGTAGAATGTTGGCTAAGGCATTGCATGTTTGGCATCGCATTCTCCTGAGAAAGACAATGAGGTTTTTATTGGAAAATGTGGAATTAATAAAACATTTGTGGACAATTGGGCAGTGTTATTTCTTTTATAAATATAAAAATTATTCCGTAAGCAAAAAAAAAAAAATCTTAGATCAATGCACATTTATAAATGATTTGCGTTGCAATAAATAGCTATTTATTTCTATATACTTACGTATGATATTGTGCTTGCAAAAAGTTAAATTCTTCCTTAATGCGTTCCAGAGTGTCAACGATAGTAAATTTTAATGGTCCCTGAGGTGGTGGCCCCTATATATTTTGTTTACATTACAGGTGAAGGCATTTGGTTGGGAATGGAAATAAAACGATATTAATTTGATACGAATTAAAGAAATACAATTTATAGAATATGTATAGAACTTTTGTACACTTACACCCGCTGAGGGATGACGCACCGGAGCAGGATACATTTTGCGCACTACACCACAGCTACTTTAGCTTCTTATACAAATGCGACCCTTGTGATTGTGAAAGGTCCGATACTTAATTTCCCGCTTCTAAATAGTTTTTTTCTCAATTTAGAAATGCTGATGATCACGCGTGGCTTGTTCGTAGATTCGCGACTGCCACTCCAAATACTAAAAACTCTCAGCTATTTTGGATTGAGGAATTCACAGTGATTTTCTGCTGTTGTAGTCTGAAGACAGCGGCAAATTTTTCTTCCCAACTTTTACAGCAAAAATCTAAAGTAGGATTTTTAAGTCTCCTATTTGCTCTCTAGCCCTAAGGCATCCTCCGTCTACTTTCCTTTATATCTTGCACACTTTCTTGCACTATGGGGTGCTTATGCTTTTTTTAACAAAAAAAAAACTTTATTGGCACCTTTTTTCATTAGTCTTTTTTACATATTCTACAGCTAGTTTAGAATAAATTTTATTAAATTATGTTCCATTAGTTTCCGCTGTAACATTTTTGATAGTTTCTGCAAGTTTTTAAACAAAATTTTTATATTTTGTGGAATTTTTATTATTTTGCACAACTTTTTCTACTTTTGCTCGTTAGCTCGTTGGTTTTTTCCGTATTTTCTTTTACATGTCGTTTCGATACGTAGAATTATGCACACACAGCAACACACACGAAACAACTTTGTAGCGCAGCCATAGCCATTCAAGGCGCCCGCGATGGTGTTATGCGTGTGGTGGCAACTAACGAGTGGCGAGTGAATTGTCGGTACGTAACGAGTGGCAGCGATACCACAAGCAAATACACATACACCCGCACGAAACTATCAACCACAGACGGAAACGCAAACCGCACATACACTAACCAATCCAGCCAACAAAAAAAAAATATTTAAGTAGCAGTAGGGTTGCAATGATGCATTTTCAATTTGATTTGTAGTTTTGAATTTAGAATTTGAGTTAAAAAAAAAAAAACAGAAAATCATGAACGTATTTTCAAAAATTATTTCAATTTGAAGTTTAACAATAATTAAAACATGTAAAAAGTTCTATTTTTAATAAGTTAGAGCGCATTTCAGTGTAATGAATTTATTATTGAGTGAGCAACCAGGAACATATTTTTTTACTCCCTGTAATTTATTAGCCATTTAGTTAATATTTATAGGTGTTATTTCCCCCGTGTGAAATAGGCTAGTTATTTTACTCACATTATGTACCCGTTTAGAATTTTTGCATACCCTACATTAATGCATCACTGTCTTACCACCATACACACCACAGAAAACAAAATCCCAACGTACAAAACCGACGAAACCAAACCGTAACCGACACGATCGACCAACAAGCGACCGAAAGAGCCCGACCACACAAGCATGAGTCGAGAAAAAAAAAGAGATAAACAAAAGCAATTAAAAAATACCAATTTTGTCAAACCGATAATTGTATAGAATTGACTCCCTATCAAAGTATCACAAGTTATACAACTATTCTTTCACTTCATTAATATATGTTGAAACTTTTTATTTCTTTACAAAAATGAGGAAAATATTCATTCGTTTGTTGAAATTTGCTTGCACTTTTTTCTCATTTCTTCTATATTCTTTCATATACCCACTATTTAACTGTCACTGATGCCATGAAGTTTCTACGCGTTCTTCGTTCCAACACGTTCACATATACGATTTCAGCACAACAAAAAGACCGAACGACTGACCCAACGTAAGAAAAATAAACTCACTCGCTTCTCGTTATTTAAAGGCAGACGAAAAGTGTGGGCAATACTACATGTTAACAGAAACAAAACTGTTCTAACAACTGATTCGTTGCAAAATAAATTGCCCGATCGGATCTTTACTTATTAATATTAAAACACATTTGACTAAAATTTTAATAGATATATTTTCTGGTTTTATTAGTTTTGCTGCTTATTGCCGCAAGTTTATAGTTGGCAACTCTAGAAAGGCGGATCTAATGGCGTTCTCGTTTAGTACGTGCTCTTAAACTCTTTGCAATTATACTGTTAGGATATAAAATTTGTGCATGATGCTTTTTCTAAGCCACACATTTTATAAGTGCTCAAAAAGTTATAAATTTCCATAGCATTCAATAATAATGTTGCTTCCACTGTCTTCAAATGTACTCTTTTACTTGTATTATTACCGGAATTGAAGCAGTCGCAGAGCAAGTAAAACGCAAAACTTCATGGAAAATCACGACATTATCAATCAATGCAAATTTACATTATTTTCTTTTAAGATATATTGTGGAAAACACTCAATAAAGTACATTTTTTACTTTAATTACAACAAATTCAATTTAGGTACACGAGGTACTCGGCAAACTTCAATACATAATGGTTGTTCTCTGAAAATGCGCACTCGTTGGCATCAACACTCGCTGATTTTCATATGTACTTTGGGCTTTCTTTTCGCTTATTTTCACAATCATAATGAAAATGAAACATTTCAAATTTTGTTTTAAGCGCTGCTTGTTGCAGATATTTCGTATTGAAAGAAAGAGAAGTTATTATAGAGGTTAGCCTTTGTCCTTTTTTGACCCAGCCGGATTTATAATTTTTATATAAAGCTATATTTCCCAGTTTGAAATGTAGGGTGTTTCGAAATATTTATTTAATTCCTGATTTTGCATAAGTAGAGTTTTGCTACATTTCTCTCTTTACCCCTTATAATCACACTCCAACTTATCGGAAATGTTTAACGTCCGGAATACGCGGTTGCGAATATAAGGGTTACACAACGATTCTGGTAGCCTGCACCATTTCATAGGTTTTATATATGGTCGTCGACTACTGATATAATTTCAGGAAGTTTAAATCACATTCAGAGCTATCAACCGTTCCTCTCCTTATAAGCATCGACGAATAGATATAGATGTTCAGGACCTAGTGGAACGCAGCTGGACAACACATAATGCAATCGAAATACTTGGACTTGGCGCATTCTGGTCCAGCTTGTGGGGGATGTCATGTTAGAGTAGGAAAGGGTCCGACGGATTTGTATACGTTTGACAGCTAGCTCCAAGGTGTATCAGGCAGGGTATGTTTATCATATTATCTAACACATAATTTATAAGAAATCACATGTATATTTTCACATTCATTTATAATTATACAAAATGTTTCTTAATTACTTGTCGACAAACTTAGAAGAACACTTTTTCTATAACAGTCCAGTGATTGCAGAAAGCGTTGAACGCGCAATGAGTAATAATTAGAGTATTTTGCTAATTGAGCATGTTCTAATCGCTTTTGCCTCTTAAAGGAGTCCAAGCGTAAATTCGCCCGTTGGTAGGCAAAAATTCCGCTTAAAAAATTCCATAAATTTATTTGTGGCCATAAGATATTTGTAAAGTATAAAATTGTCGATGAAAGCTAAATAAGAAAATATTTGTAATTATTTGCTCGTTTGTTTTATGACCTTTAATTACTCACCTGCCACATCAAAAAGTCGCTAATTCGTGTTTCCCCTGAAGTGCGGAATAATAAATCTGGCGGGGGAGTATGTCTTGTGTATAAACATTCCTCAAGTAACCGTTCATTAATATCCGACGGTTCAAGTTCATCTCCTAGTTTCAGAATGGTTTCAACAGCTTGGGTCATTTCATCCCGCGACGTATATGAGAAAGCAATATTAAGAAACAGTTTACCATTTTGCTCTGTAATAACCATTGCTTTCGCAATTAGAGCTTGCAAATCTTCCGGCAACAATCCAATATTACCAATCACTCGAATGCGAACACCATGTTCATTTAATTTTTGCTCCTCAAGCAATATTTTTTGAAACTTTTCCCTAGCTAGATCTAGCAAACCATTCACTTCATCTTCTGATCGCTTATAGTTTTCTATGCTAAATGCAAATGTGGTTACTTCCTTAATACCTAAATCCAGGCACCAGCGCAAGCAATTAGCTAACTTCTCAAAACCATGGGAATGCCCCTCAATTTTACGCAAATTTTGTGATTTTGCATAGCGGCGATTACCATCCATTACAAAGGCAATGTGACGTGGAATATAACCGCCAGCGCGCACCACGTTCATTGCCAGAGTCTCGTACCATTTGTAATGGTAGTCTGAAACCCAAGACATTATTACAAAACTTTAATTTTTAAACGTTAATTAATAACTGGAATCAATTTTTAATTATAAGAAAAATATCATAAATCTTGTGACACTTGTTTTAATGACGATGAAATGTCATTGTCCTATGTAATCAATGGAAGTGTGGTGAAATTTATAGTAACACAGGGATGCTATTAAGATTTTCTAAATGATTATCATTCATGTAATAAATGGTTTCAGCAATAAAAATATTTTTTAACTACAATTCCTCATTTACATTTACTCTTTCAAATTTATTGTAAAAATAAACTTTTAAATTTACAAAATTTGGAAATAATTAGTTTTAAAAGTTGCATAAACAGCCATCTCTTTTTTACCTATAAGATGTCATCTGTCAAAAAGTTCACCATTTGAGGAAACGAGCAAGGCACGAATCACCGTGAATAAATAGACGACAAGAATATGAGGCGACGAAGACTGCAGAAGTAGCAGAAGAATAAATTTTTCATTCGCTTGTACGTTCTGACTGAAGGAGATATTTTCAATTTATACAAAGAATAAGTAACTATAAAAGTGATTCAATGTGGTATTTAACTAAATAAATGTTGCAAAATGGAATATGATAAACAGTTAGTAGCGGAGAGAGTTGTAACTCCTGGTAAGTTGTAAGCAATTTTGTGAAAAATAGCAGGCCAGGAAATGATTTGGCCGACGGAGTCAAAAGAACAGTGGAACAAGGAAGAGTCGGTTATCCGTCATGTAAAGTGATATAAAACATATTAGTTTTAAAAAAAGGTTATAACCATTTAAGTTAATGTAAAAATTACTTTCTAATTGCAGAATTATATTTTCTAATATCGAAGTTTTTATCTTCGGGCCCGCTACGTGAAACGGCTGAGGTAAGACTTCCTGGCAATATAAACAAATTTTTAATCGTTAATCTTAACTAAAATATCAATATTTCGTTTTATTCCTCAGGTGCTGATTCGTGAATTAGAAGAAAAAAAGGTAGGTTCAAAGATTTTATAATTGTAAGAATAAAACTTCAAATGTATGGTGGTGTCTGCTTTATGAAAACGCAGTCATATTTCGACAGTAAACAAACTTACGAATTTTAATGTTGTAATGATGTTTGTAGAAATGTCGTTGGTGATTTTCAGTTTAGGGTGTCTGCATATTTCAATGTCTAAAACTATACTAAAATCAAGAACTGCCAATTGGTTTGAATGAAGCGTATGTTGTTGGCGTGCTTTGATGTCGTTGTCCGGGATTTTTCTTTAGGCCATGACCACAGATCGCACGTGCATATTCAAGAACAAGGTTGGATGTGCGTACATAAATGTTTAGAAAGAGCTGTAGGTTATTGTGGATTTTCCATTAGGATTGGGGTGGCAAATATATCCAGTTTACTTAAAATTTTATTACTCGTAAATTGTGCAAATTTTTTTTTTTGCAGTTCTGCTAGAACCAATTGTTATTATGGGTAAAAGTTTGTTTATGTTTTCTTTTTTGTTTTGATCTTTAACTTCTTATTCTTAGATGAATGCAATGTTAGCCACATGTTAACTTTTTGCTAAAATAATTGTGATATTAAAAATAACAATTGTTTCTTGTATTAAAGGTTCTACCACGGCGGACAGATTGGTTGGGAAATGAACACGAGCAAAGCTTCGCAGAATTGGTGAGTGCATGCAATACACAGAAATCATTATTTAATAATTAATTAAGTATTGAACATGAGCGTGTACCGTGGGGCATATATATAAAGTTTTTGGTGTTAGTTTTTTTAACACTTATGTATATAATTTTATATGTATTTCTTTATCTTAAACTCTTTCATATTATTTTTTTCTTTTAATGAATATTTATAATTAATTTTAAGGTTTAAAAGTAACATTTAAAATTTTCTTCGCTTGTCTTTTTCAATTTGTCCCACTGTCCGCTGTCATTTGATTTTAGCAAAGGCTTTTGTTACGAAGGTTTCAACTATCCTAAGTTGTATACATAAATTGACAATTTTATTTAAAAGTATCGCCTTTACCAAAAATTTTAAATGTTTTAAGATTTGGCACAATTTGACAGTAGATTACAGTCGTTTATTCCTACACGCTTCGCCGCCATATTGCTTTGTTCCAATAAAGGGTGGAAATGTTTATTGATTAATTTATATGCAACATTTTTTGTTCATAAAATTAATGAAATTAAAATTGCTTATTTCATAAAAAATGGTGACAAATTTTAATTCAAATAGAATATACAAACGACTAAACTGATAACTCAGTAAACAATTTTTTTTAACGAATTGTTCGTATTGACCATTCCCCTAAATTTAATATAAAAAAGTAAAGAAATAAATGTTTAAGTTGAATATTTTTAAAATATTTAATAGTTAATTATATGTATATACATTAGTTTGTGTGTATATACATGTATGTTCGTACGTATCGTATAAAATACATTCGTTGCAGTGGTACGATTTTGGCAGACATTTTGACTGGAGCATATGCCTGGCATATGCCAATTCATAGTGAGTACTGTTATCCCTTTTTCGCACACTTATTATAATGTGAGACTTTCAACGATAAAAGCCTCGCTTTCTGTTATATTATATTCACCACAGTTAATTTGCTTGAAAGGGATGACTGTTTCATAAAAGGAATGATAGATTACTGTTTCGTATGTTATTTCCATCTATTGCGGTCTGTTTTAAAACATTTTCGTATTTGTTTTTAAGAAAAAATGAGGTTTACTTTAGTTTGCAAATATGAAAGTTGAATTCATAGAAGGGGGATGTACTAGAACAGCTGTTTCTAAGACAGAGACGATTGTCCAAACTCTGAAATGATGACAATGTAAACATACAAGCTAAAAAAAAGCCTTTACTTTATTGTGGAATGATATTTGAAAATTGTTTTGTTTTAGGAGCAAAAATATGCACACATTGGACCAAATCATTTGTTAGAAATATGTTGTCGTATAGGACCGATACTTGACAAAGAATTACCGCCAGCCGTTTTAGGTATAATTTCATTACTTGGTACTGGCCGCCAAAGTTTATTGCGGACGGAGGAGAGCATTTACCGGTCACGGTCCTTACTGGACTACTGCACACGTCTACATGGCGTATCACTGCCAGACTCATCAATAACAAAACATATACACAACTTACGTAAGTAAACATTCAACAACATATGAAACGTCTCTCATTTCCATTTATTGTAGAAAAAGTTCTTATTGGTCGTGAGTATGGAGGCCCGATTCGTAGAAAATTATTGGTTCCAATTAGTCTCTACAGCAAAACCAAATTGTTAAAGCGCACTGTAGGACATTTATCGTCCGTGTATTGTGTGCTTTTTGATCGCACTGGACGCTACATAATAACGGTAAGCAAAAAGTAAATGTTAAATAACTAAAAAATATTTATACTTATATTGTGTAGGGCGCTGATGACTTGCTCGTGAAAATATGGTCAGCAATTGATGGTCGTTTACTGGCTACCCTTCGGGGCGCTTCGGCGGAAATAACAGATATAGCCATAAATTTAGATAATACAATGTTAGCAGCTGGTTCATTAGATCGTATACTTCGAGTGTGGGACATGCAAACTACTTCGCCAATAGCTGTGCTCTCAGGCCATACAGGCATGATAACATCCTTGAATTTTTGTCCTTCTCCCCGCGGCGATTTGAAGTATTTGGTGACCACTAGTACTGATGGCTCGATTGCATTTTGGCAGTACTCTACGCCACGAGGGCAAAAAATCACTTTTGCACCCAAGCCAATACAGTATCACGAAAAGTTACGACCGGGACAGGCGCAAATGTTGTGTACCACATTTTCTCCAGGTGGAATGTTTCTTGCAGCCGGTTCGGCAGATCATCATGTAAGAGTATATATTATGTCTGAAGATGGGCCGAAACGTATACTTGAAACTGAAGCTTATACCGATGCGGTAGATTCCGTTCAGTGGTCACATCGAGGTTTACACTTCATTTCGGGTAGCAAAGATGGCACAGCACATATATGGAATTTCGAATCACAACAATGGAAAAGTATAAAACTGTGTATGACAGAACGATTGCCAAGGTGAGAGTTTATAAAAAATATATCTAATCTAGTACATACATATCATACGGAATTTTGTTTTCTGATTGCAGTTGTCCACCACCAGAAGAGGGAAAAAAACTGAAAGTTACTATGGTAGCATGGGATTGCTCCGACAAATATGTCATTACTGCAGTAAATGATTTTACAGTAAGTAGAATTAACAGTGTTTAAACTTTTATTCCAATTAATTATACTTCATACTTGGTAGATTAAAATATGGCATTCAAAAACGGGTAAACTGCATCGTGTGCTACGTGGGCATAAAGATGAACTATATGTGCTTGAGTCAAATCCGAAAGATGAGCATGTTTTGCTGTCTGCTGGTCATGATGGACAAGTGTTTTTATGGGATATAGAAAATGGAGTTTCTGTTGCTGAGTTTATGAACGATATTGATGGACAAGGCCATGGTAGTGTTTTCGATGCAAAATGGTCCCCGGATGGTACAATGATAGCCGCTACAGATTCACATGGTCATTTACTAATATATGGACTAGGCATTTGTCCAGATAAGTACAAAATGGTAAGTACCACATTTATAGCAAATTTTTAAAACTTAGTATTGATTTGAATTCGAAAACTTCAGCTACCAAACGAATTATTTTTCCACACGGACTATCGTCCATTAATGCGAGACGCTTCTCAATATGTTGTTGATGAGCAAACACAAGTTATGCCACATTTGATGCCACCACCTTTTCTCGTTAATTCGGAAGGTAATCCCTATCCAGTACAGTATCAACGTTTTGTACCCGGTCGCGAAAATTGTACTCGCGAACAGTTGAGACAAATTTTAACAGTTGGTGATGATGGTACGGTTATTGTCCCCAATATCAATGGTACTGGCGGTAATTTTTCTCATATTGACCGCTTAATTGCCGTATTGGCGAATCGTCAGGGAGCTGCGCCTCCATCGCCTGCAATAGCGGGCAATCAACCGCCAGCTAACAATCCTTCAGGCAACCATTCACAGTTAGATCGACTTATTGAGGCACTTGCAAGTCGTCAGGGTCAAGATCAGGCTCCTGACTCTAATAACCGTCCATCTAGTAGCCGTTCTGCACTCGTGGGAGCTGGGCAATTACGTTACAGTTTTGACGACATGCCTGGACGACAACTTGATGCAAGTAATGCAATCCGTCAACCTACTGGCCATGTGCGTTCTTCCGGAGATCACCAATTGATACCGACTGTCGACCAACCAACACAGGCCTCACAAATTAAGTATTTTCGACGAATATATGTACGCCCTATGAAATACCAACAATTGCAAAACCTTAAACAAACTGTATATGCGGCTGGTCAATATGAGATGCAAGAATATAAACGAGAGATGCGTAGGCGACCTATTATGATTACTACCGGTAACGTAGCGTGCATTCAACTCAGTACTGGCCGTCAACGCACTACTCGTGGCAACAACGGTATGGGTGGTGCAGTTCGTTCACGGCGTCGCCAAGGGCAAGGTAGCCAGTCCCAGCCTGCTTATCGAACACGTGCTGTACGTGGTCAGGAAGAGCTGGATGCGCCACCGCCGCCAGAAGAAGAGGAGGAGGATGAGGAAAGCAACTCCTCCTCGGGCGATACCAGCTACTCTAATGTAGAAGAAAACTTGGAAGAGTCTTCGGATGATTCGGATACTGAAAGCTCCGATTACTCTGATTGGGTAGCCGATACACCAGGACCAAACTTGGAGCCACCGAAACGATCAAAACGTAAACCATTATCAAGAAGGCGCACATTTAGTGACGATAGTAGTGATGAGACCACGGAACAAGCTACTACATCTGCTGGCGCCGCCGCAAAGGCATCAAGGAGAAACAAACGCGTTATTATACCGCCGCCAGCACCTAATGGTGAAATACCCGAGTTATATAGGCCAGCCGAGTGGCTATCGGAAGTGATACCGCGTAAGGCGCCCTATTATCCACAAATGGGCGATGAAGTGGTATACTTTCGACAAGGACATCAACGTTATTTGGAAGCGGCGCGCCTCAAAAAAGTATATAAGCTAACACACAGTTCGGAGCCATGGAATTTTCGTACACTTCGCGATCGTGAATTTGTACGTGTAATTGGCATAAAGTATGAAATTCGTCCACCACGTTTGTGTTGCTTAAAATTGGCAATGATTGATGATGATGGTAATATGACGGGCACTTCATTTAAGATCAAATACCACGACATGCCGGATGTACTCGATTTTCTTGTTTTGCGCCAGACGTTTGACTTGGCGGTACAGCGTAATTGGAGTGTTGGGGATCGTTTCCGTTGCATGATTGGGGATGGCTGGTGGATGGGACAAATCGAATCTCGTTATGCCCTTTCTGCTGATTTTCCCGATTCATATTTTATGTGTTTCCGTGTACGTTGGGATAACGGGGAATATGAGTATATGAGCCCGTGGGATATGGAACCAATTGACGAGAATCGTCTGCCGGATGAGGTAGGTGGTGCAGTACCTGTGTTACAGGAGGAGATACGTGCTACATTGTATCAACCTAAATCGGAAGAATGGCATAGAGGAGATCGTGACGGTTCTTGCAGGCGTATCATTAACGGTTTAGAACAGGTGAGTAAAGCGGGAAACCATTCTAAAGAAAATAATCAAATCTTTTTATTTTTTATAGGTTATGCGTCTCTCGATCGCAGAACATTTCTTAGCGCCAGTTGACCTAAATGTTTATCCTGACTATGCCTATTTGATTGAATATCCAATTGATTTAACTACAATAAAATCGCGTTTTGAAAATCACTTTTATCGACGCATAACATCAGCCCAATTCGACGTGCGGTATTTGGCAACCAATGCTGAGAAATATAATCGTTCTCATACGAACATAGTTAAGCATGCACGCATTATAACCGATCTTTGTCTGCGTGTAATAAGGTTAGCTTGTAAAACAGCTTCGGAACTGGACGAAAAAAATTGATAACAATTTCAAATATTATTTCATAGGGAACCCAATGATATTGATGTTGCAGCTGTTTACCATCAATTAGTTGACGTTTATCACTCATCGGAAACAGAAAACGACAATGAATCAGATGTTGTACCCTCAACAAGCACTGGCCCATCTACATCAGCTGCGGCACGTCAGAAAATGTCTGCCACACGACGGTTAGTTTGCTAAATTCAACTTGTATAGCATCGATGTACATTAAAATTTCATTAATTTTAAAATAGTTCCAGCCGGATACGGTCTGATGGTGACTGGCGGGCAGATTGTCGACAGTTATTGGACTTAATGTGGCAACGAAACGATTCGGTGCCGTTTCGTGAACCAGTCGATACACTAGAATTTCCCGATTATTTGGAAATTATTTCTTCTCCAATGGATTTGCGTACAGTAAAGGAAGATTTGCTCGGTGGAAACTATGAAGATCCTTTGGACTTTGCAAAGGATGTGCGCTTGATATTTCAAAATTCACGCAATTATAATACCAACAAACGTTCGCAAGTGAGTCAAAAATACATCCATACATTCTTATTTTATAAAAATTTTCTTTTGGCTTTTTGTACGATCTCCATGGTATTGTTCTTTTAAATAGTCGTTTAATCGAAATAACACTTTTAATTTTTTTTTTAATAATTTGCAGCCCAAAGATTTAATTTGTTTTTTTTTTTTTTTTTTTATTTAAAGTACACGCCTATTACATAAAATACATATATATTTTTTTGATCGTCGTTCATAATTCTAAATTGATCGTTCATTATATCCTTTTCCACCTTTCTATCTCTTCTTTTTATTTCATCACTAGAACTACATACGATCTGCTTAGACATGTTTTGCAGGGTATGCAGCAAAGACTTGTTTCTTAATCATATTTGAATAGTATAAAAATACGAATTTTGTGGGTAATTTCTGAGAAATCTGTGTGATTTCCTTTCTCACCTGCGATATGAATATGTTGCATGGGAAATTGAAGGCCTCATTTCATTAGAGTAACTGTAATATTTAAATTTGTCTATATAGAAGAAGAGAAACTCCATATAGTAATTTGTTGGAAGTTATATGAAAGTATATTAACGTTGTCCTGATGGTTGACTATCCCTAATCTCTACGCTCACATTTTCATAACTGATTCCTGAATTAAATTAATTAGGAGCAGGCAAAATCAGTCTTAAGTCATCGAAGTCATCTAACGGAAAGTTCAGACATTTCGAACCAGAGTTGTAGTTGTCGTGCAGTGATGAAGTGGGTAAGAGCGTCGGAATAGCAATTTACTTCCTAACAGACGTTATCAATATCTGGGCCAGAATATCGAGTAGTTATTGGCATATGAGATCAGAGAAACGCCTTTCAGTAGTGAATGAGCTTAGAAAACGTGCTTGTGGTGCAGTACACGTTTCGGAAGCCATGCTGCTGGGCCCAGGTGGTGAGTGCAAAGCTTCAATTGTCTTCGCTACTGGGGGGGAAAAGAGAGATATCGTGTGCAGCGACCACTTCAGCCAGTTTCCACGTGGCGAGTATAGTCAGAGTGGGCAAAGATAAATATAATATCTTGGAGAGGTATTTTCTCCATTTGTCGAATTTCCCATTTGAGTTCCCTGATTCGGTGATCTTCGGCTTCGCCTGGACATAAATGGCCGCGCTTCCATGCTAAAACTGCTGTTTCAGTAACTAACTTCTGGCGTATTTCCGCGATGGTCTGATGCGAGATCTAGCAATTGAGAAACCAGGCGAATTATGGCTATTACCTACAATTCTGGTGGGAGAGTGACTACTCATGGCGCAGATTGTCTACTGAGAAGATCTGAGCGAACTGCAGCTAGCGGCAGAAGCTTCCGGCTAAAAAAGTCGACTGTCTCTTTGATCTTCTGGAATCCGTTGCATTTGAGTTGTAGGTGTCTGCGTGGATTTGAATCAGCTTGTTGCAAGGTATTTTTCATTGATGATTTCAGACTAAGCTGAGGTGGCCGAAAAGTGACGTAGAGCCAGCTGTCGTGAGATACGTCAATTCGGAGTTATTTCTCCTGTCTACTTATGGCTTTAACAAACTTGGGAACTACATCTTCCCCTGCCCTATATAAAGAATCTAACCCTGAAAAATGCAAATAAGGAAGTTTAAATTATTAATGGGTTAATTTAACAAGTAATTAGATGATTTTCATCACCTTAAAATAGAGATAAAATAATGAGAGAATATTAGATTAGATTGAAAAGGCCTATATCACACAAACAACGGCAACTTACATAATTTTTATGGATAATTTAACATTTATTTCTTTTATATATATATATATATTTTTTTTTTGCCGATTGCTCTTTCTTTAAGAAAATTTCGTTATTAACACATATTAAAGAAATTTCTATTACAAATTCAAGTTCCTGTTGCTAATTTATTTTTTACATTCCCACCATGCTTCCATGTATCGATCAATCAATCAATCAATCAATCATGTAATCAATATCATTGCAATGAATGACGATCTCATTGTAGGAAAGCTTAGCGGTAAGGTTGCAATTCACCTCAATTCACCTACATAACTCACATTAGTAAATAATCTTCCTCTGGTTCCTTATTCTATATGTTGCTCGTGCCGTCTGTCTGCAAATGCAACAGTCCACGCGCTTAACTTTGTTCACACTACACATTAAAAAAAAAAAAACAAGTATAAATCTCACATTTCAAGTTAGTCATTAAATATTATATATATATATATTCCCAAGTGTCTGAAACTAGCTATTGTGAGGTTTATACTTTTAAGTGATGCGATACATATTTATTTTTTCATTTATGTGCATACTTTATATTTATATGAAAAAAAAAAACATTTTTTTGTTTTAGATTTATGCCATGACTCTGCGTTTGAGTGCATTATTCGAATCGCAAATAAAGACCGTAATAAGTAATTGGAAGGCAGCGCGCCGGCGTGCGAATAAGAATGCAGGCAGCGGCGGTGGTCGAGGATCCAGCAGCAGCCCAACAAAACGCCAACCTCCTGACGCATCTAAACGTGGCCGCAGTCAACGCAACACACGGCAACTACACAGCTCCGATGATGACGATGATGATGATGACGACGATGACATTGTTCGTAGAGGTCACGCGAATGTACAATCGCGCGTTACACAACGACGTGTTGCTAGCGGAACGACAAATGGTCGAAATGGTCTGCTTCGCGGCACTATATCGGCATCAGCAAGTACATCCGCGGGCTCGAATCGCGTTAGCTCGTCTTCTGCATTACAACGTCGCGGAGGCGAACCAGCACAAGCAAGGCGCAGCTCACGTCGGAAGGCGGCAAGTCAAGAGTTAGAAGATGATGATGATGTCGATGAAGAAGAAGAAGATGACGCTGAATTGCATGTAACCGATGAGCATAGCACTGGGTCGAGCTCTACTTCCGGAGACAGCGATAGCGAGGATAATTCTGAAGAGGACTTAAATGATAGCAACGATGGATCAGATAACGATGGTGCGCGCGCTAAACGTGGTACAGCGCGCCAACGAAAACGGCGAAGTGGTGCCGACGATTCGGAAGACAGCTATAAGCCGGACAACGATCGACGCAGTGGTGGACGGCGTGGAGGTAGTAAGCGGAGTAGAAAAAATAAAGCTGCGAAAAAGTCGAGTAGAAAGCAGCAGGACAAACGAAAGCAAACCTCGCGAAAGCGTGTTAGACGTATCGAAGACGATGATGATGAGGATTATATGGAAAACAGCAACAAAAGGAGAACAACGACTACGGTCACTGCTGCTTCAAATGGGCCTGGTCGCACTACAAATGGCAATGTTCGCAGAGGGAATAGACGACGCTTGCAATCGTCAGAGGAAGAACATGACGACATGATGCATCACACAAGTTCGCAACTGGATGAGAGCACGCAAGATACGATTACAGGGCAGACGGCTCGAAATGGAATGTCGACGCCGAAGAAGCGCGCACCAGCGACTGGGCGTCCGCAGCGAAGTAACCCAGCTGCTATAGAGAACGGGCCTTCCACAAGTGCTAATGCAATGTTGCAACAGAGCCCTTCACGTAATACACGTATGCAGACGAACACATCGACGGCGAGTGGAGTGACGACGCTGGGTAATAGGAGGAGTGCGACAGAAATCGATCACAGCTATCATCTTCCCATGCGTAATGGTCGTATTGCGGATTCGGACACAGATTCTCGTGAAGTGGCAGCAAATGCACGCCCCACAAGGTCTAGTTTCAAGCGTGCAATTTTAGAATGGGCGCGAACAAGCGATGTTGAAGACGACGAACAAGAACAGGAAGAGGTTGAATATGAGGAGGAAGATAGTGAGGAAGCGGAGGAGGTATGTACATATATATATTTTTATTTATAAATGAGCTACTAATAATTAAATATTTACAGATTTTGCCTACCCCGACGCCTACGAAAATATCGCCTTCGAAGACAAACAATACCGGTAAACAATGTAATAGTGGCCCTTCCACCAGTCGAGCTGCTCACATTGACGCTGTCGGGCCTGTATCTGTTGGTCAAGTGCGGCAGCTGCGCACCAATCGTAATACGGTTGTTGAACCGCCACACGAGGATGATGATTCAGAGGATGGTGACGGTAGTGAGAATGAACCCCTCGCTGCGAGTCAAGGCGCCACAGCAGGCGTCCAGAGCCGAATTCATCGTAAGTAAACAGCAAAATTTAGACTTTAATGTGATTATAAGCGTGATTCCGATTAGAATTATTTGAATTAATATGCCAATAAAAAATATATATTTTTTTTAATATCTTCCTTGAAGCTGCCAGTTACCCGCCCACCCGCAGCGCTACGAATACTGCCACGCCGCGCTTACAGGCACACGCTGCTGCCATGAGCAACGCTCACATGACCCGCTCACATGCTACATCTACAACGTCATCTTCGAACATAACTACCTCCACATTATCAGCACACGATCACAACTATTTGGGCTCAGAGACTATGGGCCCGTCCACATCGGCTGCTGCGGCGCGCGGCACTGCACGTCGTATGCTATCGCGCCATCAACGCAATGCTGACGAATTGGATAGCAGCGCTGATCCACTTGAAAACTTCAGCGAATTTATGCAAAATCCTCGCTTACGTCGGGGCCTTCCAACATCCACAACTTCGCAGACCGCAGTTAATGGTGGTACGATAGCGACAACAGCAGCAGCGGCTAGTACGCGTGCGCCAAAGCGTATAAGCACTGTTCGACGCGGACGCTCACGCTACAACCAAGAAAACTCACAAACTGCCGATGATGACGATGATGAAAGTGGCGAAGAGGATGCCAGCGCTGCATCTGACGAGGGCACTGATGGTGGCTCTAGTACACATGACGACGAGGACAACGAAAACGCCACCGACGATTCAGAAGATAATCAGCCGTTAACATCGTATGTACCAACTGGACGGCGTACGCGTAACCATGGCAACTCACCACGACGAGCTAATCGCCGACGTCGTTCAGACGATTCATTTGTGTGTGACGATGATGACGAAGACTATGAAGTGGAACGGCGGCGACAGAGACGACATCAAAGGCAGAGGCCACGATCGCGGCGCCATAGCGATCACGATCACAGTAGTCCCCAGGGTAATAGACGTAAGAAGCGTGGCTCACGCAACCTAAAGCGACCGCGCTACAATGAGCAGAGTGATGATGAGGCTTCTCATGACTACAATGCAGCCCGAAAGCGACAGCGAGATGCGGACGGTAGTGCTGAAATGGTAGGCAGCAGTTCTCAACGAACAGTGGCGCAACGACCTTCACGAACTGTGGAGGATATGGATAGCTCAGAAGAGGATGATGAACAGTTAGTGAGTGTTAGTAGTCGTGGACGTGTACGAAAAATTTCAGCTAAAGCACGCGGTATTTTTAAAGATTAATCGTCTCAATTACCGACTACGTGATGGCAGTATCGACTTAAGTTGTTACTGTTTAAAAGCCATTCACACATGCACGCCTATGCTAACAGTAAAGAAAAAAAGGATATATAAGCAGGAAAAGGTGAAAATAGTGTATTGAAAATTTTGCTTTAAAATTGTAATTTTTTTTTCGTTATATACTATGTATGTATGTACCAGGTCGTTTTAGCCGCGCTTTTGACTTATGGCCTAAGCGATTTTGTAAACACTTCTTTGCACACTATTAAGCGTGGCTAATTAGTAATTTAAGATTTAGTTAAAATGTATTCTTTAAATCTATTCATAAATGTTTGCGAGTTGCAGGAACATGAAAGCCAGTTACTTAGAAAGTGGAAAGTGGCGAATGGGATTCTATTTATGAAAATGCTAAAAAAGTTAATTTATTTATTCATCTAAGCTGACTTCATATTTCTCAGTTGAAATTGTATAGAAGCATCATTTTAATTGCAAATTTCATTTACTTGTATTATTTAAGAACATCGTGAATTCGAGGAAAAAAAGCACATTAACACATTAAATTGTAAACTGTCTCTTTTATACATTTTAAGGCTTTCATGTTTCTGTTATCAGTTATATTAGTAAAAATTATTGGTTTTTATTGAATTAGAAACAAAAAATCACTTCATTAACATTAATTGATATAAAATGATTAATAATGAACTCATGCAAAATACCTTACGTTTCTTCATACAAAAAACCGCGGACCATTGTCACCGTCTCTCATCCTTATTAAAATTGTTTTTCATTTGACTAAGTAGTCATAACCTATTTCAATGTAAAAAATATAATTTACTACAATTAGTGCATATAAGATCAAATATAAAATAGAAATTTCAAAATCCGATTTTTTTATTCTAATTTTTAGTGGAATTGAGATATATTAACTGACAAAGGGACCGGCGCAGCTGATTCCATTTGAGAGGTGAATTGGAAAAATCAGTGCCTAGATGAAAGGGATTACAGGTGTGTGTTACTTCGCCTATATCCAACTGCCGAAGTGTTGGGTTAAGAGAAATTTTGAATTTATTAGGTCCATCTATTTGTTGGAAAAAGAATTGAGATACACACCACCGCGGTTATATAATATAATTAATTTTTATTTCAATCAAACTTAACTAGTGTCAAAATACATTAATATTCACAAATAAAACATGTATGCTTATTGATGCGCATTACGTTTAACATATTCCTTAGCCAATTTCTTCACCTTTTCTACATCTGCTTCAGAGCCAAACCGTTCTTCGAATTCTAAATATTTCTTAAAAATAGTGCGCATTTTCTTCATTGGTATTTTCTGAATGGTGGCGCGTTCGAGAACGCTTCTGCAATAAAAAAAAAAATAATGATTAATATTTCTACTTGATACTCCTTTAAATGTATTACGAACCTCGCAGAATCAACCATTTCGGATTTAACCAACATATCGATATATTGCGCCCACACATCTACACGTTTCGGATATGAGGTGACCACTTGGTCGAGTAGTGTTTGCGCCATTTCATTATTTCCATATTTGTGATTTAAATTACCAAAAGCAACAATGATATTGACATCTTAAAGAAAAAGATATATTGAATTAATACGAAAAGAACAAAATATTAAACCAATTTGCATGGAAATTTGTATTAGGTACTTACGTTCTCTTTCGGGCAGACAAGCCAGTGCTTTATGCAGCAATTGCTGCGCCCGTTCATGCATATCTATGCTAAAATATGCAGTTGCTGCGGCGCGCCATACTTCCGGTTGTGCCTTGAACTTCTTCGTTATCAAGCTGATCATGCCAATTAATTCTTCAGTTTTCTTTGCATCACAAAGTATTTCTACTACCCGCAGATATACCTTAAGCGGATCATTTAAAGTTATCGCCTCTTTGAGTGTCTCATCAAAAGCTTCCTTATTTCCATAGCGCAGCTCTAAGTTCAATAAGGCTACCCAAATATTGAGTTGTTCATTATCTTCTCGATAAGAAATAGCTTTAATAGCACGTCGAGCTACTGCACGCGCCTTATCAATTTCAGCTGATTGCAAATGATAGACCATATAGTTAATCCAGTTTTTACTATTACTCGGCTCGGAAAGCACCAAACGATCGAATTGATCTACACTTTCGGGCAAATGGTTCGGGTCGGCATATTTTGCCTCAATTTCACGCAGACGCGTCTCCTCTTCACGTTGTAGCTTGAATTTCTCAGCAGATGTTAGTTTTTTCTTCTTTTGACCTGCTTGGTCGGCATCATTGTTCTCATCGTCGTTGTCTTCATCACTAGATTCCGTAGATTTTCTGGTATTGTTCAACTGAGATAAATCTGTATTCCAGAAATCGCCAATACCGGGCAACATTTTAGGTGTAGGTTTTTTTGATTGGATATGTGTTTTCGACTGTGTCTGCTTCGTAAAACTATTTTTATCTTCTGTATCAGAAGAGTCCACATGCGGGTCTTCAACGATTACAATCGGATTTGGTATTTTGTCTTCATAAAACAGTACTTCTTTTTTTGATTTCTTACTCGTTTTAGCGGCAGGCACATCGCTTTCATCACTTCTCGTTTGCTGTTTTTGTTTTTTCGCTTTATTTTTTTCTTGCTTTTCAACCTTGTTTACTTCGTTTTCAACCGGTATCTCCAACTTGATTGTTTCAATTTTCACTTTTTTCGCTCTAGGTGAACTATCCAGCTCCGTTTTAGCCTTGCGTTTCTTTTTTATATCATGCCACAGTCTCCAAGTATCATCTGGTACTGCAATTGGTAACTTATCATGTATGAAAGCGAGTTTACAGAAACCACCTTCCGCCAAGCCTGCGCTAGCGGAGTTCTCAAAATCATTAAAATGTAAACGAATTGGACAATAAATAAGTGGATTTGGACCTTTCTTCAGCGAGCATATGAAAAGCTGATCTGTTTTTAATAAAACTTTGGCATTAATGCCTGATTTTTCGACCAAATTGCTAGATATATATTTCTCGTTGTTAACATGTGATACATCAGCTTGCTTGTTGCTGATGTAGATTACTTCATTTGAGTAGTCAACCCACAGAACGAGACATTCTTGTTGTGCGCCCACTTTTGGTGGTTTAGCTTTGCCGACTATCGATGATTTCACCACAGCAATGACTTTTGTTTTTTCAATTTCATACTGCCAATCCTTTGTAGCAGGATTTACGCCGCGGAAACTTGCTACAACCTTTTCGCCCACTTTGTGATGTCCAATTTTAAAACCCAACCGTTGATTTCCTCTTCTTACTTCCGATACTTCATTTAAATAACTGTAAGGATAAAAGATACATATGTTCAATGTTTCGATTGCAATCGATTATAATTCCTGGTATACTCACTCCTCCAGAAAACGTGCAGTTGAATTTAGATCACCATTCCATACATCTGTTAATCTTGCAGATACTGTTATCGTTTTGGTAGCGGGCTCTTTACCCAACACTTTGACATATACAACTTGTTCCGGGGAAAGTTGTAAATTTGAATTCTTATAGGCATTCACTAACAACATCTTCAAATGTACCTTCACTAACTTGCCATAGTTACGTATAGGAATCAATAACTCCACGATATCTTCATGGACATTCTTCACATGCGCTTTTAAAATATCGCCCTGTTTAATATTTTTCCAATTGTTGGTTAAATGCGTTAGGAAGTAGGGTACATCGCGCATACTGAATATATTCTTTACAATGCAAACGGCTTGTGTTTGCGTGCCTGGTGGGTAGGTTCGCAATTTAGCATATAATAAATCGGGATAATCGGAAATCAAACGTAAGGGCACAAGTCCTTTCACTTCAATCGCATTATTTTCGGGATCCTCATCATCAAACTCATGGTCATCCTCTGGGTGATATGTAATTTTAATTTCCAACCCTGATTCCAATGTGTGAACTATGGTGACAGGACATATTTCTCCCAAGCCAAATGTATCATCGGCCAGAGTTAGTGTGATTTGCTCGCCCTTCTTTGCTAGTATGCGAAATGCCATTGTTTGACCCTCATAGAATGTATACATCTCACTACCAAGCACAGTACTCAAACGCTGTTTGTATAGCATGCCTTTAAGATTATTAAAGAATTTAACTAAAAGATATTCTTCGTTACATTTCACAATGGTACCCATATAGGTAGCATTATGACGTGCATTTGCAAGTGTGGTTAGCACTTTGCAGTGTTTGGCCATGTATTCAGGCCGGTTTGTCAAATAGACCGTTTTTCGTTCAGTGTTGACAGCCAATACACGACAGCGTACTTTGCTGTTTATCTCTAAGGTTTTTGGTACCGGCGCGAGATACAACTTTTCAATTATGCCTATAAGCCAAAAAAAAAAAAAATAGAATAGCAATGTTAATAAAACTATAAAAATTTTAAATTTCTTTGTACCTTTAACTCTGCCAACTTGCATTGTATACCCGCCCACTCTGAGGTCCCGTTCCTTCACGACAGCAGTAATAAATTCACCCGGTTTTAAATCATCCAAAGCGAATACTTTTTCATTGACAGTATTTGCGTTGTCAGTGCAAATATATAGTGAATCCATGGGATCATAGTCAAGCACGCGAACCTTGTGTTTTGTTTTCTTAGCATATTTCACCAACACTTCATCTTGATCATAATTACCCTTATAGTTTGATTTTATGGAACGATAAGACAATACACCTTTAAACTTGTTATCGAGCACCAAAATAACACCACCGGTTCCGAGGTGATGTACTCTAGCTGCCTCGATAATATCACCTCTTTTATATTGAGGTTCAAATGATTGCTCTTCAGTGGATGTGCGCAAGTTTAGAGTTAGATATACAAGTTTAGTTAGTGGCATGATGTATAAGACACGCGCGTTAATCGTCGAATTTATTTCATAATCTTCCGGTAATGCCAATGGCTCTATCAATTGGTGTTCGTTTATGTAAGCAGTAAAGGCTTCATTCATTATGGTACCCTGTAAACCGTCCTTGAGTTGATTTGTTACAGAAAATTGTACAATAGTGCTAGGCAAAATGTAATCTATATTCGGCTCTGTTTGATTTTTTATTTTCATATTCTCAGGTTTAACTTCTTTACAAATGCATGTGCTAGCCGTTTTGTCAGCGGTGAGTTTCTCCACTCTTAAGAATATCAATTCTCCAACAACATGATCAGCTTGGGATTTTTCCAGCGGAACAAATGTGCGTAAGCCTTTTATTCCTGTTTCAATAATATAACCATGTTCTTGAACTTCTTCTATAGCGCCATTAAAAACAAATCCTTTTTTCACATTAGTATGCACCAATTCCGCGTGCACTTCACTTGGTCGCAGTGACATCAAAATTTGCATCCGACCATGCTCATTCTGTTTTATTTCTTGTACTCGCCCATATACTATCTGTCCCACGGTATATAAATCTGTTAGTGGTTTAAAAGTATTTCCATTATCAACTTGTTCAAGGAACTCTCTCGTAGATTTTGTGTACGCATCTGAGATTTCTAGCGCTGACACTCTTGCCGTTATACGACCGGGCAATGAAATATTGAGATATAGTTGATCAATAGCTTTTACTACACCCATGATGTTCATACCATCCTGTATGGTATCGTAGCTAAGTAGCTCGGCGGATACGGCTTGAATTTGATCATTTTCTTCATCCACGCCAACTTCGAACTCATCTTCCGTTGGCTTTCTTTTCTGTTTTTTAGCTTTTGTTTGTACTGCACCAAAAACCTAAAATAATGCAATTTATTTTGTTTGCACATACAATGGCTACACGTTACTTACAATGTTTTCTTTTAGTTCGTCCGGCTTACTTTCAGTTGTTGCGATCCCTCCTCGCGGAAAGCTTTTTTCCACTATAACCATTTTATTTCTTTATTACTATTGTTTTATATGAATTTATATCCAGCCGAAGAAATAACTCACAATTCTGTAATTTTCGTCAACCAAGAAAAATAAATTTTGAAATGGCTGGAAAAGAAACACACGTGTGGATGGAAAGCAGTGATGCTTCTTCATAAAAGGGATTTTTTTCTTTAGGGTAATGTACCAGCGAAACGGAAAGTACTGAAGTTCTATTGTTTACCAAATATAAGAAAACCTTTATGAAGTAGTGTACTTATAAACATATCTAAAAATATTTAAATTCCCTAATTGCTTTTGGTTTTATAATAAAATGAAATGACTTATATTGTATATTCCACTCAGGGATTTTTCCTCTGTTCATCATGCATATTTTCACCCTTTGATTGCAAACACCATTGGCTAAATTGCAACAGCTGATTGATTGTCAAAGTACATTCGTTGTTTATCCACATGTTTGCGGCTTTTAATTAATGATTTAAATTCCATGTAAGCATATTTTCATGTTATAAAAATGCAGACAATACGCGAATTCACGAGAAAAACGAAACGTGGTAATATTTTAAAGGTAATATATAGTTCTTATTAAAAAACAAACAGTAACATTACGTCTCTTACAGATCGTACGTGAACACTATTTACGTGATGATTTGGGTTGTGGGGCACAGATATGTGAAAATTGTGTGCAGGATGAGACAACTGTGTCTCTACTGCCGGAACGGGAGATAAAAAGTACATTATTCCCTTTTCCGCACTATATAGTGTTGGATACAAATGTTGTGCTTAATCAGATTGATGTCTTGGAGGAGGATGCTATCGTCAATGTGATTGTGCTATCCACCGTATTGAGTGAAGTGAAACATAATAGTAGTGCTGTTTATAAGCGTTTTCGTGAAATAGTGCAGCATAAGCCTCGAGGTTTCTACGTATTTGTCAACGAACATCACAAGTACGCCAGACTTAATATTTACATACATGTATATGTATGAAGGTATATTAATATATTTCATTAATATCATATTGTTTAAGGGACACATATGTTGAGCGAGAACCTGGGGAAAGTGCTAACGATCGCAATGATCGTGCTATACGGAAAGCTACACTATGGTATGACCACCATATTCGAGAAGCTGATAATAATCGTGCATTCAAAAAGGCTGGACGGCCGCTTACTAAAGTTATTATGATCACTGATGATGCGGAAAATAGATCACGCGCAGAGAAAGATGGCATATTGGTGGCAAGTGCAGAAGAGTATGTAAAATCTCTAACAGATTTTCCAATGCTAATTGATAAGTATGCGCGTAAGAGTTTTGAAAGCGAAAAGAAATCATTGCCTATATTCCCAACACATTTGAGTGTTAACGAGATACATGATGGCATTAAAGCAAAGAAGCTCCTGCAGGGTTCTTTTCAAGCGTCGCGTGAAAATTACTTAGAGGGCGCAGTATCTGTCGAAGGATATGAACATCCGGTAAATCTCAATGAATGATGAATCATTTTTATTAAATTAAAGTTTTTTTTTCATAATGTAGGTGCTGATTCAAGGACGTGAAGCACTGAATCGTGCCGTAGACGCTGATATTGTAGCAATTGAACTGTTGCCGAAAGAAGAGTGGACGGCACCAAGTGAAATTGTTTTAGAAGAAGGTGTCGACGAAGATCCCGGTGACAATGTGGAACGCACTGACAAAGAAAAAGCGGTTTTCGATAAGAAGCTCGCGAAATCCGAAGAAATACGTCCAACAGGAAAAGTGGTTGGCATTATACGCCGCAAATGGCGACAATATTGTGGCATATTGCTGCCAAGTCAGTTGGAGAACACATCACGTCATATATTCGTACCGGCCGATCGAAAAATTCCACGCATACGAATAGAAACAAGACAAGCCGATCAATTGCAGAATAAACGTATAATTGTGGCTATAGATTCTTGGCCACGTACTTCACGATATCCACATGGCCACTTTGTGCGCAGTCTTGGTCCACTTGGCGATATGAATACCGAAAACGAGGTGATTCTTCTAGAGCACGACGTGCCACATAGCAAGTTCTCTGAAGAAGTTCTCAGTTTTCTGCCAAAAATGCCTTGGATCATTACACCAGAGGTAAGCATATGTATATATAGGAACCTAGGAATCGCATAGGCCACGAAATATTACAAACGGGTGTTCAACATTGACCAGTGATCATACCACGTTTCCCATAATGCTCCGTCAGCATCACAGTCTGATGGAACTACCTACAACATGCCTTCTAACTTAGTGCACACATTTCCAACCTCATGCAAGAAGCATTGCCAAGGCAGGCAACTGGAGTATAGATATTGTAATATGTTGAGCTACTGCTTATTCATACTATACTCTGAACACCAAACGTATGTCCCGTTTACCTCACTTAGTTTTTTTTTTTTATTTTGTTTGTCGGCGACTGTTACCCATCTTCCGCCCAACCGAGCGCGCCTCAATCGTTTGGATTGGATTTTTCATATATATATATATGAAATATATATATATATATATATATGAAATGATATATATACATATATATATGAAATATATATATATATATATATATTCTCTAACACTTTTCCCTTCTAGGATTACGAAAAACGCGTTGACTTACGTGACTTATATATATGCTCTGTGGACCCCCCAGGTTGTACAGATATTGATGATGCACTTCATTGTCGCGAACTACCTAACGGTCGTTTGGAAGTGGGTGTACATATCGCTGATGTGAGTCACTTCATTCGCCCTGGCAATGCATTGGACAAGGAAGCAGCTGCACGTGGTACGACCGTGTATTTGGTAGGCAAACGTATCGACATGGTACCGGAACTCTTAAGTTCCAATTTGTGTTCGCTGGTAGGCGGGGAAGAACGATTTGCGTTTTCTTGTGTTTGGGAACTAGACAACGAGGCGAATATATTAGCAAAACGCTTCCACAAGAGTGTAATAAAATCGAAAGCTGCAATGACATACGAACAGGCACAAATTATTATCGACGACGCTACACAGCAAACGGAAATAGCCATATCGTTGAGACATCTCAATAGGCTGGCGAAAATATTGAAGAAAAGACGTATGGATAATGGGTAGGTTTTCTTTTAAATGTTAGGCTGCTATATTATAGGTGTAAACCAAAACAATTTAATCTACAGCGCGCTGGTATTGGCTTCACCGGAGATACGCTTCCAGGTGGATAGTGAAACGCATGAACCGCTCGAAGTAGAAGCGAAACAAGTACGTGAAACTAATTCGATGGTTGAAGAATTCATGTTGTTGGCAAATTGTACTGTGGCCGAGCATATTTGCGCTGAATTTCCAGAATGTGCAATGTTACGACGACATCCACGTCCAGCGCCCAGCAACTTCGAACCACTCATTAAAGCTGCAGGTTATCAAGGTTTCGAAATAAAAATCGAAACGGGCTTAGAGCTGGCCAGTTCATTGGATGCTTGCGTCAAACCAGATAATGCATATTTCAACACGATGATACGAATACTCACTACACGTTGTATGATGCAAGCGGTATACTTTATCAGCGGTACATTACAGCCGGAGGAATTTTTCCATTATGGCTTGGCGACCCCTATTTACACGCATTTCACATCGCCAATTCGAAGGTAGGTGACACGTACATATATATTTAAAAATTTAAATTTTCTGACCGTTTTTTACTTAAATTCATACTGTTTAGGGAAATCTTAAATTATATTTAAATATCTGTCGAATCAGGTTTTTCTCTTCTATATCAAAAATTTGAGCTGAAAGTGTGAAATATGGCTATTTTTTTAATTTTAATTTTTAGATACTCGGACATCATTGTTCATCGCCTCTTAGCTGCCTCAATTGGTGCTGATAGCACGTACGCCGATTTGCTTGATAAGAAACTAAACGAAGAGCTATGTCATAATCTAAATTATCGTCACAAGATGGCCCAATATGCTGGACGCGCATCCGTGGCACTAAATACGCATTTGTTCTTCCGCGGTAAAACTCAGGACGAGGAAGGGTAAACATAAAATTCTTCAAAATCTTTTACTTTATTTTAATGCATATTTTTTTTTATTTAATCTACAGTTACGTATTATTCGTACGTAAAAATGCGCTACAAGTGCTTATACCGAAATTCGGTTTGGAAGGTACTGTGTACCTAAATTCCTTATCAGGTGATAAAAAGCCAACACCAGGAGATGTAGTATTCAAGTTTAATGAAGAGGTGGGTTCTTAAAAAATTATTGAACATCATTACGTTACTTAAAAACTTTTTTTATTTTCTGCACAGGACTACACACAACGTTGCGGAGATGTCGTTTTTCATGCATTCGATCCGGTAACGGTTCGGTTGAGTTTAGACTCGCGTAATGTTCAACATGAAAAGCTAGTGTTTCGATTGGTAAAACCATATATTAAAGGCTTTAGTGTGGAATTAACGGAGCAGAATGATAATGTGGAAATGTTAGACATTTCAACGGCAAATGCAGCAGAGGAAGCACCACCACAAAAGAAAAGCAAAAAGTCGCAAAAGAAAAAGAAATAGATTTTTTTCATGATAGTTTTATCCTAATAAAAAGATCGAGCTTTTATATCTATATACTATTTTAGTATTGCATACGTAAAAGAACAAACATTGATTTCTGTATTTCAATATGCTTGATTAGTTTTAATGTAGATATATCATAGACAAACAAACTGAATCATGCATCATATACATACCGTTAATTTAAAAGAAGCGTAGTTTTAACGGAACTTGCGCCATAAAAACCATATTTTCTAGTCCGGTAAACTCCAATGCCTTTCGCCGATTTTAGTTCTATTTAAAAAAATATCAACACAATTAAACAGTTTTCAGATAACCATTTCAGACTCACAAATATGATGCAATGCCTAATAATAATAATAATAATTTGGCGGACTCCCAACCACCAAGCGATTTTTATAAGGAGCTTTCATTTCATGTCAGAAAAACTCGGATGGCTTGACATTCCCTGTTGTTGTTGTTGTAACCGCAAAATTATTCCCCAAAGTACTTTTTGGGGAATGTTGCGTGAGTGACAGTCCTTGGCCGGATAAAAATCCGGGTCGTTCCGGTATAAAGACCAGACTGTCGCTGGTACTATTGGATTTTAGTCGCCTCTTACGACAGGCATGCCTTACCGCGGGTAAATTCTTGAGCCCCTAACCCGCAGGGGGTCTTGACATTCCCTGCCGAGGGGCGAGTGAAATTAGAGAAATTAATCCTCAATAATTTTAGATGTTGATCGAACCAGCACACGAACCCTAGCCTTCAAAATGGCATTCGAATTAATAAAGGTAAAAAACTCGTAATAAAAAATATTACAAAAATTATTTCGGAAGTATTAGGATATTTACTTTGAAATTAATAAATATTGAAATTTCATGAGCAAACCTAGGGGTTTCGGAGCCGACAGGAGGCACCAAGTGAAGCCCGGCCATTCTTCACCTGATCATTGCAACGCAGTTGCGGTACCGAGTTCCATCAGTGCTAGAGTATTTTCACTTTCATCGCATTTAAGCAGTTTGGCGAAGTGCTCCTTTCATAAACTCAATATACTCGGAACCTCACTCCCAGATTCTCTCTCTTCTGTAAGTCGTCTTATATTTTCGTAGAATTTTCGAGCATTTCCCCCCTTGGCCTTTTCAAATTCTTCATACTTACGCATTTCAGACTCTCACACATCGCAACTTAGCAAATGCGTCTCATTTCCCTATTCCAGCTCTCGCCCGACCGCTGGTCGTTTCCCACTGGGGGACGACAACCTTTCCTATCATCTGTTCTGTTAAATGTATAATTGACACTTTGGAACCACTGAAGCAATTTTCGGCCGCCTCCGAACGGTTGATGGTTTTTTATGAGGAGCTTATTTCATTTCAGAACTGCATTCGTAGGTGGTGATATTCCCTGCCGAGGGGCGTCCGCAATTCTGCTAAGGTTTTCCAAAACCAATAGTTTCGCTTGCAGGCATGAGCTCACTTTAACCCCCAAACGGTTCCACTATGATACCACTGCGAATCCTAATAACCTTTACAAGCTATTGGCCGAATAAAAATCCGGTCCGGTATAAAGACTCGACTGCCGCGGGAACTTTTGGATTTTAGTCGCCTTTTACGACAGGCATGCCTTACCGCGGGAAAATTCTTGAACTTCTAACACACACGGGCCACCTACGCATTAGTCAAACCAATGTATGGAGTTTACAAAACTGAACATTCCTCGAATTTTTGCACCCACTATCTTACTCAAGTTTCCAAAGGTTTCCGCCCCTAGTGGAATCAATCTATTTCTCCAAAGAGCGGGACATTCGCATGAAAGTGTCTTAAGGTTTCAGGTTCTTTGTTTTGTTGTAATTTCTGCAAAAGTCGTCAGATGATACACCCAACACCTCTGTGTGTCCGCCTAATAGCAGATGATATGTAAGAAGAATTATAATTGTAGATATCTTGATTAGTACTGTTGAAAACGCCTTGTCCCTCAGTATTTGGTTTACTGACAAGATTTATAGAAGAGGTTAGAGGACTTCTTGTTGTGGGGTTACTTTGCTGACAGACCTGAGTGCCGATACTCACGCAATCTGAGGCGTAACGACGCTGCATACGAGCAAAAGGCGTATAAGAGAAATTCCCCGAGAGTCGACGCTCAGACGAGTCAGGGCAGAAGTAACTGAAGTCGGAGTTATATTGAAGACAGTGTAAATATTCAAAAAAGCTGCTAAGATACCTTTCATCAGATTTCGAATAATTTCAGTATATAGTTTAAGCTAAAGGCTTTATTTAATAATGCTTACAGGGGTATCTTGAAAGGCTTGGAGGTCGACACTCCCCAGTTTTTGGGCTTATTCTGTCTGATCTGTCCCGTTCTTTGGCCATCTGTAGACCATTTTATTTCAGCTGGAGTAGACACCTGCTCAGTTTTCCAGATCACCCAACAAGTGGATCTTTCTAGAATCCCCCCGGTCAGCCTTTAGCAATTATAGCTTGCCGGTTTGAGATCCTAACGATGCTCGGACCTAATAAAAGTGGCAGAATTAGGAAAAGTCCTCGTGGGGCATGTGCACTGTATTTACCGGCAGCCGAGGCAGTAGTCTGCTGTTTTGTGCCAACAACGCAAGTTCCCGAATGATCTGATTTCCTACCTTATTCTTGGATATCGATGAGCGCCTCTGTGTCATTGAACCAGATCTAAAACTTTCTGCTGCCGTTAGACGATCTGAGGAGGGACCCTGCTTTGCACTGGCTCCTAGTTTTTCAACTACTGTTGTCGCCCCTCAGCAGGGAATGACAATGGCTCCACATTCATTTCTGACTTGAAATAGACACCTCTTCACAAACATTCAGCAGCCGTTCGGAGGCGGCTTAGAATAAACTGTAAGTCGCTCCGTTTGTTAGAAAAACGTCACAATCCGAGTAGGAACTCTACCCAAAAATGTTTAACTATTATCCAGCTATATTTTCGTGGTTTAGCGAGTTTCAATTTCTGCGCATGCTTACCTCACAGATAGGTACGAGTTTCGTTCGCATCCAAGATTTTTTTATTTGTGTTGTCACCTTTGACCGCCAACGAAAGATATGCAATTTCTAGTTGTGTTATTTATTTAGTCCAGCATAATTGTGGATTAGCTCCTAAATACTATCTTGCACTATTTAGTTTGCTTGACAATAGCTCCAACTTTCTGTTGCCGTTGTTTCTAAGTCGTGTAACGTTATGTCAATATTTTCTTTTTGTTAACGATCGTTCTGTTCACTGAGCGATCGAAACCCACTCATCAAGATACTTAAGTTAAGCAATGCATTTCTCATATCTCACTCTGAATGGATTTATATACAATACAATGTATCGTGATGAAATGGCAACGAACTTCTTGTTTGCACAATCAGTGATAGTGATCGATTGCTTACACAATTTTAACTGTTTACGCACTTATCCCGTTGCTCATCTTAACTCAACATACATACATACATATGAACACATGTTTTAGCATTTGCTTATATCTTTGTTTGTGTGTGTGGATTTTTGAAAAAAATTGGCGGCATGTAGACAGGGTGGGCCATTTACCGTCTGCTCTGGAACTTATTTTAGCTTTGGACATCTTGAATGACAGTCTTGAGGTGTCAAATACTCGGTACAAAGTTGAAAAATTCCTGCCGAAATCGTGCGTATTCCTTGTCTGCGATGCAATAATCTTACGTCATGGGCCAACTATACAGAGACGATTCATGACTTCAAGCCAGAGATGCTAACATACATACGTAAACGTAAAATTAACTTACCGTTGAAAAAGGGGCTACTGCAAAGCCAGCGACGGCAGCTACACGAAATGTTGGAGCATTTTAATAAAGGCAAACTCATTGTAAAATATTTATTGGGTTTTTTCTTATTACAAATTTAAAAAGAAAATTTTTCTTGTCCTATCCGTTATACATGCTTTTACGCAAGTTTGTTTCCAGGATGTCCAAGACTACTCACCAGCTGACCTTTGTAAGTTTGCTCCTGTTGTACCCGGAACGGTTTGTAGAAAGACAAATTTCTAGGATGTAGACTAGGGATGCACCTGTAGGAAAAAAAACATGGACAGCGGAAGTGGACCAGGTACTGATCTTTTAATTATGATTTGGTTGGCATTTTTTCACTAAGTCATGCCTATACCAACAGAGACCAGGTTCGATTTGCTTCAAAGTGTATGTATTTTGAATTGGCGACCGTAGTAGCCAAATGGTTAATATTGCGTATAAACATGCGGCAGCCCAAAATCTATATCGATCGGATCAGAGCTACGATCTAAATTGATTTAATCATATAAGTCTGTCTGCCGAGCTCCTCCTCTGATTTGGTGATGTTTTTCCAACAAATGGATAGACCTACAGTTTATACTAAGCCACCTCCGAACGGCTGATGGTTTCTTATGAGCAGCTTTATTTCACGTCAGATATTTTCGGTATATTCGAAGGACTTGACATTCCCCAATGAGTGGCGACCGCAATTAGGAAATTTAATTTGGTTGTTGGCCGTAGCTATTGCGATCGACGATAGAATACATTTATAACCGACATATTCAGTTCTCGGATGTGTGCTCTCAGTCGAACTTGGCTCATTCCTTATAAAAAATTTTTGTTCATTACATAGGCGTGTTCACTTGCAATTTGTGTGTGTGTGATTTTGTTTGTGTGTTTCAAAAAATTCTCGCGCTTTCCTCAACGCAGTTCTTCATTTAAAAATGCATAAGTGGTTTTAAAACTAGAATTCAGTTTGACTTGAGCCACACAAGTCAATGGTTGTATCAACTCAATTGAAAACTAGTAAAAACGAGCCGCGTAGAAATTTGAATTGTGAAAAATAGATTTTGTTTATTAATTAGATACAAATACATTATCGGTTACGTACATATACATATATACATATATTTGATTTTTAAACATAAAATAAAATATGGCCGTAGAAAAAGGATTAAAAAGCAAATACATTGCAGCGCAAAGTAAGTAAAAAAAAAATTAAAATATAATTTAATCCACTCATCCACTTGGCTTTAATGAAAGCTAATTTGATTTTGAAAAAACAACTAACACGAAAAGATCCACCTTCCGGATGTTAGTGCGCAGTGCTAACCACTCGACTATGGGCGCTTTATAACAGCTGAAGTGATTTATGGCCGAGCTCCTCTTCAAATTTGTGGTGTATTTCTTTATGTTTTTCTTAAAAATGCAGGGATCTAGAGTTTATTCTAAGCTGCCTCCGAACGGTCGATTGATTTTTATGATGAGCTCTCAGGAGTGTACTGAGGAGGAGGTTGATTGCATTTAGAAAGTATAATTTTCCATATTTTTGGATGTTTGTCCGACCAGTACTTGAACTCAAGCCCTTGGGAATGGAAGTGCGCTCTGCTACTCATATGGCATCGCAATATCGTATGGAAACATTTTCTTTATTTATTTCTATTTTTTAAAATCAAATCTATTTTGAAATACTCATAACGAAAAGTCAACTTCGACTTCATAACATTCAATCGATTTATTCTACTTTTCTCTAATCTTTTTCTTGAAGTCATCTTAATGTTTTCTAATAAATATTATTAATATTTTCTAATAAATAGAAGTTCCCTCGGAAGTTTCAAAATCTTTGCCGATAGCCACCATTAATCAAATTTAGCTATATACTCATGGTATTTGAATTGATGATTTAGCTGGGAATTATGTCCATTAAATTAAGTACCTGAGGCGAATTTCACCGAAAATATACATATATATATATATATATTATTGCGTCTTGATGTTTTTCCAACAGTTTATACTAACCGCCTCCGAACGGCTGATGATTTTTAATGAGGAGCCTTATCTCATGTCAGAAATACACCCGGACATTCCCTACCGAGTGGCAACCGCAATTAGAAAATTTAACTTAATTTTTTGTTTAAATGAATTTTTTATAATTTTTTGGATGTTAGTACAACACCAGGACTTGAACCCAGACCTTCCGAATGGCAATACGCAATTCTAATCACGCGGCTACTGCGGCCACCAACACCGAAAATATTAAATAATTTTTCCCCAAGTACAGCATGTATATATGTACAAATATTAATAATAAATTTTATTTTTCTAACAAAAAGTTAAACTAAATAAAAAGCATTCCTTACGATGTAGTTATGACCCCCCTCCGCATTAGTGGAACAAGAATTAGCCCGTGCTAAGTCATGCTTGTACAATAGTAAGAGGCGACTAAAATCCAATAGTTCCCGCGACAATCGGATTTTAATACGGCCACAAGGACTGTCACTCCCGCAATATTCCCCGAAAATGGAATAATTTTGTGGTTACTACAATAAAAACAACACGCATTTATGTGTGTATGAACAGTTATGTATTTACAGTTATGTCTGTATATTTATGTCTGTACATTTAAGTATGTACAGTTATGTATACAAATATACACATTTAGGTCTAGCTCACATTAACCGTTTAAATTAGTGCAAACAATTAGTCTCAGTGCTGTATAATATATTTTTAATGAAATAAGATTTAATTATTATTACAGTTTTTTTGTTTTTTTTTTCTTTTTTTTTTTGTTTTTGACTGGCCAAAGGGTTACTTACAATTTAAATATAAAACAGTTCTAAAAACAAATAAAGGCCATCACTGTACACTTATACTGTTATACACGCATATGTATAATATAACGCATAAGTATAATAAATAGTTTGTATGTATTTATGCGTTTTTCTGGTAATATAAACGAATAATTAGCAATTTAATCACTTCACAGTATAAACACCTTTTACAATTTAAGTGAAATTTAAATTACTCACCTATGGTCGGAGTGTTGACACGGAAGAGAAGAGAAAAAAAAACGCCATATAAAATACAAACTTGAATTTAAACTGATATTGTTATTCTATTACACAACCTAAAAAATGCTAAAATGGTTGTGTTGAAAAACAAAAATTATTCATGACTCGGAATTTTGAAATGAAATTTTTAATTGAAACTAGTTTTTGCATAATTTCGGTTTTTTTTTTAGTTGTATTGATTACGAAAACTTTTAAAATTCATCCAATTCTCCAATTGACTATTTGATGTTTTTTATAAAATAAAAAGTTTAAGCATTATATTATATACATTATATAAAACTCAATATTTTTCGATAGGGGTTTTTTTTTAACTCAGGATATGCATACATATTTATATCTTCAGAATTTTTTTTTGGAAAAGTGAGTGCGTCGCTTCTATATTTTTCCATTCATTTTGTTTATTCCAATATATATGTGCATATGTTATTTTGTTGTTGTTATTGTTTGTAATAAAGTTATTATTTTTGATAGACTTACAGGTCGAATTAAATAAAATTACTTACTTTACTGGCGTAGACACCGCTTACGCGATTATAGCCTATTTCCTCTTCCTCTTCTTCCACCGGCGGGTACTGCATCGAAAACTTTCAAAGCTGGAGTATTCGCATCCATATGGATCACATGGCCTAGCCAGCGTAGGCGTTGCCTTTTGATTCGTTGAACTATATGAATGTCGCCGTATAACTCGTACAGCTCATCGTTCCATCGTCTGCGGTATTCGCCGTTGACAATGTTCAAAGGAGCATAAATCTAACGCAAAACCTTTCTCTCGAAAACTCCTAACGCCGTCTCATCGGATACTGTCATCGTCCATGCTTTCGCACCATTTAGCGGAACGGGAACGATGAGGGACTTGTAGAGCTTGGTTTTCGTTCATCGGGAGAGAAATTTACTTTTCAATTGCCTAAAATATAATTGATTTGTAAATTTGGGAATACTCCGTTAATCAATTCTTCTTTTGACGTCACTAAATTGCAAAAAAAAATTTGTCGTATAAACATTTCCAGGAATCTTGGAAGCAATTTGACGAAACTTCAAGTCAACCGATCACTAACTCTTGAAGATTTGCTGATCTTTACAAACGAACTTAAGATTTTTATATACATATATAGATATAGATTCGAACATTACTATTCATTTTATCAGAAAACACTTAAAAACACATGGGGAAATTGATGCAAAATGCCTCACTCTCCAAGATTGTTTTCAGAAGTGGATCTATTCGTTTAAGAAATGCATTGAAATCAATGTCGATTATGTAGAGAAGATAAAAAAGGACAAATATTACGAATTAATACAAGAAGAATTTTTTTCTAGTCAACTTATCGAACTTTTGCTAATCCCCTCGTATATATAGATATAGATTCGAACGTTACGATTTAATTCATCAAAAAACGCTTGAAAACACATTGTGAAATTTAAAGTAAAATGCGTCATTTATCAAGTACGTATTTGGCAAAAAGGCTATTTTCAGAAAAACTGTCGGTAAATTCCGCCTCTACAACGAAGCAACCCCAAATGAGTTGAGGCTGATCGACAAGTGAAAAGTAAAGCCCTCTCTCGACGAACAAATTTAAAGCTCTATAAGTCGCTCGTCTTTCTCGTTATGCTGTATGATGTGGAGGCAGGGACGATCATGAGTTGGTGTTAGGAGTTTTCGAGAGAAAGTTTTTAACATCGAATAGTGCAGCCTATGAAAGGATGAGCTATACAGAGATATAGGGTTACATTAATAGCGACTTAAGAGGCAGCTATTCTGGTTAGGGCATGTGGTTTGGGTGGCTAAAAATACTCTAGCTTTGAAAGTGAAGCCTAAGTTAAGTCCGTTTTAAAGACCATATGAAGAAGTCTAATCTAGTAAAGAAGAAGAATTTGCCGGTAGAAATTGTTATTTTTTTCTCAGCGTTGATCTATCAGTTACTTGATTTCATATTTAAAATTGTCAGCTATATAATTTACATTTTACATTTACACTCATAGTAATTCAATAAAATGGTTTTTAAATAGATTTTATGCAATAGACAGTGCATTGAGTTGAATACCTCAGGGTGTAATATTCATTCTTCTTCCGTCATTTGAATTAGATTTTCACATTAGCATATCTTCATGCAGAGTTTACCCGAGTATACATTTGATTTTTGTTGCTCATTTCATATATGTACGAATATGTATAATACGTAGGCTCATTAGAGTCGGCTAATGAACTCACGAACTTCCAATCGAATTTAAATATTTAACGACGAAGCAAAATATTGCACAATATACACTGTACAAATACATACAATACACATTGCACTGTTTCTCCAGGTGAACTATTGAGTGACACACACGACCCAGTGTTTATGGACGCCTATAATCGTTCTATTTCGAATCCGAGTGAATTTTGGGGTGAATTAGGGCGCTTGGTCGACTGGCATAAGCCATGGGATCGTGTTATGGATAACAGTAATCCACCATTTACGAAATGGTACAGTGGTGGTTACCTTAATGCCTGCTATAATGCTTTGGACCGACATGTGTTGAATGGAAATGGCAATAAAATTGCGCTGATTTACGACAGTCCATTGACGAACACTGTACGTCACGTCACTTACCAACAACTCTACGATGAGGTACAGTGTTGCATATTGCAAATATATTTTTATAAATTCTATTAATTATTATATACATTTTTCCAGGTTACAGTTTTTGCTGGCGGCCTCGCAAGCTTAGGTCTCCAGAAAGGCGATCGTGTTGTTATCTATATGCCTTTGATACCTGAAGCAATTGTTGCCATGTTGGCCACTGTACGCCTTGGCGCTATACATTCTGTCGTTTTTGGTGGCTTTGCGGCGAGCGAACTATGCTTACGAATTGAACACGCTGAACCAAAATTTATACTTTCAGCTAATTGTGGCGTCGAACCCGGCAAGGTTGTACCCTACTTAGAAATATTGCATGCCGCTGTCGAAATGTCGAATTGGAAACCGATTTGCAATATTATTTATATACGTGATAATATTTTGCGTAGCACGAATTTAAATTGGAAAACAGATATGCTTTGGGAAACAGTACAACATTTGGGTGCACCGGTCGATTGTGTGCCCGTGGAGGCTAACGAACCGTTGTATATACTTTATACTTCAGGCACTACAGACAAACCGAAAGGTGTACAACGGCCAACCGGTGGTCATTTGGTATCACTGATCTATACACTGCAAAAGATTTATGGCATCAATGCGGGCGATGTGTGGTGGGCTGCATCGGATGTGGGTTGGGTTGTTGGACACTCTTACATTTGCTATGGTCCATTATCGCTTGGGGCGACAAGTGTTATGTATGAGGGCAAACCAGATCGTACGCCAGATCCAGGCCAGTACTTCAGGTGTGCTTTAATAAGCAATTAATATATACATAAAACATAATCATTTTCGATTTTAATTGTTACTTAACCTTTTCTTTTTGTAGAATAATAGAGGAACATCGTGTTAATGCACTCTTTTCGGTTCCAACTGCCTTTCGTGTTATTCGTCGTGCTGATCCCAATGTGAAACATGGACAAAAATACTCACTTAAATCTCTGCGCTGCGTTTTCATTGCTGGCGAGCATTGCGATATGGAAACGAAAAATTGGATGGAACGTGTTTTTAAAGTTCCAATATTGAATCATTGGTGGCAAACAGAGTCGGGATCACCAGTTACCTCGACGTGTGCCGGTTTCAAGCACAGTCTAAATCCACCAAAGTATTCAACTGGTTTGCCGTTTATTGGTTATAATAGTGAGTGTTGTTTGCCAAAGTAAATTAACTATCGACTCATCTATCTCTACTAACGATGTTAAATTTGATATTGCCTTCCAGTTAAGGTGCTTAAACCTAATGGTGAAGAATGTGAGACTTCAAAACTTGGGCGTATTGCATTGAAATTGCCACTTCCACCAGGTTTTATGTCAACACTTTACAGAAATGACGAGCTCTTTAAGAAAACATACTTCCAAAAGTATCCAGTAAGTTGTGATTTGATTTTATTCTACATATTGTTAAACCTATCCGGGAAAGGATCTCAGAACGGATATTCATATCATATAAGTACCCTACAACTATCTAATGCACTTAGTTTCTTTAACGTGGTTTTGGTAGAATCTTTATTAAGTTTAAGATCATTCAAAGTGTAATCCATGTTAGAGGAGAAAGACGTTTTGATAAACAGATCCATATCATCAAAGCGTATTGTGTGAAAGATTAAATCCCACTATCAACGAGCTGATTGTAGCTCATTAATGTGGCTTCAGACCTTAAAAATCTACCTTTGAATGGATAATCTTCAACGCTGGAAAATATTCAACACCCATCACCTCTTTGCCAATTTACAAGCTGCCTTTGACAGCACAAAAATTTGCTGTCCCTATGCCACTAGAAACTCGGTATATTAACAAATAATCAGGATCGGTACCAAACGGAGGTTACTCTCCTTGGTAGGACCTCTTCAATTTAATGCCGGAGAGAGATGAATGAGGGCAAGATGAAATATCGTATCTAACGGCAGGGTCGACAATACTAAATTTGGTAGGCGAATTCCTCTATCTAGAAACCAACATAATCTCCAATAATAATAATTCAGCCTTAAAATCCAATGTACAATAGAATACCTCTTGCCAACATGTTCTACTTTGGGCTAAGAAGGTAATTTAAAAGTAAAGTACTCTCTCGATGAGCAAAGACCAAGCTACAAGTCACTCATCGTTCGTGTTCCTCAAACTCGAAACATTGAGAGTCTATGCTGTTGGCATCTGCCTTGGCCATCATCTCTAATCTTTAAACAATTTTATACAGTTTGAGTCACAATGAATAGGTTATATGATACATGCTAACATATTATACATATATACTTAAATTTATAAATATAGTTTTTTCCCATAGCATAAACAACTGCCTTATATGTATATTAAAAAAATAACTTCAATTAAATTTTAGGGCTACTACGATACAATGGATGCCGGTTATAAGGACGAAAACGATTATGTATATGTGACGGCTCGTGATGATGATGTCATAAATGTGGCTGGCCATCGTATTTCAACATCAAGCTTGGAAGATGCTGTTCTACGACATCCCGATATCGTTGATGCTGCTGTATTCGGTGTGCCCGAAGCGACTAAAGGACAAGTTCCGCTTTGTCTATATATACCAAAGGACGACACTCAAAAGACAACCGCCAAGTTGTGCGCAGAAATAATCAAAATTATTCGTGATGTTGTCGGTCCTATTGCTGCTTTTCGGTTAGTCGCGCCAGTTGAGGCTTTACCACGTACTCGTTCCGGTAAAACTATGCGCAGAGCTATGGCGGATTTCGCGAAGAATGAGCTGGTAGTATTACCATCCACAATTGAGGATCCAAGCGTTTTTGCAGGTTTAAGGCGCGCCTTACAGACTTTGGGTTATGCGATGAATGCACCCGATCCTGCAGTGACTGTTAAACATTATGAGAATTAAACGTTTAGTAGAGACAACAAAGTGCATAATATAACAGTTGTTATTATTACAACAATGTAAGGCGATTTTTTATTTGTTAGTTATCTAACTACTATTGTATGAATTTGGAATTTCTTTTCAATAAAAGGAATGATGAAGTGAATTGTACATTTTCTATGGCGCGCACAATCTGGAATCCCTTTATATTGTCATTTCATTAAAGCCCACTTTCAGAAGGTAAATTTGAAACCCATTGAGATTCGAAGAATTTTACGTTGAAAACTAATCACGAGGTGGTGTGCTGTTTTGGGGACCCACCATATAGAACTTAGTTCTAATGAAAATGTTTTAGCAACCTCGGATAACGAAACGTATAAAGGATTATGATTTTGATTCTCTTAATTGGGAAAGCCCGCGGTGCTGCAAAATTGGTTGATGCCCTCGATAAGATTAAGGTTGCCACCAACGCCGTGAAAGAAGCGTGATGAACGGAACAATGACGGAACTGAACGAGTCCTTTTGACATATATTACAGCAACCATAAAAAAATCTCAAATTCGGTGGAGAATTTATGGTAGTTGAGATACTTCGCACCATATAGCAGGACGCAAATAATAAGAGACTTGTACAGTTTGGTCTTGGTATTTTCACTTGTCCTCGTTTATTACCCGACCCATTCTAAAGATAACATAACTAACGGAGCCAATGAATCGGAAACGTCAGAAATTGTGCGATATTGTAAATCTTAAATCTTTAAAACTATTTTAAATTCTCCAGTTAGCTCTGGAACTAATATTTTATCCTCCATAAATAAGTTGAAGTTTCGTTTGGTAGCGAATTGTATATTTTCGTGTTGTCGAAGACGACTTTAAAATTAGGTACATACTCCACCTCGATCATTTTTTTACGGTCTATGGTGAATCTATCAGGTCTGAAGGTGGCTTCAGATTCCATCAGTTTTTTTGCGATTAGCTTTAGTTTTTCACTCAGAACGCTAGATAAACGTTATAAACTTGCGGTATTGAGGAGACTCATCTTACAATAACTTGCGTATAGTCTTCTATCTTATGGATAGAAAATAGCACTTAGACTTCAACCGTCCGGCATACTAAAGCTAATGTATACATTTTTGTCAGCTCCTCACCCTTATATGTGAATAGCTCAGTTGATAAACCATCGGTTCCCGCCGCTTCGTTCTTTTTAAGGCAACAAAATATGCCGATCGCCAATCGAACTAAGTCATCGTCGGATGACGGATAACTCATCCATCGCCTTCGATTGCAGATTCGGGTCCACCATCTCTGGGTATTTTCACTGCTATTCATTAGAAGAAATATTCCCTTCATAAACTCAGTACGATCTGGATATCGATCACCAGAATATCTTTTGCCTTTTGATTTCACATCAAATATATTATTTTACTACAGAAAGTTACAGAGTTTTTATACCTTTCATGGACAATACATAAAATGGTATATTCACTTTGGTCCAAAGTATGTAAGTACGAGAAGAAGACGAAATTGATCCAAACTGATCGCACCAGAATAGCGAGTTGATTTAGCCATACCCCTCTGGACATAACTAAGCATATAGATGGACTAGTACATTTAGGCGATCATTTGTCGGAACCGGAAAGATTGGACTATTATGGTATATGTAAATGCGACCAATTTTTCAGATTTGTGAATTCGGTCATAAATTTAACGAACAAATCATCAAAAAAAAAATTATATTATACATTCGTATCTACAAATAAATATTGGCATTGAAATTCATCGATTTGCTGAGATATGAGACTTTTGGTAAAAAATCTGTCAAAAATCATCTAGTAGCCTTAGATTTGTATTCCTCAGGTACATATGTGTGTGCGCTACTACGGCTATGATTTTTAAAGAATATATGTATATCCATACATATGGTCGACAAGTGCAGATATTATTGTAGAAATAAATCAGCGTTTTAGGCTAGACGAGCATTTTCTAGTTTGGATCGGAAATTCGTCCTTTCCGAACACGATTAATAGCACATTAGAAGAGCCGAACGGAAACAAGGCCTCTACGCCTGCTCTACTTGGATTGAGGCGGAAATATGGATCGGAAACATGTGCTTTCCAACCATGCTCTTAATCTAACTCAGAAAGTAAAAAGCAGAAACTACAACTTTCCACCCGCAGTCGAGCATGATAGACCAGAGAATTGGCCTCGCCAGCTATGAATATATAATGTTCTGAAAATAAAATGCTAAAATGCCGTAACGCGTGAGAGCGTGAGAGAGTGCTTACCAACTCCTTGAACTACGGGAGAATGGTGGTTAGTGGAGAAGTGTAGGTAGGACCCAGTGCAGTTAGTTGATAGCTGTTATACGGAGAATGTAAGGCTTTATAAGTATCCCTTCTAATCCTATACTTTTTATATGCTTATATTTCAAATATCCTCCTCACCTGCTACTTACATGTATTTGAAGTCAGAGAATATTTATACAAACATATTTAAATTAAAAACGAAACGCTTGAACTGCACCATTTAAAGCGCCAAAAAATAATGTTGACCAGATGTCATGTCATGATGAAATGTCGTAAAAAACCATCAACTAATTCAAAATAGTTACTCATAGAGTTTTCTTGGTGTTTCCACATACATACATATTTATTATAATTTTTTTTTAACTACATATTTGGTAGGAAACTGGTTCAACCACTGGACGATAAAATTAACGCCTAGAGAAAATTTCGTCGCCAAATAGTGACATATGCCGACTAAGCACGCAGTGATTGTACACGTATTATGTTTATAAATGTTTGTATGTGTATGTATGTATAGTGATGTGTTGCATCGGTTGTGGCGGCGAAAATTGCAATTTGTTTATGCAAATTTCGTGTGCGTATATTCCAACGATTTTTGATTGATTTTGAAGCAAACGCCCACAACACGCCATATTTACATAAACTATGCCAGATAACTAGATACATACATTAGGTAGAAGTTGAAAGTTTATGAAAATCATTATATGTATGTTCTGGAATATATGTACATATGTACACGTATGTACACACTTATGTCTTAGAATTATGGTCATAGAGTGGTATTGTCGAGAATGCCATCAAAGAAAAGAATAATTTCACATAAAGAAATGAAAACGCTGGGAGTTCGAGGTGACATTCCAGTATGTAGGCAGTAAGTGAAGTGTGAATTGGGCGTTATTAAATGCACACATTAGTACGCATAATCAGTTTATATTGTATTACAGAAGTAAGCTGACATAACTACAACCACATAACATACGCAACGTTATTTGATTACGTTAATTGAATGAGTGGCAAAAATGGCGCTGAATGCTGGTTGAAGCATCGCCAGTAGTTTCTAGTTAAACGTCTTTACTTACTTCCTAAAAATGACCAACTTATACGCCCAACACAATACTCCGAAAAATGGCCAGGCAGCCAAGTATTTATGTATCTCTGGTGATTCCACCGCCTTCGCAACCTTCATTCCAGAATTTTTCCAGTGTTGTGTTAAGCTAACACATACTATTCCGTACACGCTCTTTTCAAAATTAATTGCATTGTCTCAATGCAAATCCCAAAGTCATAAAGCACAGATTACGCGGCATTCACTACTATTTGCTCCCTCTTGCTTTATTCTGTCCTTCACTTTGCAACTTTGCATTTTTACATTTTAGTGCGTACAAGGTGCCATGAGAAATTCATACAAGTACATGCATACAAACATATATACATACATCTATAAGAAACTGAAGTCAGATTTGCAATGATGGTTTTTTAGCGCCTTGGTGAAAAGTAAGAAAATTCGTAATTTTTATTTAGGAATCAAATAATTTATTTTTTCTTCATATTGTTATTGGTGCGAACAAAATAAGTGTCAAGCGAAGAAGAAATCGCTGGTGCGCTTATAGCTGAGTCAGCAATTCCGCGCCAATTGAAAATATCAAGAGCAGCCAGATCCTTATCCACTTGATTCTCCCAGGGAGTGGAAATATACCACTTCCAATACTGCCACCAGCGATTATAGCTCTTATCCATTTTTCTCTATCTCAAAAAACTAATGCGGTATTCACCAGAACAGATACGTAAAGTTTTTTAATTTTCACACAAACTTCATTCCGTACACTTATGCTCCCGACTCATCATATGTATGTTATCATCGCTTACACTCGTGCACCATTTAGCAAGATGGGAATGATGAGCGACTTGTTGAGTTTGGTCTTTATTCATCGAGAGAGGCCTTTACTTTTCAATTGCCTACTCATTTTAATTATGTTTGAATTTAGAGACTGACATTGTTATTAGCCAAATCTGTCTGAAAAAAAATGCTGAAAATTAATTTAAATAAAAAGTTAAGTTAAATTTTTTAATTGCGGGTCACCCCTCGACTGAGAATGATAATCCCTCCATGTGTATTTCTGATATGAAATAAAAGCTCCTCATAAAAACTACCATTAATATAAACTGTAAATCCCTCCATTTGTTGAAAAAACATCGAGACGCAAAAATCACATATCGAAGCTGGGGAAAAGACAACGAAGCGGCTCTTGCGGCCAATGATATCAATATTATCAGTATAAAAAACCTGGATTTTGGCGGAACTTTTGGTTTTGTATAAGGTTAGTTTACTAAGCCATATTAGTTTTGCTTAGATATCAATTTTATATATGGCGCCATAAAGGCGGAGGCGGAATCCATTCGTGCTTTTAGTGGCGACCTTGAAATCGACGAACTTTGAAATTGTAGCGGTCAGTAGTAACTTTCCTATAAAAATAGGTATGCGATTGATTTCTAAAGTTAGGTTCCTCTAATGAACTTTATTGGAGATCGGATACAAAAAGAATAATGGTATAACCAGTCAGTACATGTAAATTAAATATTTTATTCCTTTTATCCTGTCGCATTTCTTGGCGGGGACGGCAGTAAAGAGGCGAGTGTATTGCTCCTCGTTTGATGGAAGGAAGTAGAGAAATATGATTAATAGCCAAGACCGATCTTACAATTTACTTCTACTGCAATTTATTGTATTGTCTTCCTATAAATGGAAGGACTTACAAGCTTTTAGACAACCCTCTGCGACTGATGTAAGTTTAATGAAGAGCTTTTTTTTAAGATAGAAATACACTAGAGGACCAGACGGCGGCTACAATATTCGTGTTACTAGCAATGTGTACTGCCATTCTGAAGGGCAGGGTTGGAGTACTTGTTCGACCAACATCCAAAATTATTGAAAAATAATTACCCTTTACAGGGAATGCCAAACTCTTCGCTTGTATTTCTGTCCTGAAGCAAGGAAGCTCTTAATTTTCTTCTCCTTTTTCTATATAAATTATAGCATCTGCTGAGGAAATCTATAGCTATTGAATTTAAGAGGCAAATGTAAGTTCGGAATGTCACTGGGTTACGGTCACCAGTCTTTTCGAAACTAAGTTTAGCCTGCTGGCATGCGCCTCGCTCGGTTGGATGGGCAGGTAAATAACGCTGACTTGGTCGTAGAAGAAAACGAGTTATTTATAAGCGTAAAAGCCAATGTACTAATCGGACACTATTATCTAATGAGCACTCATGGTAGAAGGATTTGTTACTTCTCTAACTACTTTTGTCGCGGCGGCGGACTCATTAACAAAGAGTAGACGGTGAAGCACTAGCTCTGCCACCTCATCGGTAATTTTAATTTCGACTTCCTTGTAGAACTATCTTCAACCGGCAATGGCCAAGGGACCAGAACGATTATTTAATTTCGCGAAAAGTACAGCAATGCTCTTCACATATTTCACAGCTTGATCGCATATAATGTGCCTGACAACACTATGGATGTGTTTCGCCTATGTGAAACTCATTGGGTCAGCAAGCTTAACCTAACCTAACCCTGCAGAACTTGTCTCAGTAGGTGTCAACTGCCTTTAACATCGGGCAAGAATGAGCTAAATCTCTTTTCAGAGGTATCACAATGGGTCAGTAGGCCTAAGTGCGATCGATCAAGGATTCCGTGATTGAAGACTCTCAATGGCTAACCAACCCACGTGCTCCTAACAATCTAGATTTTCCATATAATAATTTATTTAATTAATATCTATACTATTTTTGAGAATTTGCCATAACATCACATACCTAAAAATGCATACAAGTGGATGTGTGTGCACTTTTAAGTGTCCGTATATAGTGAATAAAACATATGGTGGTGTTTTTTTATTTGTTATTTCTAACATTTATTGTTTAATATTAACAACTTTAATAGATAATTACATACATAGTAATTATTTAGAAGTATAAAACATATTCATGTAGTTACAATGTAAGTTTATGTTTGTATTCGAGTTATGCATTTAATGCCAATGCGAATTACGAGTTTTCTCCTAGTGTGAGTGTGACTACACATAAAGTAAATATATGTTCATATGCGTGTATGTAGGTAAATTTCTTATGACAGATAATTAAACGCATAAAAAGTGTGTAAAAAACTTATGAAATAATAAATTGATTATTATGACGGAAACTGTTGCAATAAATACATATGTACATATGTACATAATACGCACTCAGGCATATGTATATATGGTACCTGCAGATTGGTGATTAGAATGTGCTACTTCATTGCAAACGCATGATGTCAATCACACATATGTAAGTACACGTATGTATGTATGTTAAACGTGAATACTCATGATAAAAATTAAATTTCTAAGATAAACTTAACAGTGTAAACTTTTTACACTCACAAACACACGTGCTAAAGCTACGCATTTGGCGATATCACTGTAGTGGTATACATACTCACACACACAAACACACACATACACACACAGCCAAGCAACAAATCCTGTTTAGTTGTAAGTTTGCGCTCATTGCCATTGTTGGCGAGGGCGTATGAGCAACTACCCACTATGGGCAATGCACACGTGCATGGGTATACACACATCTATATAGATATATATATATACCTACACACATTCAAAGGCAAACAATTAAAATCGCCGCTGGAAATACGAACCAATGGCAGCGCTGCGTAATTCCTTCCAGCATCCATAGTTTGGTTCGCTGCATATAAAAACACGTGTCCTGTTGCGGTAAACATCATTCAAACAAGTGTGCTGGTGTGTTGCAGTAGCAAAGTCTTGCGATTACAAGTAATATACAGTTACTTTTGAATTCGTTTAGTGAAAGTCACAAAACACAAAACAAGCAACAGGTGCGTAGAAGAATCTATGTAATCGCTAGAAAGTGAACTAGTGAAAGTGTTTTTTTCAAATATTTTCTTTATAACTAAAATTTTAAATATACGTACATATGTTTTGGGTAAAAAACTAATTTAGTTGAATTTTTTCTTCAAGTTTTTTTTGTTTCATTTTCTTATGATTTAGATGATCATTAAAGAAATTAAGAGCTATAAGTGTTCAAACCATTATCGAAAATAAGTGAAATTTTTGTAATTTTTTTTTTAGATATTAATTTCTTGTTTCGAATTCTCTATCAAATTTTTAAAAGACTCAAAAGTTATCAGAATAGAAAAAACGAATTACAACATTAAAAAGAAATCAATTAAACAATTTTTTTTTATGAAAGAACTAAATGTGTAGCCTGCTCGATTACTGTATTAATAAAGACTCTCACGAAATCAGTAAAATAGAAGAATTAAAAAAAAATATGAAAAATACGAAAATTTTGAACAAAACTTCATTTTTTTCAAAAATATTTTGAACCGTTAAAGCACTTAAATTTTTTTTTATTTATTCAGAAACGATAAAGATTGAGATCTGACACTGGAGAACTACCTTTTGGGACTAATATTTCCTTAAATTATGAATCGGAATTCTTTCAGGGGCCATACACCCTACTTAACGTCACGTGGCCTTTAATAAATGCCAAAGTTTTTTATCTTTTATTGATTTTCAAGCCGAATTTCACGCTCTGACAGGTTTTTTAAGGGATTTTTGAACTCCTGACCTCTCATCTGAACAAATCGGTTTGTTTGGGGGTTTTGTGATACATATATATAATTATATAATTGGCGCTTGGTAACCGTTGCATCGATTTTCCCACGAGCTCCTCCTCCAATTGGTGGTTTTGCGTCTTGATGTTTTTCCAACAAATGGAGGAACCTACAGTTTATACTAAGCCGCCTCTTAACGGCTGCTAGTTTTTTTATGAGAAGCTTTATATCATCTCAGAAATAAACACAGAGGGGTTGATATTCCCTGCAGAGGAGCGACCGCAATTAAAATTTCACTTAATTTTTTATTTAAATTAATTTTCTATAACGGGATTCGAACCCATGCCTTCCGAATGGCAGTACGCAATGCTTATCACTCGGCTACTGCGGCCGCGAGCTTTATGATATCGTCCCCCGATTTCGACGATTTTCTGTGACAATTTCATTTATGTATTTTATTTTCTTGTAGCATCTCTCTCATACATAATGTACAAGCGACACTTCACAATTGTATCTCCTTAGTAATTTAGTTGTATGTACAACGTTGAAAGTGCTCGAGGACTTTAAGTCATCCCCTAAAGAATGTTGCTTTAAATATAATTTTAGAAATGTTTTTTGGACTTCGTGTTGAGGCATTTTTTGCGGATGCCCTTGCGGCATCTTCAGTTTGGAAGACCGAGCTTTAAAAATTGAGTTTGAATTTGGCTTCATTTTTGGCGCGGTTACTGTAGAATCCTGCTCCTATGTCTACCTTATATTTGGATACGTCAGTTTCGATATAAATATCTTCACTGTTACCGATAGCCTTCTGGACATACTTCATTGTCATTGCTATGTTAATCCTTAAGAATCGTAGATTAATTTCCTCCTCATTAACCCTAAGCGTAAACAAAAAGATGTAGTTTTTCTTAACTCTCCTAAATGGGCTCAAATATAATAACAAATTAGTCCCCATCCAAATGGTATTATCCATGCACAATAAAAGGTAGTTTTTGAAGCTATTCTAGAATTTAACTAAATTCCAATAGCAGGGAGAAAGGTATCAAAAGTCTTTATTCCAGGCTGGTAAAGGATCACAGATCCCAAATTCTCAAATGTATGATTTCGAACAATCAGCCCCCTGTCAGAAAGAAAAATCTACAGAATCCACGTTTCGTTGAAATCCGTCCCGTTGGATATGGAGAGTGCTTTCAACAACATCTTACAGGATGTTGTTGAATCAGCCTTAGAGTGTCTCAGGGTTAACATTCCACTGATGGCAGTCATAAATCATTTACTCTTATGTAGAACTCTAACCGCAAGTTTACTTAGGAAGCTTTTTTCTCAAGAGGCCATCTTTTTGGAGGTCTCTTCAAGGCTACCCGTTTTTTCCAGTATTTCAGTCCAAAATTCAACCCATTTTAAAGAAAGCAGACTATATTGGAACTGAACTCACGAACATTAAGTCGTTTACTATCAGACAACCGATTATCTCTCATTTCGGTTCTTGGTCACAGGCACATAGAGAGAAATTGTAAGGCAGATGAACTTGCCAGACTAGGCATGACCAACCAGATTCTGACAAAGAAAACAGTGTTATGCTTACTGGAACCGGCTCCTTTCAAACTGTAAGAACGATGAGGTTCAAGAAACGTTCTCTCAACTTCTATATAACTTTCCTGCCTTGATCAGTTCTGGTTTTCGATATCTAGAAGCTGCTTTCATTGAGGATTTGTATAAGATAATAGACAAGGAAGGTTACTTATCTAATACACTTATGAAGAAATCTAAGCTTAGTGATCGGAAAAATACCATGGTATCACAATTGGCCTCCACTGGCCTAAGTATATTGCTGCCTAGACTTCGATAGCCACTCCAACCCAACCTAGTTCCGATGTAGCATCGAACAGAATTCCTGCAAAGTCAAGAAGTATAAGATCATTTATAGCGGGCTGCTTGACCGTTGACAGCCGTGTAATGCGCGGTCTAAAATTCTCCCAAAAAAAGCTCCAAGGGATGTCGTTCCAAATCAACCCACTGCCGGCATTTGCCGCAAGGGACAATGTTAGCTTCATTGCAGGGAAAATAGAAACCGCAAATGTAATGGACTCACAACTGCAGGCATATGAACGGTTTTAATGTATTTTTACAGACTATAACTACATATGCACCTGCGTACATACAATACATACTTACGTGTACATACTGTAGGCGTATGCAAATATCATAACATATTTGCAAGTGTACTCAGATGATTTGGCCTGATGTACATGGGATTGTATTCTAAACGTTATATGTGAGTATACGAGTATGTGCTTGCCTGCGAATGGTCACATATTACTCCTGTCAATAAGTGTGTTAAACCTCGTTTGGACAATTAAAACACGCACAAAATCACGTGGAGGCATAATTATATTAAAATCTATGCACACATGCATAATTATGCAGCACACATATATATGCACGTGTATGTGGTACATTAGAAATACTACGGTTTTTATTACATTTCCGATCAAATTCAAAGTAAAAAATTATTCACAGAAAAAAATTGTACTTTAAAGGATTAGAATTTTTTGATGTATTTACAACAAAAATTAAACAGATTTAATATTCAGCTTTAAAAAAGTGCTGAGCAAAAACTAGTCAACGGATGATACCGACGACTTCAAAGGACTTTGATAACATCTGATGAGTCGTCGTAAGGAGCTTTCGAGATAAAAGTTTTGCGTTGAATTGTTGGTCCTTTGCGTATTGGCAATGCGGAATACCGCAACCGATGAAACCATGAGCGGCACCAGATATACGAGTATGACGGCATTGACATGGTTCAGTGAATGAAGAGACAGTTTCTACGCTGGCTAGTTCCTCTGGTCCGGATGGATACTAAAACGCCAGCCTTGAAAGTTTTAGTTGAAGTACTAGTTTGTGGAAGAAAAAGAAGGGAAAGACCTACAATCCGTTGGATAAACCCAGTGGAGAAAGACTTGCTTGTACGTGGTCTTTCCAAGTGGCGCTAAACAGTCGATAGGAATGTCTCACTGTTGTCAAATCGGCCATTATCGCATAAACGGTTTCCAGTAAAAAAAGAAGAATATTTCTGACCATAAATAGTTTCACAATTGACAAAAGATTTTCAATAGCATCGAGATCCAGATATCGTATTGGCCACTCCATGAAAAAGTTATTTTGATTCTCAATGAATTTCTTTACAATTTGCGCTATGTGCTTCGGATCATCATCTTGTTGGAAAACAATTAATAAAAAAAGAAGACAAGACAGAAGAGCTGTCATCATTTTTATATCTATTATGACCATACAAAGAAGATGTAGAAGATGGGCATAAAAATTCACGATATTCCGTTTTCGGATTAAATATATCCGCTGTTGTGGTTGACGTCGTTGACACAAAATGACGTAGACTTGATTGATTGATCAATAACTATTGACAGCTATTAATACACATTTGCCCGTCGTTTGGGTAAACGTCGTCATAGTCATTTTAATAATTTTATGATTGTATTGGTGCCATATGATATAGTCCTCCGGGGACAATGCATATTTGTAAATCCCAATTTATAATACCGACTTACACCGTATCTGTCATTTGTGTACCACGTTTGGTTGATATATCTCAAAACTGGGAGATTAGTTGGCGTACAAATAAGCGAACGCGCATGGCTAGACCAGTTCAGCTTGCCATTCTGCCTAGATCGGTGTAAATTTTATTGGCTCTTTCTCTTCTCCTACTCCAAAATACATCGGACCCAAGATAATACGAGATTTCAGGTACAGGAAAAGTATAAAAATCAGCTTTTATTGCTTTTAATGTAGTTTCTCATAATTACAATAATGGATATTGGTCTGGTCAGAACTCGACCATATGACTTTCGGCATGGTAGCATGTATTAATATTTGGAGTTTAGAACATTGGAAATTATTTAGTGTTCTGCAAATAAATCTCTCTTTTATAATAAAAACTGAAATTTCTTAATCCTCTACCTCATACAAATACTACGTTTACTACCATTTGCTGCGAAACGAACTGCGCGCGAATAATAATCTCCATTCTTAATAAATCTTTATTAGGTGCTAGTCAGCCTCTTTAGCGACAGCTGTTGCCGTAGAGTACTTATCAACAAAATCACCGCTAAATCTCCTTAAATTATGCGGTATATTATTGTGATTTATGATCGCCAAGCAACCGATAATCATTGCGTTAATGCGCCACAAAGTATGCAACACTTTCGCCAATGGAATTTTCTACAATCTTTACAAATCATCACCGACGACTATGACTGCCAGCCATACTTTAAGAGCAACACTTTATTAAGTTGATTGTAAAATTTAACTTTCCTTCCTACTATCCAACTTTCTAACGTTATGACTCTGTTTTGTAATGGTTTTGTGACACTTTGCCTTACCCACCTGTGCAGAGCAAATGGCAAGGCAATGTAAATTGATAGCAGTTTTGTGTCATACAATCGTGATGGTAATTTTTATCTATTATCTTATTATCCCGCGTCTTAGTGCTAGAATGCGTTAGTTCTGTGCAATGATGAGTGTGTTCGTTACATGCATATATACCAACGAACATTGTGAACAACCTCATGCATATTCCTCAGGCGTCGTTCGTCGTTCGTCATTTGGCAACTGTCAACTAAAAATAATATACACACACACATTTATATGGTATATTTGTCCTGCTGTGAAAAGTGGAACTAGCGAGCAATTCTAGTTAAATACTAGTGCTTTAAAGATGGCATCGTACCAGTTCGCAATTTGTAGGCTAGCAGTTCACCAGTATGGGAAATGATACTAATTTCTACCACCAATGAGTGGTATGATTTTGAATAGCCTGCTATTACGTTAGATGTCACTCACATTTGAAGTACTTTTGGAAATTTTTGAAATTTGATAAGTAAAAACAATGCCAGTAATAAAAATGCAACGATAAACGATTCAACAACGCATTGAAATTTTTAAAATTAAATATAAAAATTTCATTGAAAACTCATATTGACTGTTGAGGCTCATTTTCACCTCGATGGCTATGACAATAAGCAAAATTGTCGCATCTGCGGCTCGCAAGCCCAATATTTATTGTTGAAAAGCCTCTTCATCCACAACGTTTAACTGTTTGGTGCGGCTTACGGTCTGGCGGAGTCATTGGACCTTGCGTTATCGAGAGATGATTAATGATTTTTAATCGCTGGAATTTGATTGTATTGATCTGGAGAACGTTTACTTTCAATAATCGATCGTAGCTTCAAAAAATTTCTTCACCAAATAAACTACTTAATATACTCTCACTGCTAAAACAAGTCTTAATCAAAACATATATCATACGGTCTGTCAAAAAAGTCCTGGAAATTGGTAAATGAAATAAAATAAATAAATTCTATTTCTCCTAAAATGTATAGTAACGCCTTCAAAGTAGACATTTTACCAAATACTCCTATAATTGCAACGACGATTTTTAGTCACCAGTAGTTCACTACAATTTATGTTAATATCTCATTAGCTTGAGAATTTTTTTCGAAAAAATCCATCATAAGTACTGATTATTTTCCCTATATGGCTTCCTTGCAATATATAGCATTGCTGCAAGTGAATTAAATTACATATGTGAATACATATATACTTCCAATACTCCGTACTACAGCCTCGCATACTAAGAAAATTCATTTAAGTTATTTTACTACACACGTGCATAAGTATAACGGTATAAGGCTGCACAGACTATAATTTCTTCCTTTTTTAATAACAACTTCCGCAGACACAGCAATTACCTTGACGCATACATACATTTTATATAAACACGTACTTCTTAATGCAACACTAACATAAGCCTTGATTTGATGGATCATTTACACTGGGATGTGTTGACATTTTCTGCATTGACTGTCAATACACTACAAACATGGAAGCGTACGCATGTTATACTCGAATTGCCCAGTAGGAAAAAATATGTACAAGTTCAACGTATTTGAATAGCTCGAAATCTTTAATCGCTGATCGCTTTCTCCTGAGGAAAGTATTATTTTTATTTCGAGCAAATTGGATTTTGGTACCTGGTCCCTAGTCCATTTCCGGGCAGCAAAAAAAATTCCACTTAGTCATATCATCCTAAAAGTTATCCACATAATACGTTTTTAAATATTCTTGTTTTTATTGGCAGCGATATAGCCTGAAGGTGGTTGATTATAGCACACACTATGCATTCTATGCATTCTCTTATGGTGCATCTCTTTTGTCAATTTTCTTATATCCAAGGAGATTTGTGCTTTTTTGTTATCATCACAAGCTGCAGTAACTTCAGGCGCACATGCACACATACATATGTGGATATGCATAAGTATATGCATATTTTACAATAAAGAGGTGTAAAAAGAAGGCCTTCAATCAGTAATTAACAATAAATAAAGCATGTCAAGAACTTAATCCTTGCTCACGTAGCAAAGTGAAGGAATGTGTAAAGTTGAAAACAGGATAATCACCACCGGCTATGGACTCTCAAAATTAAAACGCATGGAATCTTATGGGAATGGAGGAAATGACGAACACACGATTACATACTTATTGCTCTTCATATTATAAAATATTTGTAAGTGGCAACAATGAAAATATGCTGTGCTGCCGCTGCCACTTTCATTTGAATTTGTATTATTTACTCATGCAATTTATGAAAAATTTGCTTACATACATATATATTCGTAAACGCAAATGCTATCAGCTAGCTATTTTTACGTTTTCTTCGTCTCTCTCTCTATGTCCTCTTGAGTTCGAATGACTAGTAACGCAACTGCTGCATAATAGTACTTAAATCGATATGCTTTAAGTTTCATTTACTTGATTTTTTAAATTTATGCAGAACAAGCGTATTGCATTTCCTCCTGCTGCGAACTCACTCATATTCCATATCATGCGAGTAAAAGGAAGAAGATTTCTTTTGTTTTGCTAAAGTTCAAAGAGCATTTTTTTACTGTCTTCTGGGTATGAATTGTGGTTAAAAAGTTTAAACGATTTCAATTTTCCCCTTTCTATTTTAGTTCTAAGGTTAAGAATTAATGATTGGACGCTTGGTAAATATGGAATATGTGCAACCATAGCCATTGGAGCACATTGGAGCACAGCACAATGAACTTTAAAGCTATAAAAATGACCTCAAATATTGGTGAATACAACGAAGAGCTGCTAGCCGTCTGTTTGTACGCAAACTGTACCCTCAGATGCAATAGTACATTTAAACGAGATTTACATTTTGAGATTTTGAGCCATAAATTTGCCAAAAAAAGAATAAAAGAGGAAAGTGATTTAGTATTCTGCTCACATATGATGAATTGCACATACAATCGATTTGTTCAGATATGAGGTTTTGGGTAAAAAAATACGTCAAAAAATATCATCTACAACCCTGAGATTTGGCATTCTAAACAGGTGTATACAAAAAACATTAACACCGAAAGTCATGGAAATAGGTCGTCTATATCATATAGACTCCATGTAAACGATTTTTCAGATGTGAGGATTTGGTCGAAGCTCCGTCAAAAAAGCATATACAGTTAAACAATGACGAAGAAAATCATCGAAATCGGAAGACTATATCTACTATAAATATATATAGGCTTCATACAACCGATTTGTTCAGATATGATAGTTAATAATTAATCCTAAAATGAAAATGGAAAAATGAAAGACTTTGACATGGCTGAAGCCAAATCTTCTCTTTTTTTTTTATATTAAAATAAATATATAATTTTTGATAACGTAAGCATTTTTAGCGGAAAATTATATACATACATAAATATATAAGCCTTTTTTGTATTTAGCAATATAAAATAAAATAAAATTATTTCTTTTTCAAATATGTCTGAAGAAACGAAAAATTCTCATTTTTTCCAGTATGTCAAGCCAAATGTTCACCATCATTTGCTCCGCCCTCCTTTTGATCGCTGCAGCGCATTTCAGCAACGCCATGGCTGTGCCACCATTCTGTCAGTCGGGCATGGTAGAAGATATGCCATCACACATACAAAAAGTCTGCTCGGCACTCAACAACTCGGAACAATTGGCTACAGCACTAAAATCCTATCTGAATAGTGAGGCTGCAGGTATTCTTTTGAATTTTATTTAGAATTGGAAATTGCTCAATAAACGTTAAAATTAATTTATAATAATTATTATCCCTCTCGCTCTCGCTCTCTCTCTCTCTCTCTCTCTCTCTCTGCCTGTCTCTCGCTTCCACTAACTCAATAGCTTTATTAACCGATCAAGCACCTCTTAAGCGCTCCGATGTTGATCACGTTTTCTTGCGTTTCGGCAAAAGGCGTTAAATACCACAACAACAACCAAACACCACAGAGATAAACCAACAATCGACCGTTAAAAGGACTCTTTGATTTGCAATACATACATACATATTTACGCACGACCGCCATGTGATTATCCATCAAAAATGAACGACCACACAGAATATATATACATTTGGAATTACTTAAAATTATAATCTAAAAATGGAAAATTTTATTTAAATTAATTTTAATTTTAGTAAAAAAAAATTAAAATATTTAATAAAAATAATAATGACAAAAATATGTATAGAAAAACTACGTGCATAAGTATAAAGTAAAACGAAAATTTGCATTCTACTTGCAATATGTAATATGCAAAAACACTTTAAAATAATATATGAAATGTGTAAAAATATTTTGTATGTATGTATAATACAAATTCTTAAGTTGATCTCTTTATAAATATATTTACACTTTTCTGTATTTGTACATCTGGAGTATATGTAAATATGCATGTAAGCGTTTGCAATGGAAGCTTGTAAAAAATACGAAATAAGAAAACATTAAAATTTTAAAAGTAAATACATTTTTGTTTTTATAGTTTAAAAATTGTTGGAAAACTTGTATTTATTAATAAAACGCTGAACTATGAATAAGAAACACCACCACGGAGCAAAGACATTGTAGCAGATATTTACAACATATATACATACATATGTATGTATCTAAATCTTATCAGAAGGTATCATGATTTTCAAGCCAAGCAGAAAGCTTATGAAAATTTAACATTTTTTGTGCATATAAATCAAGATTCGCAAATACATACATACATACTTGGTCCTTGGTGTATGTAATTTTCTAAACTATAAATGCGTATGTACATATACAGTACGAAGCAGACCCGCGATTAAAGATGTATTTTTCAGCACCTACAAAATTACATAGCTATGTATGTAAATGTCAATGAAATAAAATTTTGAATAAAGAAATGTGTTTCCTCTCAATTATTACGTAATTTTTGAAGGTTTTAATCCAAAGTATGGTTCATTGGTAGACAAAATGTGTTGATATGGTTGAGCTAAAACCTTGTCCTTGTCAGTTTCTTTTATGGTAAATATAGTCACGAATCACAACTGAAACGAGGAAGTACAATGATCTAACCTCAAAAAATTAAAAAATTAAAAAAACTAAAAAAAAGAAATTAGCACCTTAAAAATTGGTATGAAAATTTAAAAGCAGTTCCATACTCTTTTCGGAGTCGTTTCATAGCTTTTTGAATTTCGTCATTTTTTCTCTTCTCTTAAAAAAAATTGACAACTTTTACATAAAACAAAAAAGAAGAGGTCTCGTCGATCATCCCGAATTCGTTACACCTTTCACGACCGTAACAAATTTAAAGTATTAATTTAAAAATTATATATTAAATCTCATGTCTGATTGTATGGAGGGTATATACCATGGTCCACCGATTTCGATGATTTTCGGTGTCATTTTTTATATGAATATATGTATGTACGTGTGGAGAATCCCAAGTTTCATGCTCTTAAGATGCGTTTTCGAGGGATTTATAACCCACAATCCCATATCAGAAAAAACGGTCGTATATACATATGCTATAGTGGTCCAATCTGGCCGGTTCCGATAAATGATCGCATCTGTGTATCGAATTTCATTGAAATATCTCAAAAACTGAGGGACTAGTCTGGGAACAAACACATAGATAGACGGATGATTAATGGATCCTTCTCTACTAATATATATATATACCATTGCATTTACACTATTCGAGCAGATGGTTTAAGTTATTCTGAACTTTGAAAAGGAAGGCGCCTGTAATCTATGACTGATGTACATAAAATTTGATAAATAAGGTAGACAGGATCGTGTGATAATCACTTGGTGCGAAGTTCGGACTATAAGGTGGATGTATAAGAACGTCTCAACGTAACTGTCGAAGGATCTGACGAGCCACTATCGATGTGTGTGTTCTTGCGTTGTCCTGATTAAGCACAATTCCCCTCCTACCTTCTAGGCGATTGCTGCCATCGCTTATAGTGGATGATTCCTTGCCGATCCTACCAAACATAAAACGTTCCTTCTGAGACTTACACTACACATTGGTTTTTTATAGTCGGGCTTTTTCGGCTAATGGTTTATGTAACGGCATAAAATCGATTAGCCTTTTCTGTCTGTATGCCTGTCCGCCTGTATAAGACAGCTCAAGTAAGAATTGAAATATTTCGTTTAAGCTTTGCTCATATTGTAGTTTCCTTGGGTTTCAAGACAAACGCTATTATAAATGAATAAAAACGGACTTATTTGACGTCCATCTTCCGTATAACGGTAATTTTAAGAAGTCGCGATAAAGAAATCCCGATAATGTAGTAACTCGGCCGCGGTATCCGAGTGGTTAGCATTGCGTCTGCTATTCGGAAGGCCAAAAAGTTAAAGAAAATTACTGTAAATGAAAAATTAAGTAATATTTTCTAATCGCTGTCGCCGCACGGCAGGGAAGGTCAGCCACTCCGAGTGTATTTCTAACATGAAATAAAGCTTCTCATAAAAAAAACATCAGGCTTTCGTAGGCGGCTTAGTATAAACTGTAGATCCCTCCATTTGTTGGAAACAAGAACAAGTCGCAAAACCACTAACTGGATGACGAACTCGACCGAAAATCGAATAAATGTATATTTAATTATAGTAATCATTCTTAAAGACGATCGCATTAAAAGGATAATTAGGAAGGAGAGAACAAAAAATTTAAAATGTGATTGGTATCCCATATTTACTTTTATGTATAGTCTTTGCTATGTGGTAGAAGTTAAAGAAGTTACTAAGACTCTGTTGGAAGTCAGTTGAATGAATATTTGAACCATTGCAGTTTGTCTATTTCAGCATAAGTGTGTTTAAGTTTCCAACCTACCTTATATGAGGGGAAAATCGGACGAAACTATGGAAGTGTTCCGCGGTAATAGCAAAACGAACTTGTTTTGGGCTAGAAGAAAGAAGAAAGAAAGTATTGACGAGTTGTGACCTCTTAAAGGGACCAACTTTTTCTTTACAGTCCAACACATCGCCCAATATCCATCGTTTTATAAACTTTCTCACTTTACCTACATCTATTCCTTGCGAATGGCTTTATCTAAATCATAGAAAATATTTTTTTAGAAAGAAATTCTTGTATAGAAAAATAACTAGCCGCTGCTCGAAGGTCGCTTAAAACTGTTAGCTCGTTTTTTTGCGATAACATTAAGACGCATCCACAAATCGGAAATTATCGGCCAAAAAGCGTACAAGCAACTAAAAAGGACAGATTATACTAATATATACTTTGTATATGAATGTCCATATTTGATTTGAATAAAAGTCAGATTTATATTTAGAGTAAATGGGTAGTAGATACATATCACTGTACGCAAATTTATTCGAATACATAAAAAAATCCTTTAACCATTTGGTAATTTGCAATATACCGCATTCATCTTAGCTATTTGTAATAGATATATGTAAATAACAATTAATCTAATACTTTAACTTGCATAAGAACATAAACATAAAGAATATATTGAAGGGAAGTAATACCTATTCACGCTTGATTGAAATAAAACAGTTTAACAGTAAATAGTTTACAATTGTAACGATGATTGCTGTTTTGTGTCCTTTTCAATTTGGAGATGAGGAGATTAGGACAAACATAACCCATAAATGCAGCAGTCCAACATACATTAACACAAACACGCGCATTAGGGGATAACGACGAAGAAAGGCGCCTAATCGAATACCGACAGAATCTAAAGAAGAGTAAACACGTTTCACACGTCGAGCCACACGGTTGTCGAAGGGATTTTCCCGCAATAAAAGCGGAAACTGTGCCTTAACTGCAATTATAAATTAAATTTTTAATTTGTAATACATTAGAAACATAAATTGAATAATATCTGCGTGGATTTTATACCAACCGTCATCTGTAGTATTTGAAAGTAGTGGATTACGCGGCACCGTCTTATTACCACTATGCAACGTACTGTTGAATGCATATTGCTCATGCAGCTGATCTTGGATTTTTTCTAATTGTATGCGTAGTGCATTTCTTTCAGTTGTAATGCGTTCTACAGATTGCTGTTTATCCACCAGAGTTTGTGTAAGCACTTTCAAACGCTCATCTAAACTGTCAACAGCCAGACCTTCTTCGGTATTCGCTGATGTCTTGCGTCGTAGAAATTCAGCCCGCAGTTGTTGCATTTGTGTCTCCTTTTCTTGAAGACGTGTAGCGGATGCTGCCATCTGATTACTTAACTGTTGGCGTAACTTTATAAGCTCCTGCGCCTGTACCCTCTGCTCGGACTCTGTAGATAACAAGCGTTCACGTTCCGCACGTAATTCTTTTCTCAATGCTTCTTCAGTAATTCGTGCGTTTTGCAGATATTCTGTATGTTGCTCGTTTATTACCTGCCAATCCCGCCGTAACTCTTTTAATTGCATTCGCAGCGTACTATTTTCTTCCAAGGTCTGCTGTTGCTCATGTCTTAAGGTTTCAAATTCCATTTGTAGTAAGCGTGAATCCGATTCATCTTCATAACTCGCATTAGTTCCCACAGTTACTCCATTAGCCTTTAATTCGGCTATGAGTGCATCTTTCATTTGTAGCGAGTATTGAGCTTTCACACGATATTCTTGCAACTCTTTACGCTGCTGCTCTGTTTCCTTCATTTGCATTTGTAGTTTGTGTGCCGCCTCCAAATATTCTTGTTGTAATTTAGCTAAATTCGTTTCTAACTCGGAAATCGAATGCATATATGAATTTTGTGTGCTTTGTGATTTACTCAATTCATTTTGAGCCTGATCACGTTCATCTGTCAAACGTTGAAGTAGTGACTCCATTCCTTCCAACTTTTTCAGTAATATAGATTTTTCATTGTCCCGAGATATGGTAATTAAACGTGCTCTTAAATCATCACGCTCCCCGGTCACTTCATTTAAAGCGATTTTGAATGCCATCAACTCGTTACCTTCCGGCGTACCTGATAAAAATGATCCTTCTGTGGCAACTTTCCTCAGAATGTCATGTTTTTGATTTGTATCCTCCACATCAATTGCAATAGCATCAGGGTGTGAGTTAACAGAACTGCGGCGAGAGGAAACCTCAGAGTTGATGTTCCATTCTATCTTTGCAATTGGCTCGGGCAAACCAGTAGTACTTGGTAAATTAATGGCTTCAGGATCACCTTCCACTTTACTAAACGACGTTAATCCGGCGTTTTTGACTTTGAGCGGTGAAAAATTTGATTTTATTTGCAAATTACTGTTTGATAAGTTGCGCCGCATAGTTCCCAAAATAGATTCACTATCATCAGTATCTGCACCAGTAGGCGATGTTGATGATACTTGCAAAGCACTGGCGGCATTCTGATCTATCTTATTCAGAATATTTTCGGCTTTACCTGCTAAGCCTGATATCCAAGCCATTTTAATGTAGTCGTGGCTTTAACTCGATAATTTACTAATTTATAAATGTAAACAAATTATGTATTGCCATAACAACCTTGAAGTGAATGGAATTTTCCAAAAACAGCTGATTGTTGGGATGTTTTCGAAGGAATTTTTTCGGAAAGTTTCAGCATCTAATGGTACAAATAGTCATGTATACATATGAATACGGCGTTGAAAACGTGTTAATTCGCGCTTGTCTTTGACAGTTTTTCGATTGATTCACTGAGTACGTTGTGAGCGCTCGTCAAAGATGGACACCAGCAAATAGAAAATTCGCTATATTTCACAATTTTCCTTCGATCAAGGCGAAAAAGTAGCTAAAGCGCCTGAAAAAATTAATTTAGTTTATGGGCCCGATAATGCAAACGAACGTGTAGCACACACGTCGGGAGGCCTTTCGTCGAAAATTGCGATAAAATCATGGAAAGAGTGGAAACAGACCGTCACGAGAATACTTATTTAATTGCTGAGGAACTAAAGATAAGCCATAAAACCGTTTGCAACTATTTCCATAACCTTAGATTCAGAAAGAATCTCGGTGCTTGGGTGCCACACGAACTAACACAAAAAAATTATGGACCGAGTTTTCATCTGCGAATAGCTGTTGGATCGCAAAAAAATCGACCCGTTTCTGAAGCGAATTGTGACTGGCGATGAAAAATAGGTCATTTACGACAACATCGAGCACAAACAGACGTGGTCAAAGCTCAGGGAAGCGACCCAGACGATGGCCAAGACCAGATTGACTGCCAGGAAGGTTTTGCTGTGTGTTTGGTGGGATTGGCAAAGAATCATATACTATGAGCTACTCCCCTATGGCCAAACGCTCCATTCGGCCCTCTACTGCCAACAAATGGACCGCTTGAAGGCAGCACTCATCCAGAAGAGACCATCTTTAATCAACAGAGGCCGAAGTGTGCCACACACGACTATGGTGGCGCGCCAGAAGCTTCAGGAGCTCGGATGAGCACCTTACGGTCCGAACTTGGCACCACGTGATTACAATATTTTCCTGTCCATGGCGAACGCGGTTAATGGTTCGAAGTTGGTCTCAAGAGATGTCTGTGAAAATTGGCTCTCCGAGTTTTTTGCCATTAGGGACGCAGCCTTCTACGAGAGAGTATAGTGAAGTTGGCATCTCGTTGGAAACAAGTTTACGAACAAAACGGCGGATATTTGACTTAAATCGGACAAATACACACAAAAAACCCGAACGAACTTCTTACTTGACATAATATATATACATACATGACAGTATGTACTGAAGCGGTTTTCGGCCGAGTTTTTTTGAGCTTCTTGGTCTTTTTCGTAAGTTTGTATCAGGAGCTTTTATTTTCATATCAGAAATACACATTCCCTACCGAGGGTCCACCCTAACCATGAAAGTGAACTTTATTTTTTTTTTATTACTTAGGATTTTAGTTGGGCCAGAATCAAGCCCATAACCTTCCGCGTGGTTGTTGTTGTTGTTGTTGTAGCGGTTCGCTAACCGCGCTTAGGCACAGGCTTGAATTAGTCTAAGTCGTCGAGGTCATTTAAAGGTAGGCCCAGGAAACGAGCTGTTTCGACGGGGTTGGACCAAAGGGAGAGGGGGGTTAGATGAGTAGGTTTGAGGGGCCTTCCGCGTGGTAGTACGAACTGCTGACCGCTCGGCTATGTCGTTAAAATTTTTGGGTACAAATCGGGAGTCTTCTTTCAACACCAAAAAATAAAGGTTCGACACTTGGGGTATTCATATTTTCTGCCCGCATACATGGACCGTTTTGGATGAAACTTTAGCCCACTAGACAATATACAAATATATAGATATTATATATTTAAAACCTAATATATATATACGAACATAAAAGATCTTACCTTGCACTCCCTCTCTCGTCAGTTGTAAAATTGCTGTATCCTATTTGAAAAATATTCAAAATTCAACTAAATAAATCTTTATTAAAACTACATAAATAATTATTTTGAAAACTTTTATTGAACCAGCAGCAATACCATTTGGGATATGCTTTTCATACACAAAAGGATTATTAATAATAAAAAAAACAATGATTTAATCAAAAAAGAATTGACTCATAAAACAAACTAAATTTTAACAACTGAAAAAATGTAAATTTTCATCAAAATAAAATGAAGTGTAAATTATATATTGTACTTTCAAATTAGTATTCACATGTGAATGTCCAGCTTTGCTAGTGATTTTTATTTCATTTTTTATTTTAATTTTCATTGTATATTTATGTAAATAATCAGTCTATTGGCAAAAAAAAAATAAGTATTTTTTCGTTTTAAAATTTGTTTGATGTTTTGCAACTACTATTTGTTAATTTATATAAAATAGCATTGAAATTGGGTTTGATAAAACGATTTTTTGATTTCTTAAGTTTAGCATATAGCTTTGAAATTGAATTATTTTTCTATTTCTTAATTTTTGCTCATATCTTTGAAATCATGCGTTATTATTGTTCTTTTTCTTTTCTTCATTCCAAAATTTTTATAGACACTTTAAATTAATGCTTTTCATTTCTCTCGCATATTCATATCTTTTACTTTATACTTGCGGTGTGGATTTGCTTTAAATCGTCTGTAAATCTTAATTGAATATGTATGCATGGCTGTCATCATTTTTGTTTGAAAATAGTTTCCTTGTCATGCAGTCTTTGTGGTTTTTCATATAGTGTATAATGATTAGATGTTTTTGCGTTTTTCTTCTTTAAGCATTATTTAGATTTATTATTATTTTACTTTTCTACGATTTTTTTCTCAGACAATGCTACCGAAATTCGTCTGTACTTCTTTTTAATTATTAACTTCCACTTTATAAGGGGATAATAACAGTTTGTTGGTAGACTCTTAGTGTTCTTTTTTTTTAATATTTTCTATGTACTGTCTTTACCACTTTTCAATTTTCTATTTAGTTTTCGTTCGATTGTATTTTTAGTGATTTCTGATTTAGCTTTTTAAATTTTGTTTTGATACACATACTGTGATGTTTTTTTTTTCTTTTATAGTGAGTATTTTATTGTCTTGTGCTAGTTTATTTTACTTTTCTAAAAATCATAAAATTTAAACTAAATTAACGGAATACAAACAAAAACATTGGCAAACTTAGATATTGGTATAATTTTTAACAAAAATTAAACAATTTCAATAAAGCATATTTTGTAATGTATGTATGTAATTCAAATGATATTTTTAAATTACCATTTCTTTGCTTATCCATTTGAATTCTTTCTTGCGTCCGGGTTGAGCATATCTTTTTTTAATTATATTCTTTCATTGTTTCGTTTTTTTTTTTCTTTCTTTTATCAGCAAAACTTTTTTCACTTTTACGCCTTTATAGCCTGTAAAGCAGAAAACTAAACTAAGAAGTTATTTTTTTCTTATATATAAAATAGTATAATCATCCTTCCTTTCATTTGCATTTGCGCATAGCGCCATTCGATTTATCACATCAATATCACAGTTCGTTGTTATTTTTTTGCACTTACCATTCATCTTTTCTCAAATGTAAGTAGATTTGTATAATTTTTTTTGTATGTTTAAAAAAAAATATTTCGTGGTGTGATATTCATATTACCCTTTGGTATTTTGCATGATATAATAATTTTCTTAAAAAAAAAATTAAAATATTCAATCTACTTCATTTGATTTTTGCGTTGGTTTTTTATCTTTGTTAACCCAAAGTTGTATTATTTTTTGTTCAGATTCGATAAACTATATTGACAGTCTTTTTTTATGGTTCGATGATCGCTTCATCCGGCTGGTGTTTTAATTTAAATATATTTTGTTTTCGAATTTCCAAATTTTTAGGCAAATAAATTTAATTAGTAATTAAACATCTTTGTCCGTTAGCACTTATGAGAAATACAAATAATATTAAGAATTTTTGTATTACTTGTGTTGCTTTCATATAGGCTCATTTAGCTTTGAACTTAAGAAACTATGACGATGATGATTAAACTATCACATGTTTACATGATAAATAAAACGATTGTGACACACCAAAAGTCATTTTTTTGGAAATACGAGATCTGTATTAATTTCCATATACATATAAATGTAAATAGTTATGGTATTGGGCTTTCGCTAGTATTTTCTTGAGCCTTTAATTGTTTTCAAAGTTTGCCAGAATGCAGTAAGGGCTTTTGTTTTTTAATTTTTTCTTGTCAATTTTGCATATTTTGTAAATAGAAAATAAATATATGTATTTGTTTATTTCATAGTCGCATAGGACTAAAAGATATAAAACCGCAAAACACTGCAACACAGAGAATTTTCTCAGTACAGTTTTTTTTTAGAATAAGATTACCCTGAATCTGCCGACGGCAATGTTTGTATATATAAGTGGTTTTTTTTTAACTTTTATATCTTATAAACCCTCTCATTTGTTTGTGTGAAAAGAGTTTAAACCTCATTTAAAGAATATATACTTAATAAATATTCATTTTTACAAACTTTGGCAAGTTTATGCGTAAAAAGTTTTGAATACGTTTTATATATACATACGTGTTTTTCTTTTCTTGTTAAATTTTTTGTAATATTCGTGTCAAAAAAATATAATTACTTTGCATTTGTTTTAAATATAAAATATATCACAGTTGACCAGCATTTGAAGCTGTTGAATTTCGCTTTAACGCACTAAAATAATGCAATGGCGATATATCTCTTATATTTTCAATGTAAAATCATTGAGAGAATTTAACATAAATTGAAATTATAAAATGTTACGAAAAACGTAAGCGGAAATAGCAGTAATATAATTTTATTTCAGTGATTGATGATTGTTTTCTTTTTTGTCTCTGACTTCAAGTCAAATTAATGATTTGCAACAATTTTTGGTACTACTAACATTTTTTATTGAGTTTTAGCATATATCAGCATATATATAGTTATTAGAGGATGTTCTAATTCGCATAAATCATTTTCTTTCCTTTTTATAATAATGTTCTACAATACGTGTATATGCAGTTAAGTGTGCTTGATATATACATGTATATATTTCATACATATACATATATGTATGTATATATTATATTAAAGTGCTACATACATATTTATGTGTATTTAGTTTTACAATAAGAAGCCAATTTTTTTTTCAATTAACTGAATATTTCTTAGTACAAAAAAAATGCTTTTATTAAATTACAAAAGAAGGTCTGTATCATTATTGTACTAAAAACAAAAAAATAATAGTTTGTCAAATTCTGGTAAAATTGATCATTTTTTTGGTTTTTCAATACTTAGAAATGTCAGTTTTAGCTTACATTTAAATATAGACATTTTGCCGTACGTAACCATATTGGCAATAAAATTATTTTCTATCTTACTTCTGTTGAAATATAAAGAGCATGCTTATGCCCCATTATTCTAAAATGTTTTCAATAATCATTGCTTGCAAATAAAAAAAAATTATATTACGATTGACGTGGATTTATTGCGGCTATTCAAAAAAAAAATATATATATATGTATTCTAGTCAAATGTTAAAAATAAATTTATGTTGGAAATCTTTTGTCAATATTTATACTTAAGTTAAGCTAAATAATTCATATGAATTATTACTTTTTATTAGCTTAGAAAGTTACTTCTTTTGTCCGTTTACCTTTTCTTTTTGTTAAATCGGGTATATCTGAGGATCATTTGGGACGTAAATGGGGGGATGTTATGGGATAAAAATATGCCTTTTTATTATAATAAGGATTTAACAAATAAATTTTTTACTTTTCTGCCTTAACATTAAACATTTAGACTGAATTGTTTATATTTATTTTATGTGAAATTAAGTGAGGGAATCTATGCTTCCTTTTAGTTACCTATATGTTTCTTATTCATTTAAGTTTCTTAATTTATATGCGCAACATATTTGGCATGAACATTTACATCTTTTCTTTTTCTCGTTCTGTTAATACAATTGCAGCATTTTTCAAAGACTCCAGCATCCATGTGCATCTTGTATTATTATTCAAAACGCTACTTTGTGTTCCGTTGTATACTGCAGGGGTTCTTAATAATAACCTGCTGCATTAGAATAACCCTGCTGATATTGTGAGTCTGTTTTCGGAGTAAATCGAAGACATAAATAAGCAATTTTAATAATTTGTATGACTATAGCAAACAAGTAAATAAGTGTACTTTTTCAAAATCATCTTCATGAGATCCTTATTTTGTGTGTGTTTAAAATTAACATTTTACTTTTATTACTTAATTAGAGTTTTAATACCACTCACCATAGCCTGCGTAAGCACGTTCGTCATATGATTGTTGACCATGCTGCGAATAGTCGGCCTGCGGTGCTGTATTATAATCCACAGCTGGCGCGCCATACTGTTGTGTATAGTCCTGTCCATAACTCTGATAACGCGTATCTTGTTGGGTACCATAACTACTAGAGCTGTAAAAAGATAATATATATAATTTAAAGGAAAATATTTATATCATAGCCTTTTTTAGAAATAACATACCCATAACTCTGGTATTGGCTTTGATCATATTCAGCACCTTGTGACGCATAAGCATTATTTGCTTGTTGTGCCGAAGACGCATATCCACTTTGACCATATCCGTTGTATGATGATTGAGCGGCTGGTGCCTGTGCATATGATTGGGCATACGGATCAACAGCTTGTGATTGATCATGTGTCGCATAACTGTGATGACTGTATACAAAGATATAGTAAAAAAAGTGTAATTTCCCTATTGAAATACTTTTATTACCTTTGCTGCTGTTGATGGTGTGCAGGTGGAGCACCATAATTTGCCGGCGGAGCCATCGGAGCCGCATGTTGCATTGGTTGATGATACTTTGGAACCATTGGACGTTGTGAGTATGGTCCTCCTTCGTAACGGCCACGTTTTGGTCCAGGAGGACCACCGGGTGCGCCTCGTTTTAGCGATGGTGCAGGTGCTATTTGGGTATTAGCACTATGTGGCTGTGAGTGCATGGGTGGTCGGGAAATTGATTGGCCGTAACCCCCACGGCCTCGCGGCGGACCTCCTCGTCGCATCGGCATTTGACCATGTTCTCCACCAGGACCCATACCATGCATACCACCATTCATATGTGAATTATAGCTGCCACGTCCACGGGAGAATGACCCACGCCCGCGAGGAGGTCCTCGTGGTGGCATAGTGCTGATACCACCATTAGAACTTACTGCTACCGGAGCTGTAACTGGTACCTCAGATGACGGAGCACTACCATTAGTGGCAGTTGCCATTTCAGGTGCTGCGCCCTCTGCAGCTGGTGCTGGTGTCGCCGAGCTTGCTGTTGGTACAGGTGAAACTGTTTTATTGTTTTCAGCACCCGTATGTTGCTTTGCTATTGTGTGTGTATTGTGAAATATTTGTTCATATAAATACATATCTTTCTAAACTGTTATACTTACGTTGAGCATACATTGGTGGCCGGCCTCCTCTCATTGGGGGTCCACCACCACGGGGCACATAGCTTCCGCGTCCTTGATAACCAGATCCTCTTGGAGCACGCATACCACGACCACCGGGACCCATACCTTGTGGTGGAGGACCTCCACCCATCATTCCACCGCCACGGCCCATATAGTGACCCCTACCCATACCTCTACCGCGACCGCGCTCAAAACTTCCTCGCATTGGTCCACCTCTGCCTCGATAACCCCCACCACGTGGTACTTGTGGACCTACTGGTGCTACCATGCCTACTTGTGGTGCTTCCATTTTTATATTTATTTTTATTTGATTGATAACTTTACACTTTTCTCACAGAAAAAATATTTTCTCTATAATTTTCAGAATACATATAACCCGGCGGTTGTATCAAAGAAAATTTTATTATGCAATTATTTCGGTATAATATTGGACATTCATCCACCTTTTACTTAGAAACCTATTGTACATACATTTAAAATTATTTTAGTTCTATATTCACTTTAATTCTATCACCTTTTTACGAACTTTTTGTTTTCTAGTGGTAGAAAAATTAAACCATACCAAGAACTTTGGAAAAAATATGGCGTCGCATTTGATATCGATTTTTGGCAACAGGGATGTAATTGTGCTTGAATCGAACCAGATTACCAAGTTGATCAAAGTACCGAAAGTTACATATTTCACAGAAAAGACCCACATCTAGCATAAGGTATTACTTATTCCATTTATTAGGAAAAATTGTGTTGTAGGCATTGGATAGAGACTCTTTCACTCAATATAAAATTGACAGAAAAATGTCTTTCGCCATCACATCTTAGTTTAATTTTAACTTCAGAATATCGTCATTTTAAGAAATATGAATTTCAATTTTTGGTCAAAATGTTTAAATTTTCCTTTTAGTTGGTTTACAATGAAATGTTTTACATTACATTAAATAAATTACATTTTTTTAATAAATGAAATTGGTAGGTAAGAAATAAGTCAAAAGTCGTAAATTCTTTGTATTGTTGCGAAAATGCGAGGCGAATGTCAGATGAAAGAGAGAAGCCGATAACTAGTACGATAAAACAAGAACCTTCCATAGCGAACAATTCGATGCTTCTACGCTTTCGTCTGCGAGCAGCCGACTGCTATATAAAGGCGACACTCAGCTGCAAGTCAGGCAGTGACAAAGCGAACTGGTTGGCGTTAACATCAGTGAAGACGTAAAGTGAAAGCGTTGGGAATTACATTTAAGTAGAGTAAATTGTGAAAGTTGATGTTAGTGATTATAAATAGTAAAGTGCAGTATAATTGAATTGTGAATTACTGAGAAAATAAAGGACATTAGATAGAATCTTTATAACGAAAGAAACTGCAAATTAAGTTGGCGAGTTTTTATTTAACAATCCAGAGATCGTACCCGAAGGATTTAGGAAATCATCGAGGTTGATTTAGTAAAATCGTAACAGTATGTTGAAAATAAATTGAGTGAAACGATGTTGTTTTTGGTATCATGTGTTTTCTTACAAGGTACTTTAAAATGTTCCCACTTTTGACAGCTTTTATTAAATATTTTGGGAACAGTAGAACAAATTTTCCTTCACAATAAGTAATAATAAGGCTAAAACAAGGTGCAGTTTTCTCGTAATATTTATGCTTAAAATAATTTATTTTAAGAAATTAAGACAAAATTAATTTCAGAAAACGTGTATTTTGCAGAATATTGTTGTGGTAACTGTGGGTGTCAGTACACATTGCTGAAAACAAAGGAGGTGAAACGGCCACAGCAACGTGTGTTAAGAATTTGCCAAAACCCATAGCCATTTTTGATTGTATGTGTAAATAAATTCAAAATTAAAACAGGAGGCAGAGGAGCGCCAGTATTGTGATTGGCATCAACTGTGAAAATGCCAGGAAAGGTCGGTGTGAAAATTAAAGCTGGGCGCAATTTGCCCGTAATGGATAGGAGCAGTGATACAACCGACGCATATGTAGAAATAAAATTGGGCAATGTCACACACAAAACGGACGTATGTCGCAAAAGCTTAAATCCACAATGGAATACAGACTGGTAAGTAGGCGGGTCAAACAAATTTAGCTAAGAATTCTACTCTGCTTTTCAATCGATTCTAAATGCGAAACACTATCAATTTGTTTAAAATGATAATGACTTGACCTGATAAGCAGTATAGTAAAACCTAGAAACAGAGATATGCCCACAGTTAAATTTTTTAGCTTAAGTAGTTTAATATTCTTTTAAGTACCGTATATTACGATCGAATATGTGTTAATTGTATTTAACTTTTTTTTTAATATAAAAACTATCTAGGTTTCGTTTTGAGGTAGACGATGCTGAATTACAAGATGAGCCTTTGCAAATACGATTGATGGACTATGACACATACTCGGCTAATGATGCAATTGGTAAAGTAAATATAAGCTTAAATCCTCTATGTTTAGAAATGTCCGGACCGACGACCCATGGAAAGGGTACAGTTCTATCAGGTTGGATACCAGTTTTCGATACAATGCACGGCATACGGGGCGAAGTCAATGTTATTGTTAAAGTGGATTTGTTTTCCGACTTAAACAAATTCCGACAGAGCTCATGCGGCATACCATTCTTTCACTGTAAGTTGAATGTAAACTTATAACTTCCAAACAAAAACTCTTATATTGAATTTATAGCGCAATGCATACCATTTGGTTATCGGGCGCAGATGATACATGGCTTTGTCGAAGAATTGGTGGTGAATGATGATCCTGAATATCAATGGATAGATAAAATACGTACACCACGAGCATCCAATGAGGCCAGACAAGTCGTGTTTCTTAAATTATCGGGTCAAGTGAGTGTAAATCAATGAATAATCTTTATATCTCATTTAACAGCCACCTCTCTATATTAAAGGTGCAACGAAAAATGGGTTTAAAGGCGATTAATATGGGTGCCAATGCTGTTATCGGATACACACAATGTTTCGACTTGGAGGGTGATGTTGGTGTGGTGGCGCGTGGAATCGGCACAGCTGTGACCTTGATCAAAGATGCAACATGTAGCCAGTCAGCGGCCGCCACAGCCGATAATGCGCTTATTGAAGAGTAAGTACTGCCATTTTTATGGACACTAGTATACACATTACAAATTAATGGAAAAGTCTCTAATATATTTTAATTTTTTACACACATGTATTTGTGTTGTCTCGAAATCTTTTTTCCCTGCGTGTTTTTATGCATGAGTGTATGTTTATATTTAAGTGTGCTGCTTTGTTTATGTAGTGGTAACAACATAAAATATTCATCAACACACCTCCGCACTTATCGGTGTTATTGATGCTGGTGAAGATGGCTGATGACATAAATTTATGTGCAAACAACACTACAAAATATACTTATGCGTATACACATACACCGCAAATGTTCATGCAGTTTCTTTTTAACCTTTTTAACTAGTATATGCTAACATACTGTAATGCAATGGCTACACGTACCATATGTTCGTATGCACTAATAAGGCCAAGGACGCGCGCGTGGAAGTGTGTGGCAATATATTGCGACCTTGATATATAAAGATGACTTTTAAGCAAATAGTGAGATTATATGTTCTTCTTAATAAAGTAGTTTATTAAAGATGTTTACCTAACTTTAAATACAGAACGGGTAGAAAACTGCATAGAAGCAACTGCCAGTTGCTAGAACAACGAAGCGTATGAGTAACCTTTTTTTATTACTGTATGTGAATATGTTTGTGGATTTTCATTGAAAGTCTGTTTTGTTTCTACACTTTTACGGTTAATATTGCATTAACTGATGTTATTTTGCTAATATAAATGTGTCGAATTAATGCATGGAGCAGGAAACGCGCAGGTATATAAGCGTTTATTTACATAGGGCTTCCCAAAATTAACGCAAGATTTAAATTAAATAGAAATCACAGCTTTTAGTCTTCAGATTGTAATTTTCACTGAATCAACAAATACATACAGATCTTGTGTTAATTTTGGGAAACCCTTTAGTTATGAAAACTAAAATAGATCGACCATTTTTTTCTGCGTGGTATGTTTGTAAGTAAGTGTAGAGAAGGACGGCAATATTTTTTTTCTGAACTAAAGTTGCGTAATACCAGAACTGAATATGGCTAAATTTGTATATATTCGCTATATTGGAAATTGAGTTACGTTACCCACTTCTCTTCTCAAAATGTTTATAAATGAAAAATGTATATCATAGAAAAAAAAAATTATTTAAAGATTATTGATTTTTTCCATTAATGTCTCCTCAAATATTTTCCCAAAATTATTGCAAATAACCTATCATTAATTATTGATTAAAAAATAATTATAATCAATTTATTCGATATTGAACTTTTTAAATTATTTATACTCGTATGAGGAATATTTTTAAAATAAGAATTAATATAGTTTTTCTTCTTTACTGGCGATGATAACTTAGAAGTCGAAGTTAAAAACATTTTCATTAAAAAAATCCCAACCTTCTTACTCCAACCATCGTCAGCTGATTTTTTTTTGTTTTTTTGCTGATAAGATAAAGTATTGGAGAAGTCTCAAGGATATTATATAATTTGTAATTTATAATTCATCCGCATCGCCTGTTTGTATACGCAATATCACATCTGCCACCAATTTTTTATATCGAAAGATCTCTTATTATAGAATATTTTTTAAATGCATTTCAAACAAATACGAGTTTTTACAGCAAAAAGGCAGGAACAAGAATTTTTTAACGACATATGCGGCTTGAACTATTTTTTCTAGTTTTATTTTTTGGTTTTTAATTTTTGGGAATTCGGTTCTGGTATAAAAACATTGTCTTCATAGTTACTAACTTAAAAGTTTTTAAATTAATTTTAAAGAAACGGATGTATGTATGCCTGTCAATAATTGAATGTACAATATCTTTACCTGAAATTATTTATTGTAATTCACTTTCAAATATTATGATATTAAAGTACGAAAAATATCTCTTTCCTCTCCTTAAAAAATCAATTAAACTTCTTCACATCCCAATCATTTTGTGCGCTGCTAATATATATACGATGTACATTTGTAAATATACTCAAATCATATAATTCAATTTATGAATTATCAATATTTAAATCAATTAACTATCCTCATTGTACAAATAAAACGCGTACAATTTTCCAAACGTATTAATAAAAATTAAAAATTTAATTTGTTGATTGTGTTGCCTTAAACCCAACCAAATAAAAAATATATGTATATAACATATTTGCCTATTTGTTCTCATAACCAATTGTTGTACGTGTTTACGTACTTAATAATAATCCACCTGCTCGTTTGATTTTGTTGTTTACCTCCCTGTTATGCTCGCCAATAAAAAATAACAAAAAAAAAATTACGCTTTGCTCATCTGAACGATAATTGAAACTGTCATCAAATTTTCATATAAACTTGCAACGTTGTTGTTTATGGCATTAGGCGCACAATGAAGTACATAGAATTTCTAACAGGTTCGCACATCAATCTCGCCGAACAACCGCCTCCTTGTGCATTACAAATTCGCAAATCACGCTCATCAACACTCTTCGATCTTCAGCACGCCAATACGGGCGCAATGGAAGATAACGAAATCATGCATGATTTAATGCGTCAAGAGGATGAGCGTGGTGAGAAGCCCGCAAAAAAGCTACGACATCATATGAAGCGCTTCACACACTCTTCCCGAAATATACTTAACGAGAAATACAATGCTTTTATGCGGAGATTTGGTGAGAGCGTTGAATCTAAGTCGCTTAGCAGCACTTCACGTTCACTTAGCAGTCTCTGCGCTGTCGCAGGCAGTGTAATGAAAGATGATGCTACCACCTCAGATTCGTCGGGTCGTAGTTCGACAGGTACAGCTTATGATTCGCGTCGGAGACAGAGTTTCAAGGCTAAACACAAGATATTCGGCGGTGTTGGTAGTGGTGGCGCCATTGTTTCAAAACCGACCTTTTTACAACGCCAAGGTATAGTGAAGCGTGCCAGCGGTAGCGGCAGTACAAGCGGTAGTGCTGACAATCCGCATGCCATACTGCGTTCGGTGAGTGCCGAATGCAGTGACGGCAGTCGAAGAGGTGCACCAGTTATCGCATCCATATCAGAATATTCGGACAGCACACGTTCCTCACCAAATTTCTACGGCGATAACAGAGATGATATCGATTACGTTGATCATCAATTGCAAGCAATGCTTACACTGCAACGCGCTCATGCCATTCAAAATTACGATTACAATACAACATCGCTGGCGAGTGGTAGCTGTGGTCGTAGCGACAGCAACAGCTGTGTGGATGTGGTGGGTGCCATTGGTGGTTATCATCCGTTTGGTGAGTTCACACAATATGAGCCACAACGGTTGCAGCTAAATGCGCTCCACGACACAGTCACGACTCGTTCATGCTCGCCAAATACGCTCTCATTGAGCAATTCAGAGAGTTCCGGTTCCGAGGTGGAGGTGGAGACAGAGTTTACACATGAACAGACTCGCGGCGAGGAAGAGGAACGTGTGAAAATGGAGAAATATTTGAAAATTTGTAAGGACACGGACGAAGTCGATGCCAAGTGGATACAGCCAAGCGAGTTGGAGAGTTTTGACGACAGTTTGACTGATTTAACGCCACGGCGTTCATTGTTGCGCGACCTGAAGACATTGTCGCAGCATGTACAGGTGCAGTGAGAGTAGAGATTTAGATCAAAAAAAAAAAATATTTCCCAAAAATTTTAAATAATTGCATTTAGTGGTCTGCTATTAGTAGTACATGCAGTGATGTGCATGGTTATAGATTCGAACCCTGACCAGGTCTAAGTCCAAAATTATAGCACATAAATTAATTAAAAATAATATTTGTTGTCGCCCCTCGAAGTGTATACTTGCTGCTCTGGAGAAAAAGTTCAGCTGAAAGTCGCTTCAGCGGTTATAAAAACGCTAAATATAATATAGGGAACACCCAACAGACATTTATTCGAAGGCGACAGGTATTTATTTTTTAGAAAACTCGACCTAAGGGACTGCATTCAGTGCTACCTACAAGCACCGCTGGGCAGGAAGGGCGTACAGACAGGCATTAAACGCCATTCACAAAGAGCCCGTCAACACCTTCATGAACTATCTTCCTGTGAATGGCGTTCTCGAATTCAAACCACCACGAAATACAGACAAAGAGCTCGAGCTGCATCAAGAGTACTGCGTAATACTGCTACAGCTTATTTTGTAACAGATTAAACTCCTACATGTCCAAACTCGACTCCGACATACCTAACGTGTGTCCGGCAATGAGTCCCCGCACGACCCTAACCACCTGTTTGTATGCCCCCTTAAACCGGCTTATCTAACCCGTCCTTACTTCGTTTTTCGAACCCTTCGAAACAGCTCGTTTCCTGGACCTACCGTTAAATGACCTCCATAAATTAGGCTGATTTAGCCTGATCCTAGGGGGGACTGGTAAACCGCTATAGTAATAATAACAAAAACAACTGATTTCATCAAGACTTGGACTGATATCATACTTGACACATATTCTTAATTTGTGAAAATAGCTAAAAGTGGATCAAACCACGTCCGCATCATAGAGTATATGGAAATGAATCGATGAAATCGACTAATTTTTTTACATGAACGTGTTGTGAATGGGAGCAAAAACTTTTTTTCTACTTCGATTCCCTCCACACACCATATACAGAATATTTAGAGCATTGACGGGTCACAAAGTATTTACTCTTTAAAATATGTGTACATTTGAATAAGAAATTCTGAAATTTTCAAAGAAAAATATTCATATCTCGACCATTGTGACGTCATTTCTTGAAATCTCTCGGAAAAATGTGCGCCTGCGTTGTCAGTAGAACTAATGATAGGATCATGTGGAGTGAAAAAAGTTATGTTAGTTAAAAAAAAAAAGAATTTAGTTGAAGGAAAATAAAATAATTGAAAATTAGAAATTTTGGCAAATGGAAATTTTCGTTAAAAAAAACACATGCGAATTTTGGTAATATTTGCCCAACATTTTTTTATAAAGAAATGTGAATGAAAACAAAAAATTACCTTCATCCTATTTCCCAGTTAAATATAAAGATTTTTTGAAGCTGATTTTGTAGCCGTGGTGGGTTTCTTAACCTTAGCGAGGCAATAAAATTTTTCTAAAAAAGACTTTAAAATTTTTGGGAAACTTCAAATTGAGTTAATTAATATAAAACCGATCTGCTCACCTGCCTGCTCTTGGCCATTTTTTTTAGGAGTTCATACATGCCAAGCCGAAAAAAATAGATAAATCACCAATACCTTCGCCACAACAACAACGTCGCACAGCTACTTCACCACAAACAAAGAATGCTTTATTCCTTCAACCGCTTTCAAGCGAAAGCAAGGAATATTACTCTTCACAGCCGGAGATTTGCATTGATTGGGATGGCGATATGTGCGCCTCACCACCAGCCACACACATTTCCCAATCACGCTCGCTTATCAATCTCAGACGCAGCGGCGCCAATTCGCCAACAACAATTAACAATGCTAATGCTCAAGAGCTTGATTTAACTACCACAAAAGATGATATGTACGCCACTAATGCTTATGCCTATGGTTATGTTTCGGATTCAGATTCGAGTTCCGCTTACTTGCCAGTCACCATTAAATCATTCGCCAATAAAGCTAAATGTCCAATATTTAAAATATGCCCTTCCACTCCCTCACCATCAGAGACTGATTTAAAGATACCCTATATAGAAGATGATGCCTCAACTGTGGTTGATGACAGCGCCTCAGAGACCACCGATATACCTACACCGGTTTTAGGCAACAGTACGCTTAGCGTAGACACCGTAAGCGCAGCGACGCTGTTAGACGTTAATGGCACAATAGCTAATTCCTCTGTAACTAGCAGAAAGTACGTAGTAGGCAATACATCTAGTAATGTTAGTAGTCCACAGCGCTCCCCTAGCTCCCCCAATGTTCCCACTCCCAATTATATTGAAGCAAATAAAAAATGTACTAATCATAATAGTAATAATCTAAATTCACACTTGCTCGCACCACCGCCATTGCCATTGCCATTACCATTGCCGTCATCGTCCACGTTATCATCATCGCGTACGCTATCGTCGTCAACGCAAACGCTCGTTTCTGTGCCTGTGCCTGTGCCTACCTCTTCGCCTTGCATATCGCTACCCTGCACCAAAAATCGTCATCACCATCAACGTGAACATCATTCGCATCATGATAGGTCATTGAACGAAGTGAATGCAGCAACCCGAGAAGCATCCAATAACGCCTTGGTAGCGGCTGCTGCCGCCGCAGCTTCTGGCATCACCGATAGTCCCAGCTTGAAGCGTTTCGCATCACCAGCTCAGGCTGCAGTCGTGGCAGCTGCTGCAGCAATGCCGGGCGCCAATACATTAGCCAGCACGCAGCAGTCATCAGCAGTGTTAATGTCCGGTGGAAGCAACAGTGGACGGTCCAAAATTGCAACTAGCCCATCAAAGCTGGCGTTGAATTCAACAGCAACCAATGCAGCAGCGGAATACAACAGCAATGCACCAAGTACGGTCGGTCCTACAAGAACAACAGCAGATACGGCAACAGCGCCAGCAATTGACGGTGCACCAGGAGCCGTGCTGAATTCAATACCGCCCACAGCAATCGCATCAAAGGAATCGCTGCCAACCGAAATGTGTCGACGCTCTTCTGACTCAGACTTGAGCATAACGCCAAAAGGTAAGAGTGCATATTCTTTCTCTGTGTTTTCCTTGTACCGTTGCAGCGCGCACTAGAGTTTTATTGTGTGTGAATGCCAAAGCGAATTTAGTGAAACCTGGTTAAGAGAGAATTCCAGAAAGTACCTTGATTTTCTAGCTTATAGAGTTGCAGCAGAAGTTAGTCTAACTTAAGCATTTAATTAATTGAAGGAGGAGCTCGGCCGAAAATCGCTTCTGCGGTTACGGTTTTCTATGAGGAGCTTTATTTCTTGTCAGAAATACATACTATTGATGGACATTCCCTGCCGAGAGGAGGCCGCAGCTAGCAAATTTAACTTAATTTTTTTTTTATTGAAATTATCATACATTGCTCTTGCTAAATGGACGCTTTTTGGAGGTACAGTCAAGACTATTGTAGTTTTTGTTCTTGTTGTTGTAGCGGTTCGCTGACCGCGCTTAGGTATAGGTTATATTAATCAAAGTCGCCGAGGTCATTTAGTGGGAGGTCCAGGAAACGAGCTGTTTCGACGAGATTAGACCAAAGGGAGAGGGGGTTAGATAAGTCGGTTTAAAGGGGCATGTGAAGAGGTGGTTAGTATCGTGCGGAGACTCTCCACATGCAGGGCATACGTTGGTATGTAAGAGTTTAACCTGCTACAGTATCCAGACCTAAGTTGTGCCAAGGTAGAAGAACGACCCTCACAGGTTTTTGTTTTTCCATTTATAGAGGTTTTTGGGAGGTCAAAGGCCGGGACCTTAACAGTTCATTCTTACTCAGTTCTCAATAAATATATCCAAAAGTTACATAAAATGGTACGAGTGGTATCACTGAGTCATTAAAGGCAAGATGTTGTAAGGAGACGAGTCTGCATTTTTCATTTTGAAAAGTGAGTCTGACAAAACAAGCGTTCATAATCTGGTCATAAATTATTTAATATATTTAAAAAATAATAACTACAAATCTCATCTCTCTGACAAGCAAGTGTGGTGGGTTTTGAAATCATTCACACTAGAACATTTCCACCATCAGAAAAACTGTAAGGAACGTGGTGGGTGAGGTAAAGTTCCTCCAAAAGTTATTTCAGCTTCAACGCCTCGTTGAGGTGACAGCTCGGCATCCAGCGTGAAACAGTGAGACTTAATTGTTTGTCATTTGAGTGTGAAAACAACACCAAAGCAAAGAATAAAAACGGGTTTTGAACGGACTAAATTTTATCAGAATGAACTTATTATTTAGAGAGATTAGAGATTGGAATATTTCAATTGGATATGGTTAAGTCCAAGAAAATTAGTTTTTTAATGATTCATTACGTCCAACACTTTACTAAAATCGTGATTTAGATTGCTTCGGGTGGAAATCTTCTACTGTTTTTTTTTTTCTATCGGCGCAGGCACTGATCATAGTCGAGTTAAAAGCAGCTCCCTAATCGTTCGTTACCTACTGTTCATTCCAACAATGTGGAGGTCTTGCTCTTTCTATGCTTATATCGGCGGGCAATGCATTGAGCGCCTTCGAAGTTGGATGTCCTCAATAGTCTAGAGGTTATCAGTGGATGTCCACAATAGCCGAGAGGATATCAGTGGATATTATCATTTGAAATGCCAGGGTTTAAGTCATGGGACGACCAACATTCGCAGTTATAAAAAAATATTTTTTTTTCTTAATTGCGGTCGCCTCACGAAAGGGACTGCCTAATAATTTGAGGGTATTTCTAAGCCACCACCAGATTGTTTAAAAAACATAAAGAGGCACACTACGAGTTTGAGGAGCTCCAGCTCGGCCGAAAACGCTGCAGCGGTTACAAAGTGCCGATTTTTTTAATAAAGGTTATTCTAAGGTGGACGAAATTATCTATAACTTCCATGTTTTAACCTTCAACAGTGTCGCAGGGTTTGAGTAGCGAAAGCGCTGACGGTTTGTTTGATCACAGGAGATATTGCGTGTTGTCCGCGATCACTACCAGGCTCATTCGCTTGGCTTCCTTATGCAGTTTTGTAGAAAGCATAACTAGTTAAGCTCTATGACATTAATGTGATCGTCATAGGAACAGAACTGAAAATTAGCGTAAAACTGTTGAGCCACGGAAAACTGGCACAGCTCAAATCCTTAGCGGTTCTTCACAAAAAATAGTCAAATCGGAGCTACTAGCTGGTCGTGCGGCAGTTTGGTTTGTTAACGTGACTGCCGTGAGGAAAAATGATTTCGGTAAAACTTCTCATCTTCCGCTAAGCGATATTCAGTCCTTTGAGCGAAGCGAAATCCCATCGTATGGTGAAGAGACTTCTGTTTTCAAGCCAATTTGATTTTTTAAACCTCTATACCGAGGTTCTCATGCAAAATCATGCGCAAAATTTTTAATTCTTATGATCGGTGTCAACTTGATTGACATTTTGAGCTACAACGACATTGGGCAAAAACTTACCCGAGTTGTTTTGTCCGATAACGAGACGGTTTACAGAACACGCTGCACAAGTTGATCCACAAGCTGCTAGAAGGCGAGCGATTTTGTAAATAAGATTTCAATATTTGTCAATTTTTCTAAAAGCGTCAGACTTCGCCGTTTCGTAGACCGCAAGCCTTGCACTGAATATTTGACACATCAGGAATGTCATTAAAATTCTTAAAGTTCAAGAGAAAAAGTAATATAAAAAGCAAACGGTATACACTATGGTCCGCACCTTATATATGACGGGTTTTCCAATAAGTTGTGTTATTTCGATATTCAAAGAAACTTTTCATTTAAAAGATCGATGATGGTTTCGTTGGTTGTGTGGCATCCAATTGCGGCCATGAAAAATCGTTCATCATATCTCCACAGCGCTCCATCCTCATTTTCGAAAAATTAAGGTCCAATTACCGCGCCAGACCACATACCGCACGAAACAGTTACACGTAGAGGATGGGGAGGCTTTTGAGGAAGAAATTTTGTGCTTTCCGAGCGACAGATACGAGAGGTTTGCTTATTGGTTTTTCGATGAAATTCCGGATAATTTTCAGACATTCCATGGACCAAATCATCCAAAGACACGACGTTGTTGATGATTGGCTGGGTTGAGTTCTTGTGCAACTAAACTATTTTGGCCTTAAGACATAAGTTTTTATGCAAATTATGGTCTAATGACGTTTTTAGAATGCCCAATTCCAAATAATAACTGGGAATGGACGAACCTAGGTTTTATTCAACACTTTGGGGTACAGCGGTAGTGTTCTGAGTTGTTCTTGAGCGACCTGTGCGTGTCTTATTCTTCACATCACTAACTTGTCCCGACAGCTCCATTTTTTCCAACAATTTCTGTATTGCGGTCCGACAAAGTGCTTTACCACGATCGAAAAATGTTTTAGTTATACAAACCGTCTCTGCCAGATTTCCGCCATTTTTATAGTTTCAATGTTCATAATTCATAATTCAATGTGCTGTTGAAGTGCGTAGTTTTTACTTGTCAAATGTCAAAAAAAAAAACGGTTTCAAAGATGACATCTACCGCAAAAGTGGGCTATTCAAAATTATATCTCTTATTGGAAAACCCTTAATAAATTTGTTATGGTCGTGAGAGATATAAATACTTCGGCCCGATCGAAGACAGATCTTCTTACTTGTTTTTCTTTTTAATTTTATGCGAGTAATTCGCCAAACGTTCTAGTTGTAATTTAATTCCATTGAAAATGCTAGAGCAATATCTATGCCAATGATTTCAAAAAAAAAATACATACATACATTCATACATACATATAAGTTTATTTAAATAATACCCTGCCGTTTATTCTCTCCCCATGCTATCCGCATCTATATAAAAAATTGTAAAACTTACAGTTTTCCATCGCAAAAGTAAGTAGAAATAAGAAAACAACAAAAAAAAAGTCTTAGGTGTCTTGTGTCTCTCTAACATAATTCTTTGTTTTTGCGCTCGCTCTACGTAATTTACCCATAAATAATATTGTTGTAATGTGTAATACTTTTTTCGCTATACTTAAATACTCTTACATTTGTTCATATGTATGCATACGAGGTGTGTTCAAAAAGTATCGCGAATTTTGAATTTTCGCGGGCTACATATAATCGAATTTCTATTTTTTTTGTGGCGTTATATTGGTACTCATGTCTGTCACTTATGCCGAAAAGCTCGGCCATTTTGAATGTTCACTTAATTGTTAACAGCTGCTTTGCTTGCACGTGTTTTGGATGGTCTTCGATTTTTACCTATTCAAAAAAAAAGGATCAAAGAACCTGTATAAAATTTTCTGTGAAAAACGGAATTAAGTACGCGGATGCATTCCGAATGTTGACTGTGGTATACGGAGAACCTACCTTGGCCCGAAGCAACGTTTATCGGTGGTACAAAATGTTCTCAGAAGGCCGAGAAGATGTGAACGACGAAGAGCGGGCCGGACGCCCGAGCACTTCAACAACAGACGAAAAAATTAATTGCAGGGACGTGGTGCATCATGAGGTCTTGCCAGAGGGTAGAACGGTCAATAAGGTGTATTACCTGCAAGTTATGCGCAATTTGCGCGAAGCATCCGCCAGAAACGCCCGGATTTGTGGAAGAACAAAAATTGACTTTTGCACCACGATAACGCCACTGCTCACACATCGTTGCTTGTGCGCGACTTTTTGGCCAAAAACAACACTAAACTGAAGAGCCTTATGAAAGGACGACGTTACGCTACGATTGACGAGATAAAGATGGCATCGAGGGAGGAGCTGAACAAGATAGAAAAAAATGATTTTTTGAAGTGCTGCGAAGATTGGAAAAACCGTTGGCACAAGTGTATAATATCTCATGGGGATTACTTTGAAAGGGACAAAATAGATATTCATGAATAAATAAATAATTTTTGAAAAAACACAAAATTCGCGATATTTTTTGAACACACCTCGTACCTATGTATGAACATGTGTATGTACTACCTTCGGTGAATTGCTTGTAAATCTGATAAGTGTCCACTTGTTTTGAAACATTTTCTAAGTAATAATTGGTGTTTACTACTTTAACTCTTTTTCGATGTTTTTTCGGTGTTTCCTATGTTATGCCAGATAAACACTTGTCATATAATACACACAATAATGTTTAATTAAATTACGATAATCTTAGACAGAATCAACTCTTGAGTATTAAAATCTTTCAACCAGCAGTACTGACACTCGTACTTGGTGTTGCATATTAATTACATCAAATTAACACTAATAAATTTCTCTTTTTTATACACATTATACGTTACATATATACGTGTAAATAACCCTGAACTATTTTTGAACTATTGATCCAATAAATGTACTGAAATAAAATGATCGAAATCGGACGAAGGCGAGATGCTACCATAAGTTGGAACTAACTTGATGCTATGGACAGAATAAAACCGAATTCGGAAGACGAATTCTTATGCTCGACTGCTCGACAGTGCATACGAGTATACACAGTACATTAGTACGTTAGGCTACGGAAGGCCTAAAATATGACAAATTCCTTGTGTCACTCCCATCCCCATATATAGTAAATTTTACAAACTGTGATACTCGCGATGATTCAGTATAGACGAGGCATCCTTTTTATGTTCGCGTTGTGGCGGATAATGGGTTGCAATAAGCAACGAAATTTGTTTGCCTTTTCAATATACATATTCACCGGCAAAAGACGAATTCATTTTCCAGTTCCTTTAATTAATTTGTTTATATTGTCTGAAAAAAAAACACGATCCAGCATCCTTGACTTCATCATCGATGATACGTTTTTACTACTGAACTCTTTTTTTTAACTTTGGAAACCTGGAAATAATCTCTCAAGACCGGGCCAGGGCTGCAGAGTAGGTGCTTCAAAATATCGATACAGATGGGTCTTGTGGGTGGGTGCATTGTCGTGAGAAAATAGAACATCTTTCATACATTTTTCCCACCTTTTCTCTTCAATGGTTTCTTTTCAGTCGCTCTAATATTAAAGCGTAATAATCTTCCGTTAAAGAAACACCTTATATTTGTAATCGTTCAATATAATTCCTTTCCAAGTACCAAGTACCAAAAGACTGTTCCAATGAGCTCCACAGCCGACAGTAACACCTTTAACTTCTTGGCAGCGTTTTATGCCATTGGCAGCCTCATATTGATGAAACCAAGTTTCGCCTGCAGTAACAAATCAACTCAATACTCACCAGCCGTCTCTTCATTCAAACCACTATAATGAATCTCATCTTTAATATCTCGTAGGTCTAAAAAAGCACGTAAATATTCTACGCGCTATTGTTTTTGCGGAGCCGTTAGACTTCTCGGTGTCGATCCATCTTACGCTGATCAAATCATGCGGGATTTTAAAAAAAAAAATTTTAATCGGTACTTAAAGCATTTCTGCGAGGTCCTCCTTTTTTGGGGTGGTCACCACGATACTCCTACCCCGTCGAATTGTGGACTTAATATTAATATCAGCCTAGTATCTAGTACTCGGCTCCCCCAAAACTTACGTCTCCCTTACTTGTTTAACCTAGGATCAGAACCCATTCTTCCGCATATTTGTAATGGTCGTTCCTTACTTCTTTTATATGGTAGCGTTTCCTTGTCTTTTATAGTCGAGTCGGATCAACAATAGTGTGCCAGTCGTTTCTTCTTTTCACAGATCGGCAGAAAATAACAAGCAAAACCAGGTTCCTCTACACTTCATTTAATACCAAACGACTGGGAGATGTTATTCCTAGTTCTATCAAAACTTATGGTGTTGCCCAGGGTCAGTTTGCACAACCGTATAAAATTTGCGGCATAGTTGCAGCTATTTTTCGGGCTTTTCAGGGCTGCAGAGAGAATCTAGGTCTATACTCACACTGATAGGTTAGATAGAACCATATTAGCTGAACAGCGGGGCAGTTCTTAGCAAATTTGACGTGGCCGTGGTCGAAATTACAAGGTGGCTGTTGGTTTTTTATTTGGACACATTTACATATATAGCGAGCCGCAAACCGTTCTTAGCCGTACCTCTGGTAAACCGATATCAACAATAAATCATTATCAGCACTGGCATCTTTTCGTCTATAAAAATGATCATAGAATAGCTAGAGTAGGTGTTAGATTTTACTTCGCTGAATATTAATAAAGTCGTGATCCACAAACGGCATATACTCGTATTAGACTTTCTTCTCACTGTTCCTATTAAATATACAAATATTTATTAAGAGCTCCTGACACTATCATGTAGAGCTAAGAAGTTTAAAAAGATGCATTCCACGACCCTAAAAGACTTGGTAAAGAAATAATAAAAAAAAACCGTCTGCTCTACTAGTATCTTTGCATGTACTTAGTATGTATGTCTGGCATGTCCTACCAAAAGAATTGAGAAAAATTGTCGTTCCTTCTATATAACTACGAATTCGTCGTCTACGTATATATGTATGTATGTATGTAATTCTATTACAAATCTAAATAGTTGTGCTCCTGAATGTTCCCAATGTCTTAAGCCAATACACCGTCACATCCGTACACATACTCACATTGTCTTAGAATCTCTGGTAATATGTTGATGAATGTCAGACCTAAGTATTTAAATAATTTAACATTTTTATAAATAACTTATACTTACTTTACTCAACTTCACTATAATTTCATTATGTCCGGTGCAGGAAACTCATTGTGTGTGGCCAGTGAACGTTTGGTAGCCGCCACAGCGATGATGCGTCTCAATCAACCGTTAGGCGGTAAAACTTCCAACGCCGAAGGCATGGATGGGCTGTTGGAGTATCCATTTTTGACCATGACAAAGTATCCACAAGGCTTCATATTGCATTTAGGAACCACGGTAGCGGCGCGTTCGGTGAAATTGCTAGAGCGTGTCCCGAATCCTGATGAGCCGGAGGTACGTGACTCCTGGTGGACGGAATTGCGCATGGAAATACGCTCGCATGCGCGTTCACTTGGCTGCAATGTGGTGCTGGGCTATTCGGAAGCGACTACTATATCGTAAGTTGAAATTTTAAGTGTTTTGTTTGTAGTTAAAGGTTGAAGGTAACACAGACTCCTCCTATAACGTATTATATATGTATATGAATCAAACAAATTAAATCCTTTCGCTCATTTCAGTGACGATGTTTGTGTACTGTCCGCAACAGGCACAGCTGCCGTCATTAATATGGCCTACAATCGTTCTGTATCGCAAACTGATATACTCACCACAGCGGCGGTAAAGCCAGTAGGCTTTGGCATCGGTATGGGCAATGCAGGCACCGTAATATCCGGCTCACTTGAGGAACGAGAAATGCTCAAAGATATGCGAAATGGTACTGCGAACGAAGCAATTTCATCGATTGCCAAAGATCCGACGATGTCATCGTCTTTAGGTGCCACCATACACGGTTTGGCAGGCAAGAAAAATGCCATACCGACAAGCATGAGTTTAATTAAAAATTCCCCATGCAGCGTCTGTCATGTACCATATAATCTTGCTTCGGTGCCGTTCAATGTTAAAATGAAGAAATGCGCAATATGCCGTAAAGGACGCGTGCCGGATGTACTCTTGGCTACACTTGAAGTGCCAGAACGGTTGCATGTGACCGGTCGTGGTTGTTTCATGCAAGCACAAGTGGTACGCGCCAAAAAAGACTTACGTTCCGAACTAAATGCTAAAGAGATATCCGATGGGCTACCATTCTTGGAATATGAATTACATCGTGTATTAATCAACAAATTGAAAGCCAAAGGAATGAATGCAATATTTGGTTTGAGAGCCCAAGTAGCTATTGGTGAACGTATGATTGCGCTGATAGCAACGGGTACAGCACTATTTTTAACCGCGCTGCCAGTGCCGCAGGTGCCAAAGATTGTGGCGGGTAATTCTTGGACGGACAAACAGAAATTGAATGAACTGCAAAAGAAATTGCAGGAGACGTTCGAACGCAATCAGGAAGTCTATCAGCTCAAATGTATTGATCCCGATTTGATGGGTAGTGGCGTGCCGCAGGTGGACAAGCATTCAGATACTGATGAGTCGGATGACGAGGTGATTGAAATCGATTTGAATTGTGGCAATAAAGACACCTGTGTATTGGAAGTGGATGACATAGAGGATTTGGAAATTATTTCTTTGCTCATGGAAACGTATCCACCAGAAGGTTTTCACGTGGTCAACACGCAAAGTGTACCCGGAATGTTAGATATCGAGGCGGTAAAAAATCTGCAAATGTTTACGCAAGTATGGCGCGCAAAATTGGATGTCACTCAAAATATTAACGGCTTCCCCAAACACTTTCAGCGGTGAGTATAATTTTGATATGAAAAAATTATCAGTTAAAATTAATCTTTCGACTTTTAATTTACAGAATTTTGCAGACAATTTACTTTAAACTGCGTACAATGATACCCTGTGCAATTTGCGATCTTAGATTTCGTTTAGATCTACCAGAAAGTGTTAGTATTTGATGTTGACGCACTTATGCGTACATACATATGTACATATATACAAAACTCCACCATTTCTACTACATAAGCACACTAATTTTTAAATCTTTTCCAAATGCACAGGATCAGATACAACTACTTGTTACTGGCATAGCACTCGGCTTGGGCGATGCAAATAAATTTAAATATCGTCGTAAAGCTACCGCTACCAGTGGCTTCACCAATGGCACAACTGCTGACGCGCCAGATGCGAATGGTGCGAATACGGGAAATAAGCGTACGCTACAAGAAGAGGATTACATTTTCCCATTGGACGAAGATCAAATGGTAGAGACGCCAACACCGACATCAAACCTTCCCCCGTATGGCTTGAATAGCTTTAAAATGGCGAAAACATCACCGTCTCGTCAGCAGAGCAAGAAAGGCGCTGTAGTTAGTAATCGCAATTATTACGTGAGCATAACTTCTTAATACTATTCTTATAGTAATACTGTTATATTAACGTTTTTCTTTTTGTTTCAGTTCCCGCTACGCGATCGATATGGAGTGGATATTACACCACTTAGTTTTATACCAGGTGGACGTATAGAAAAATATTTGGGTAATTTAAATTTCTTCTTTATCCGCGAGACGACGTCGATACGTGAGAATGGTGGTATTAGCGGTTTTGTGCATTCGTTTATAACGGAGGTGAGATTTTGATAAAGATCTATCTATTATAATAAGTATATACACAGCTATTTTAGCAATCTTTTCTTAAATCTTACTCTTCTGCGTTATTCACTTCATTTGTTTTAGTTCTATCATTAGCATGAAATAAGACTACTTTTATTATTTCGAGTACATCATAATCTCTGCCATCCCAGAATTTATTTAACAATATTTTTCTGTTCGCCTTTTTCATAGAAACGTGATATCTCAATAACCCGCTTTAACAGCCAGAAACAGTTCGTTCGTTTAGTTAATATTTTCGAAAGTACATAACCTTAATGAAATTTTCAAAACTAAAACGAGTACTTATTACTTGCTAAGGCTTTCAAGTGTTGATATAAATTGTTTAAAAAGAGAAAAAATTGTTAAAATTTATATCTGAATGAAATAGTAGTTAAGTTAATAAAATGTCACAGAAAAAGAATTTTACTTAATTAACACGATCGTTGTGGTCCCGTACTTCAATAATTCCTTTGAGAAACACACTCGTAGAGTCTTTAGAGGTTTGAAATTTTCAAGAATATAATAATTTGGCTTATTTCAATAGGCCCTAAAAATAGAAGCAAAACCTTTTCTCTGATATAATCAATTTTTTTTTTTTTTTCAAATTGTCTACTACATGATGGTATAATCGTATATCTTTTTTTTTTAATTTCAGTTACTGGCAGTGGTTCGTGCACACATATCCGCGCTCGGCGGTAATGCTATGGTATCATTCTATATGAGCGAACTAATTTTAGTTGATAATCAGCATAAAAATCAAGTAAGCTACATAAGCACAAACATTTTCATATTATTATTAATCTTCTTGTCTATTTTCCAACACAGGGTCAATGTTTAATCAGCATTGGTGGTGATGCTGTCTACGTTTCCTATCACACCGATGACTGATATACACAACTAAAGGGTATCTAGCGCTTATTTTTCGTCAATCGACCGAAAAGTCTTTACTATTAGGCACACGTATAGTGTCTAAATGGGACACGCTCAATTCAAAAGAAAAGAAATAGATAAAAGAAACCGCTAATCAAAACGTGCTTTACTGAAACTATAATTGTTATCTAATTGATTTATCTAATATACAACAGCTTGTTTTTTTTTCTTTGTAAATGTTCAATATCCCTAAAAGCTGCTACAATATTATTATAATATTATTATGTGTATACTTTATGCTATAGTCCAGAAAGTTGTATACGCGGTTTTGTATTTAAATACTGGTAAATATTTGAAATTGAATATTTCTATTCCATGTCGAAATGCATGCTCACGCTCTCTCCGAAAAATATAAATGGCGTACAAACGTACAAAAAAAGAACAGTGTTCACGTTATTTGTTTGTTTTTTTTTCGCTGCAATCGGATTCAAGCCATTGTGATTTGCTATAAATATTGTACTTAAATTACGCGTTGCATATTAATACATAAAAATTTGTTAATTTTGAAATTTTAGTAGAGAAAGCAGTAGTTATTGCATAATATTTTAAATAAATGAAATGTAAATACCCGAAATTTTTTAAATTATCTTGAGCAATCAATGAAAATAAGATGAATTTATTACGAAAATTTAAATTACAACCTTCAGGCAATTAGGAGACTCTCTTTAATTAATTTATACACAATAAAAAACTAAACTTCAATAATTAAAAAAATATAAAAACGATATTATAGTTAGATATGCGTTTATGATAATGAAGTAAGAATTTGTTCATTCAATTGTATTGATGTAATTGTTTATGAATTCTTTAGTTTTTATGAAAGACATTTTTCACTCCCAGATTTTTTAATTTAATAAATAGTTCAATTACTTTCGAAATATAGAAAAAATGAAAAAGCTTATTTAACGGTTTTCTTGATAAAATAAAAATGTCAGATGTTATTTTATGTTAAAAATGACATTGTAGTCACTTTAACTGTCTACTGAACACAATTTACAAAACGTTGTTGGTTAATACAATATTTTGTCTTAAACTACTATTAGGATTTATTAACCCTTTATTTATTTGCCAATACAAAAGTCTTTAAATACCACATCCAAAATATCATCCGAACTGACATGGCCTGTAATGCGTTCAATACATTTAAGAGCGTTTCGCAGCTTTTGTGCCGAAATAGCGGTATCTGGGAAAATATCGGGCGCATATTCATCAAGAAAAATATTTATATGCTCTATACAACGTTCGAGTTGTTGGCGATATCTCTCATGTGTAATGCGTGGATGTTCCGCAGTTGGTTGGCCACATCTGTAAGTGAAAAAAATAAAATAAAATAAAAATAAAAATTTACAGTAAAATAGTTTTTAACGTACAGTTCTCGTAAAATTCCTTCAAACCCTTTTAAAAACGGGTTTACGACATCCGCTTTCGGTTGCTTGCAAGATATACAAAATAAGTTATAAATTTTCATCAATTTTTGCAATTCTTCCGGCGAGAGTAAATCTATTTTGTTGGCTATTAGTTGTATACGTTTATCAACCAATGAATTGACGTCCAAATCTAATTGCTTGAGGTAGGCTACTTGATATTCATGAAGTGAACATTTTAATGTTGTTATATTTTTTAGCAATTCACGAGCATCGGTTAGTAATAGAATAAGGTCAGCATTCTGCAAACATTCTTTTGCTTTACCAATGCCTTTCAATTCAACAATGTCGTCTGTATTTTTATGCAAACCAGCCGTGTCTGCAAATATAACGGGATAACCACCAAAATTATGGGTACTCTCAATGATATCACGGGTAGTGCCAGCTATTGGCGTAACAATGGCAATTTCTCTTTGACAAATCATGTTTAGCAAACTACTTTTCCCTACATTCGGTGCACCAATTATGGTCGTACGCACTCCATTCCTTAGTAATTCACCTTGCCTTTGATCGTTCAAATGGTTACGTATTTCGGATATTATTCGCCGCAATTCTTTTGACAATTGCAATACAACGTCGTCTTCTATATTTTCTTCTTCCGCAAAATCTATATAGGCTTCCAAATGTGCGGAACAACGTATAAGGCGTCTGCGCCAACTGTCGTAAACTCGTGAGAGTGCACCGGAACTTTGTAGTAGGGCCTAATAACAAATGAGCAAGTTATAATTGGGAAGAAATGATTGAGTAAATATGACATTAAACCTGCTTCCGTTGCGCTTCGGTTTCAGAATGTATAAGATCCGCTAAACCTTCCACTTCAGTTAAATCAATTTTTCCTCCATAGAAAGCACGCTTAGTGAACTCCCCAGCTGCGGCTGGTCGAAGCCCCTCAACAGTTCCTAACGCATCCAACATAGCTGCTACTACAGCTAAGGATCCGTGCACTTGAAATTCGCATGAATCTTCACCAGTGAATGATGCGGGACCTGGAAACCACAAAACTAGTCCTTTGTCTATTACTTCTTTGGTTTTTGGATGATTGAAGGACTTGAGATAGGCATAACGTGCTTTTAGTTCACGCCGAGAACCGATAATTGCCTCCATGGCATGCCTAGTTCGTGGACCAGATACGCGAATAACGGAGACTCCACATTTGCCATATCCTGAAAGTTTCACTCCATTCATTTATTGCACATATTTAATAGACAATAACACTGACCAGAACTTAAGCTAAAAATTGTAGAATCAGCTATATTACTAGCTACGTTGCTTGAGCAACGATTGACATATCGGAAAGTTCTGGCTACTTTATGTAAATAAATCATTTTTGAATTCATCGCATTATAATTGTTATTGAAACCAATGCACAAGATTTTGAAAACAAAATAAACAAACACTTTTTATGCAACTATCTATATACATACATACTTATATGAATATCATCTGATTAAAAATGGCAGTGGTGTACGATTATGATTTCTTACCGATATATAAAGTTCGCTATCAATGATGATTGAAATAACCATCTTCAGCATTTTCAGTACGTTATACGTCTTCGAAGACATTGAGAATTGCTTTGTTTGTTTCCTCAATTACCAAAGCGAATTACATCGTTCACCATGCATCCATTTGACAGTTCTCTTTTAGATGGAATTAAATTGGAGATGATTTCTTAATTTCTCTCCTAGAACAAAGGAAAATTGTCAAATACATGCCGAATTTCATAATTCACGAAAAAAATATGTAAAACTTGGATAGCTTATTCTCAATTACCAGAAATGAAAATAATATATACATCACCAATTTCAATATTTTATGAACTTTTATTAAAATCTTATCGATTGTGAGGATCAAGAATGGGATTTTTTTTTTAAATCAAATGATATTTCATTGGAAAATTCAATGGCAACATATTTTTCCCAATTCCCTTTTGCTCCAATTAGCCTTTCGAAAGTTACTTGTCAGACGGTGTGTATGCGTAAGCAGTCACACAGAAATATTCGCGGCGTGGAGAAAAATAAAATTTAGCACTTTAAAAGGTGAAAATACATTGTACTTTGGAAATTATATAAAAAGTTGAAGGTGAAACATGTGTCTGTATTATATGTTTTAAAATTGTGTGAAAGTAATACGCATTTTAAGAGAAATCAACTTCCGAATTGCAATGAGTTTTGATGACCTACGATAGTGTTGGTCTAAAATGGCGTCGAACATCATTTAGTTAAATGGCGTCCTAATAAAATGAACTGAAATACATTTTCTATAAAACGAAAATAAAATTACCATCGTATTATTTCAAGTTTTGTGTGTATTACAATTTGGATTAAAAATAAAAGAAAAATCTTTATAATATTTCAAAATATGGTGCAATATTTGTAAGCAAAAGGAAAAAAGAGAAGTGTGAAGAAGGAAGGTGTTACGAGAATTGTAAAAATCAAATGACTCGTCGTAATCGCATTCGTTGACTTCGCATTTGCCGCTGTGTGTGTGTGTGTCGTAAATTTGTGAAAAGCGATGCGGGTAGTAAAAATTAACAAAAGAGAACAGAGAAAATAAGCAAGTGAAAAAACAAAAAGTGCGTAAAAGTCGAAAAGGCGGTTTGTTAACGTCATCGTGTTATTCTGGTAATTGTAATTATGTATTAAATATTAGTTTATGTGAATATATATGTTTTTATGTGACTGATTCGTTGTGTGTGGATATATTGACTCGGGGGGAAAACTCCTAATAGATATATGACAACCGAAGGCAAGTTAGAATTTTAATTTCATACGGCAACCAGATCAACAACCTTGGAATTTTACCCGAGGCTTGCGTTGCCAGATCATAAGGTAAATAGCAAAGCTATTCTTCGCATAGTGTAATCTGAAAATTTCGAGGTTCTGGATAATTAAATTAAAAAACAAAGAAAGCTCTGAGTTTTGACAATAAAAGCAATTGAAATGATTGTATCTATATGTTATATTTTATTTTTTTTTGTGTGAGGTCAGAATCTCACTATATTGTTTTGGGGAAATAAAAGGAATAGTGTATAATCAGTTGGCAGCACGGTTTAAAAATTTTCATTCAACTTTTTTTTTTACCCTACGTCGTAGTTTATAAATGTGTTTTTTTTTCTTACACAGATTTGTATTCTTTCAAGGTACTTATATGTTTGTGTTTGTGCATCTGCATGCCAGTGTTGTCTGTTCACTGTCTGCTTTTTGTTGTTGGTTATCCTATTTGCTCGTCCGGCCATTCTTATATGTGGTGGGAATGTATGTATGCGTTTTCTTTTACTTCACATTTGCCAATTTTTGCAAATATAGTATATATTTGTTGTTACGAACTGTTGAATTCGGCGCGGTGGTGTGTGACGTGTGGGGCGCGGTCGTCGCGCATTTGGACAACTATTCATGTAGTTAGCGTGTGAAGGAGGGAATCGCATTGCAAAAATTTAAAGGCATGGCTAAGAGAAGCACGCGAACAGACGCTGTGATCTTGTAATAAAAGGTTTATATGATGCACCTACATCTACATATATGTATATACATATTTATGTACACACTCGTTTGTATATGTTAAGTGCCGGCGCTACTGTCGCCGGCATTTTCTAATACATTTTGTTAATTCGATTTAGTTTTTTTATGTTTTTATTATCAAACTAATACAATATATCGACATATACACATATGCATATGTGCATTCGTACAAACAATTCTAATTTAAAATTTCTGTAACGATTTTCCTATGTACATATGTACATACATACATATGATATACTATAAATATGAATATTAGGCTGGTCGCTTTGCTTAACTGTAAAGTAGGGTAATTGTGCTAGTTGCCGTTAATTTCAGATAAATTATTGCAATATTTTATACATGAATTATTATTTATTGCTAAGCAGCACCAGTACAATCTTTTAGAAGATTTTACCTTCTCTACGCTGTCTGGAACATCGTTTATTCTTCTCAATCCTGACGGAGCTTTTAGTGTTGCTTAACGTCAGTTTACATAACGGTCATATATAACAGATTTAATTAGATATGATGGGATTTCGTTTTCCCCTATAACACCTAAATATGTACAAATAAACCTTGATTCCAAAATCATCGAGTTCAGAAATCTTCATCACATATCCCCCTTAAAAAATTATTCAGATATGTGTATTATAATTTAATCCTAAAATGCAAAATCTTGAATTTAATCTGGTCACAGCGGGTACGGCTGGAGAAAGCTCTCCTGCATAGAGGATGCTTATGGGTATGTATGTGTGTCTAATATTTCTAGAGGAAATTTTCTTTTATTGAAGTAGTATTGAAGTTAAAATTGAAACTACTCAGTTAAATTATAATATAATTTATTTTTTATTTTTTATGCATATCCATATTATCAGACTATATAATTTTCACCATTCAATTATTTCAGTAATCATTGTATTATTATATTTTATTTTATTTTAGTTTACTTTATTTTCTACCAACACACACAGTTTATGGTGCGTTATTTATTTGACCTGCAGATGGCCCAGTAATAAAAGCAATAAAATAATGCCAAAATAAAAAAAAAAATTAAAGTAAAAAAGAAAATCACTAAAATTGTACAATGTTGCAATGTTGTGTTGAGTAGTTGTAGATTGTGTTGTTCTTTCAGTTTTCGTTTTTCTCTTTTTTTTTTTTTTCTAATACTTCGGCGCCACAATAATACATCTCGCGGTCCGCATTGGTGCGCGTCAATGACTATGAGTATGAGAGTTTTTCATTTCTGCAGTCTGTGAAAGTCGAAATTGCTTGACTTGGCCCGTTTGTTCGCAAAGTGTTTGAGAGGATGGATGATACGTTCTATGTTAATGTTAATGAGGGGAGCGTCTCTTGAAAATAAGACAAGAATTTTTCCTCACCTATTTACCGTCAAGCGCATATTTTCCTCTTTCGTTTAATTTCTTTAGTATAAATTAGTATTCTTAAAGTGGGTTTCTCCCCTATGACTAACTGTATGGCTGGTAAGCTAGCTATCTGCATACATACATATGTACATACGCGTACATACATATAACCTCTTTGTCGTATGCATCGAGTGCTAGGTGCATTTTACACCACACTTTAAGAAACCATGAAGCGTCGACGCTTTCTTTTTATTTTAATTTTTTTTTTAATTTTTTTTTGATTTTTTTTTTCTGATTTTTGGGTGCTGTGCTTGCGTGCCATTGTGGCCATTACAATTGCAACAAAGCGTCAATCGTTCATTTTTATTTACATACATGCCGGCATGCCACTCTATATTTATACATATGTACATATACATATACTCCTATAGATGTACATACATATGTATGTGTGTGCTTTTAACTATCTAAATGCGCGGTGCAAGTTGCCAATGAGTTCAGTGTTTGCATTCATTGATACAGCTTTTCGGTATGTCAGTGTTTTATGTGCTGCTTTGACAGTCTGCGCTGTTCTGATCTATTCTTGTTGGCTGCCATCTTAGTCTGGCGGTGTCTGCAACATCAATTCCTTTATAGTGTTTGGCGCGGCAAGTATTTCAAAAAAAAATAAAATAAAAATTCCAAAGAAACCACGAAAGGGGAAACAGTGTATTTCTCATTTATGCTTTCGGTTTGTTTTATTTTCATTTCAATTTTTTTTTTATTTATATTTCATTTTTTGTTATTCTTTGTGAATTTGTAGCTCTTTTAGTATTACTGATTGCGAATTTCAGAATTTTACGATGTTTTGACGTTAGTTTCAACCAATATCCACTGAGGCGTTGTATATTGACTGTGAAAGAAGTAACAGCGGTAGATCCTGCGTTTGTCCGTCTTGATGTCTTTTTTTTTTGCTTTTTTTGCTTTTTTTTTTGCGGAGAAAACAAGGTTTTTTATATTTGCAATAATTATTAACGGGTTTATGGTTGTAATTGTTAGCTGCCGCAACATACGTGTAGTTTTAATACGCTGCAATCGCAGAGAGCTACCAGATTTACGTTACCAAAAATTGAAGGGAAATAATCCAACAAATTTGAACTTCAGTCAACGGGAAATATTTTAAAGAAGTTTTACATTTTTTTATTTATGTTAGCTTTTCATATTAAGAGCTTCATATCCTGCTTCTGTTGCAAATATCCTTTCGCAGTCTTGAGGCAACGCTTTTTCTTGAAACATTAACCTGACGTTGGTTGGTTGATTGGTTAAAGTGGTAGCCGGGCATCAGCTCGTCACTGAAGATTCTAATGAACCCCACCCGTCATTCGAAGAGAAAGTGCATTAAGGTTTGAGGTTCTTCTTACCTGCAATTTCTGCAGAAGTCGTTAATATCCTTGCGTGCCTGCAAAATATGTATGCTTTGTAACAGCACCCATAATCTCCTTTCTATTTGGCTCGATAAGATCACATGATTACCCAAGCCAGGTTCAAACTTGACGATGAGTTGAGTTGTGTTGATGCGGTTGCTGGTCAAACCCTAGCACACATAGGCCAATAGACCCATTGTGATACCCCTGAGGCTGCTACCTTCACCTTCTCAAATGATCGCTCCCTGGTCGGGGGCATTGCATTGGTGTTTTCCCACTCCCATCTGTTTGGGGTTCTGGTAGAGAAAAGCATATCGAAGCATACACTGGAGGTGGTGTAGTCCAGCTCCTTCGGCAAATTTGACGATAGTTTTACTTAAAAAAAAAAAAATTAGTAAAACTATCATAGTTTTTTTTTTTTGTAAAACTTGACGATAGGAGCTATACGATACGAGCTATATCCTAAAAGAAAGTGAACTGAGGCTGATTCTGTAGGAGGGATTTTATTTATGTCATGCTGGCCAGACTTCTCATCTCGACGTGAGAGGAGGTAATGCATGAGGGTGAGAAGTGGACGAATGGATTGGGGAAAACCACTTCGAGGAAGGTATCAAAATATTGACAACCCGCTTCACCACCTACATAGAGTAGAATGGGGACTATGTCGAAAAGAAGAAATAGAGAAAACATATATGAGTATGGTGAGTATGTACTAAGATACGACGTAATTTTGCGTTTAGATAAACATGTTAAAAAATTACAAAACTTTAGTACACTTAATCTCTGGATATGCCACGTATTAAAGACTCAGTACAGAGTGTTTGTCGCTCCATGGTTATCTGTAAAACTTTGTATTTCTTTTGGCTGTTATATTTTGTAGCTGTTGATGTTGTTGTTGTTGTTGTAATAACCGCAAAAGCATTCTCCAAATCGGTTTTGGGGAAACCCGGGGGAATTTCAGTTCCTGAGCGGATAAAAATCCAGGTCGTTTCTGTATAAACACACGATTTTCACGGGATTTGAGTCGTCTCTTACGACAGAGGCCTTATCTTTCTACGCCTCAAGAATATTATCCTAAACTTTTCATGTCGATCCGAATACAATTTTGGGAAATACAACATTGGGAAATTCTTCTGAGGATTTATCGGAAAGTGCCATTGTAGGAATTTAATTTAACGTTTATAACTTATTTTCAATTTTTCAGTTTTTTGTTACTGAATTTTTGATTTAAAATATTTTCATTTTCTGAATTATTATAATTTTCATCTTGAGCAATTCATATATTTGAGATATATTTCCGTTTGAATATCTATAAAAAAACATACATACAATACTTCATAATAACGGAGTTATG